GCACTTTGATGGCGACTCATAATCCTGAAAGTGAACATTGCATGATTAGGATACACTAATACTGAATTATTTAAAAGAATGATGACTTAATGAATGAGAATGTACATGTAGATCTTATCAAGGCACTCATGAATGGACAATCTTGACTTGGAAGTGGTCGTATCTCCGTAGTAAAATGATATAACAATATTTGAGCTTTAAAGCACTCTCATAATCATCTAGTTGAAAGCCCATGTCATAATGTATGTATAAAACTGAGATGTTGGGATCACAGGTGACACGCATGTGTTTAACATTTAACTGACTTGATCGACAGCAGCTAGCTTCTGTATTTTCCCCTAAATATTCAGTTGATGGCAGAATAGCTATAGCTGCTCTCGTTTCTCATTCAGATGCCTTCAGAACAAGGTATTGTGCCTAGTCTAGAGAGATATCTTCTCAGCTGAATGCTGAAGATGTAAAATCATAATGCACAAATTTTCTGTTCTAGAATTATTGAATTTACTTATAGACTACTGTGCATGGGTTCAAAGTCATGTACTTTTTATTGCTCAGTCTACATACATAAATTTTCCTTAGTACTACTACTAGACTTACTCTCTGACTTACATGTACACTGGCTGCCTAGTCTATGTCGGAATCAGACCAGAGGATATAGTCTAACTGCTGGCTACCACTACCAGGAACTGATATCTGGCCTTTGGCCTTTGATTGAAGAAAATCTGTAGGGCCTGGGTCATCTTTGACAAGACAGTTGAATCTTTAGAATTGTTGTTAACATCTCATATAAATTATATTAAGATGAACACATACAACAACTTTTGTTTTTGTAATAACAAAGACCAGTGTTGGAAATGCTGATAGAAAGTTGAGAGATTTTTGTTTTCAGAAAGCAACATGGCGTCAGAAAAAATTCTAGAAAAAATACTTTTTTCTCTTAAATTTGTCATAAAACTACTTTTATTCTTACCTTATCAAGTGAAGAACAAATCCATGCATACCCTTGTACCATTATTTGACTTATATCAAGGTCTAATCGACCTATATTTCCATATATTCCAAGCCCCATGCCGCCACCTGAAAAGGGACACCTGGAAAGGGGCACCTAGGTGCGGGACACCTAGGTGGTATTTAGTAACACCCTCAATTGACAGGTGGCGCTGCAAAGTTTGTATTTCCGGTGAAGTTTGAAAGTTTTTATTTCTACGAGTTTTAGTTGAAATACGCTGTCAAATGTAAGTTTTCTGTTTAATTTACTAGTGTATTATATTCAGCTTTGTATTAATGATGTAATGGAAAAGAGTGTGTAGCCTGTAGTGGCAGATATGTAACATTAAAAACACTGTTGTCAAGATGCATTTTTCTAAGTTTGTTTTCACAACTTGAAAATTCTTGAAAAGAAAAACATTGCACATATTAAGCAAATATTTCATTCTATGAAGGGCAATACCTGTTCATCTTTCAATGATTTTTGCAGTATGTATTGCCCGCAGCCCGTCATTGAAAGTGCAACAGGTATTGCCCGAACATAGAATGAAATATTTGTTTTATTATATCATTGCTAGACATTCGCTTACTTTGCAGACTGGCACTCTTGTAATATTCCCCATCCTTCGTTCGCAGTTCCAAAAAAATCCTCTAAAATTCCATCCAGAACGATTTTATCGATAGATTTAACGTCTATTTCGTTTGTGGACATAACACTTGAAAATGTTCTAAGACATTAGATGTCATTCCGTTGATTTAATGGTGTTTTTAGAATGCACATCCCTCAAGATGTCGTTCTTTTCATCGGAATTCAGACTTTTAAATCATTTTCCGTCTGCCTTGATGCACGTCACAACTGTACTGGACGAAACGGGACGACTCAGAATTCCCGGGCGGGCAATACGCCGGGCAATACGTCTTTTATAATTCCAAAATTAAGGGAGCTGTGAAATACGCTTTGGTATTTTTGATCACATGGTACTGAATCAGCCAATCAAAGGACACAAATTCTAGCAATGATATAATAAATGCACTTATCAATCATATTTTATATTTATTCTGAAACAGTGGAGAATATATTTAACATGTCAAGCATACTGCCCTGTCACCCCTCACGCATTAGGCGTGATTGTCTATGTCTATGTCAATAATCTGCAAAAGGCTAATAAGCCCATATAAAGCAGATATATAATTTAACAGTGATAGAATTTGAATAGAATATAATTTAAAACCTTAACATTTAAAAATAGATCTATGGTTTACAACTCATTTTACCTGGGGAGACTGTCAGGCTACCGCGTTGACATCACCCCTCTTTACCAGTAGTGCAGGCTTGTTGCTGTGCACTGGGGACCCTTTACATAAAACATAGATCTATATTAAAAACACGCCTATTTAATTGCAGTTATTGACACAGGCATAGTATGATGATTTAAAACTACTTAGACTGTCACAGTCTAAGATGTCACCAGGTAGAGTGTTCCATTTAGCTATTGTCCTAGGGAAATAGCTAAATTTGTATGCATCCGTTCTAGTTGATGGTTGTATGAACTTAGAAGGATGATACAACCTAGTGTTGGTATTGATCTATGGAGGCACGTCGATGGCTGCTAGGTTCTGCTTTCCTTTGTAGAAAAGGAAAACTCTAGCAGCCTCTCGACGCTCCTTCAGTGGCTCCCACTGTAGGTCTTGAAGAGCTTTGGTGACGCAGCCTGGTTCCCTTGAGTGACATTTGGTTACAAACCTGGCTGCTCTTCTCTGTACCTGTTCCAACATATCAATATCTTTTTGTCGGTATGGATCCCATGCCGAGCTGGCATACTCTAAATTAGGCCGGACTAGTGACTTATACGCCTGAGCCTTCACTTTTTCAGGGCATTGATGGAGGTTGCGCCTGAGAAATCCAAGCACCTTATTGGCTTTGGATACAATAGTTTGAATATGTGTAGTCCAGCGTAAGTTATTTGTGATGTCAATTCCTAGGTATGGGATGTGTGTTACCGACTTAAGGTTTTCCCCTAGCATGGTGTAATTGTGCATAATAGGGGATTTACCTTTGTGAATATTTAGCACTTTGATGGATGGAATTTCATTTGCCATGTTGATGCCCAGGAGACCAGTTTATCAAGATTCTCCTGTAGTGTTAATGCATCTTGCTTGCTTTCGACTGTCATGAATAAAAGGCTGTCGTCGGCAAAAAGCTTAAGACTGGCTGAGGATGATAGGTTATTGCCCATATCATTGATATAAACAAGGAAACAGAGTGGTCCAAGAACTGTTCCTTGAGGAACTCCTGATTTTACTGGAGTTTTTGAACTTGATTCACCATCGAGCACTACCTGTTGTGATCTTCCCACAAGCCAGGATCTGAACCAGTTCAAGTTATTATTGCGAATTCCATAATAGTCGAGTTTGAGCAAGAGGCGTTCGTGAGCCACCGTGTCAAACGCTTTGGAAAAGTCTAATACCAACATGTCTGTTTGTTTATTGTTGTCGAGGGCCCGAGCTATATTCTCTATTGTATTGACAAGTTGTGTTTCACATGAGTGCTTTGACCTGAATCCATGTTGGAATTTTACTAGAATTTCATAGAGGTCAAAGTGGGCCATAACATGATGGAATATAATATGTTCCATTATTTTACATGGAACTGACGTCAGAGATACAGGCCTGTAATTCACAGCCTCATCTCTTCGTCCCTTTTTGTAGATAGCAGTAACATTGGCATGTTTCCAGTCCATAGGCACTAAGCCTTCATCGATAGACTGTTGAAAAATTATTTGAAGGAATGGTGATATGCTGTCACTGCATTCCTTCAGGACCCTAGTCGGAATAAGATCGGGTCCAGTGGCTTTTGATGGATTTAGGCCAGTTAGCAATTTGTGAATTCCTTTTGTCGAAATTTTGATATTTGGCATTTCAGGAATTTGACTAGGTACCATTGTCGGTAGAGTGGCATCCTCATCTGTGAATACAGAATTGTATTGGTCATTGAGGATGTTTGCTTTCTGGGCGGCGTCTGTTATTTCGTCGCCATCTTTGTTACGCAGCACGCTGATACCTGATGCATCTTTGCGTTAATACTTTATGTAGCTCCAGAAGCGTTTGGTAATGCCTTTGTGCTGAACACGTATTTGTTGGAAACATTGAAATCACGCATCAATTTTGCGTGTATGATAAAATGTCACTAAAATCACGCATTATGTTGATATTTAAAAAATTATTTAAAAAAATTGTTTTATATAAAAAGCTGATACGGTAGAAAAACGAACGTCGAAAAAAGCAAACGCATTCCGTTTGGACTTTACACGCGAAATGTGTTTATGTCACGCATTTGGTTCGAAACATGTGTATATGTCACGCATTTGCTTCAAAATATTTTGTATCTATTTTTTATGTTTTATCTAGAAAAGTATACTTTTGTCATCTTTCTTCGCTATGCTTATAAACATAAAAGTATGGTGTCCTGAAAACTCCATGCTCTCCTTTATACTTACTCATCAAGCTTTTCGTTCAAAGAATTTTCACTAGGTTCGCGATTGCTTCCAAACTAAGATGACACAAGACTTGTTTTTAGACTGTTTTTAATTGTAGCAAAACAGAAACAGAGCTTAAATTAGTATAATGATAGATGTAGATGTTTCCTAAAGACATGTGGTTTGTATCACAGTCTTTCTTCTGTACTATCTGAACCTTCAATGAACTCATACAGCAGAAAACGACCTCTACCTCCTCATAAATTGACTCTTTATAGTGCACAACATGGTCTTTACAACAAATCCATGTATACTACACTCTCCCGTCTTCTAGTCTTGTCCACAAATGACAATTAAAAATTCTTCAATATTTCAACAATGCTATCACCAGATATGATTGACTGCAAAGTCAGATGATAGTACTGTAAATACTTATAGGTAAATGACTGTCAAATTCATTGGGCCTACCAAAATTATTGATTGACACTCATTCAAATTAGCGCAGAGAAAATAATATCACACGATTTATGTTTTTAGCTAAAATGGATCCACCTTGTGAAGTTTCAAAAGCACGATGAATAGAGACAGGCAGACTGCTAAGAACATTCTACCCACCCTCACCAACAATAAGCCTTCCTCTTATGCCCTAGAGTATGGCGACCCAAGAGTACCCTCTAGACTTGATGTCCTGGAATCAAGGCTCTACCACCAAGAGAAAACTTCAGATACTTTACTATCAAGAGCTTATAAAATCAAGGAAGACATTATAGACAGTCTAAACTACACACATGGGACTTGGCAGGAAGAAAAGCATGCCAGGGAATTACTACAGGAGCATATTAAAACAATCACTGCGGTTGTTAAAAAACTCAACAAAGATATTGAGGTGAGTTTAGTGCTATAAGTTTTAGATAATTGAGTAATTGATACATATTTGTCGTGTCTTGCTTCAAGTAATAAAATAGTAAAACTTATGTTAATATTGAAAAAAAAATTGCCAAGCCGGGCATGACCGTGACAATGTCATATAGTACTGCAAGGCCTGGCATGGCCGTGAAAAAATCAAAATGGCGGACGACACGTTGGACGAAGCGGGAGACGCTCTCCCCTTTTTCGACAGTTTACCCGACTATATAGGGATTATACTGCAACGAGTTACATCAGAGCCGAGAGATACCATCATAGAAGAAATCAAAGAGTCTACTGATGAGGATACACTCCGACGTACCCGTGAGATCATATTCGGATTAGCAAAATGTAAATTACAAAGGAGTACAAATATTGACAATTGCGAGGGACTGAAACTCAAAGCAAGGAAAGCCGAAAAGTCAATTGGATATAGCAGAGACATTTATGATATGTATGTATATATAGCTGATTTGGATAGTGCGTTTCCAAAGGGAACTCTGAGTGCATCATGTATTCAAAACATAGATAACGCCAAACCGAAGGATGATACAACGAAAACAGCCAAAGTGCCTTCACGAATGTATGCCAGTGTCATGCCAAGCGCCACCCCGTCATCTCGTACACAGACCGCAGGGACCACAGATATCTGGGACAACAGGGTACTCATGTCAAAAGTTATACTAATGGAACATAAACTGCTCGAAATGAGCTTTGAAAATAACAAAATGAAAGAGGACATACGTATTTTGCAAGGGCGCACATGTAAATGTAAATGTTCTTCAACAGTGTCGAATGCAACCGAGAAAGTCTCGACAAACGATGCTAATCAACCATTAGAAGTGGTTACAACAAAGGAGAATGAAGGTAATCAAACCTACTTAAACACGCATTACAAACCTAATCAACGATCACAATCTCTACCCGACGCAATCACAGATATAAAAACAAAAACATATATGCATTTGATGACGTCATCATCAACAGCTGATCCAGTAAACAATCAAGCCAAAAACAATAACAAAGTACAAGGAAACGATGTTTCTCGCGAAAAAACAACAGAACCCCCAGTAAATGTTCCCAACAAAACTACGCCCCTAATCACATATTCGCAAGCTCTTAAATCGTTACCAGAACGCGACAGACGCACCACGACAGAACAACACCAAGTTAAGCAAATACGATCCGGTCTAAAGGGTGTAAAAAATGAGCGATATCGTATGCTGTACCTTGAGAACATTGCTCAGAGTGAAGATGAGGACGATGAGGAAACGATACACAATATTCGTAAACATTCCCACATCACAGGTATACGCATTATGCAGCTGAACATTATACACAATCGATACGCTCGAGACAGAGTTGGGTGTAAAATTGCAGTCGCTGAATCTTCCGCCGACAAGGCACTCGAACCGATATCATGGCCATACCCTATCGTGTGCCGTGAATGGATACAACGACCAAGGAGAAGTCAACGGTATGGTGAGGGAAACAGATATAGGCATGAATATTCGTTCGACGACAGAGATTATTAATGTTCAACCCATTATATATTATACATATAGCTGCATTTCTTGCAGTCATAAGTTACACAATGGAGCATGATGCGGGCCTTAACTTAAGATTAGCGCAATGGAACCTGAATGGTTCAAGTACTGCCAGGAACGCCATGTTTGATCTCCTAGATATGAATGATATTGTTGCTGTGAGTGAACATATGCTGTTTGAGTGTAACTTAAATCAATTGAATGTAAACGAGACTGGTTTTAACATGTATGCTACATGCAGTAAGCATTTAAGAAATGAGGACTGTGGTCTGAGGTTCGGCTCGGGCGGTGTTGGTCTGTTATGGCGCAAAACGCTAGATGCTAATGTTTTCCCTGTCAGTTCATTGTCAAACGACAGGATGGTTTGTGTTAAATTATGTTTTGACAACAAAACATGTCCAATATTCATCTTCTCAGTATACTTACCTCAACAACAATGTAGAAATGATAGCTTTGAAGACGTTCTTATAAATTTGGAGAACTTTGTTCAGAAGGCTCTTAATGATGGTTACGTAATACTTCTTGGTGATATGAACGCCCACTTAAAATATAACATGCATGATGGCCTACGTAGTTGGGGTGATGGTACATTTAATGGTAAATTGTTTGAAAACATGTGTACTCGTAATGGTCTACTAGTTGCAGACTTAATATCATGTGATGGTCCAAACTACACGTATGAATCTCCAAGTGGTCATAAATCGTATATAGATCATGTAGTTGTTTCAAATGAAATTCTTCAACAGATTAAACAATGCACAATTATAGATAACAACGCTACTTTCAGTTCATCCTCAGACCATCTTCCAATGGTCACACTCTTAAAATGTGGAGTCTTAAAATCCATATCTAATGATAATAACCATGTTAAACGTGTAGCTTGGACGAAAGTAACTAGTACGATTAGAATGTTTTATTGTGAAAAGATTACAAACACGTTAAATAAGATTTTGTTAGAAATGCATAGAAAAGAGCATAAGTTGACCAATGATGAAATTGATTTGTATTTACAAGAGATTGTCAATGTAATTCATGAAGTAGCTGGGGAAATGTTACCAATTAAGAAATTCAAAAAGCACCAAAAGCCTTTCTGGGCGCCTGGTCTCACGGTACTAGTTAAAAAGCGCAACAGTTTATGGCATCTGTGGAAAGACGCTGGCAGGCCTAGGAATGGTGAGTTATTTCAACAGTACAAACTCTCGAAAAAAGTATTTTCGAAAGCTTTATACCAGGCGGAGTTAAAATACGAACGCGGAGAAATGGCAAAGCTATACAATTCTGAAGACATGGACCAACGTTTTTTCTGGTACCTTCTCCAGCGCAGCAGGGGCACTAAGAAACGCTCAAATTCATCAATAAGAAACAAAGATGGCGTCATAGTCAATGATCCAGAAGCAGTGTGCGATGTATGGCGTTCACATTTTGAAGCATTAGCTACACCTTCGGAAAGCAACCTATTTGACAATGATCACGAGAATATGGTTCGTGATCGAGTAAAACAGCTTCTCAATGATTCTCAAAATGATATAGATGAAGATGAACAACTGAACCCGCTCTCATACGCTGAACTTCATGCGTCTCTGCGTAAAATGAAGCACGGCAAAGCCAGTGGCGCTGACAACGTTACGATGGAGCACATCGAATACGCAGGTCCCACTATACTGAAAACCCTATTATGTATTTTCCAGAACATTATATATAACGAGTACACTCCACAGATATTCAGAACTGGGACTCTAGTACCGATAATTAAAGGGGGTACGCGGGACACACTCAAAACTACTGATCACAGAGGAATAACCCTTATGTCTGTTATCCGAAAGCTCTTTGACAGTGTTCTTCTTTCGCGATACAAATCACGACTTTTGAACTGTATACCCCAACTACAAGGAGCTTCAATTGATGGATGTTCCTCTCTTCATACGTCATTGACCCTACATGAGACCATTGATTATAATACGTCACACGGAAGCGCAGTACACGTCATATTATTAGACATCCAATCTGCATTTGACACCTGCTGGATTGAGGGACTCTTCTACAAGTTATACATTAATGCCAAAATTAAAGGGAAGCTATGGAGACTCTTGTACAACTCATATCAGAACTACTTCTGCACCGTTCAAGTCGCCGGAACAATGTCAGAGCCCTTTAAAATACGCCAGGGAGTATTTCAGGGGGCCGTTAACAGTATGATCCTGTATCAATTTTATATAAGTGACTTATTAACGGAACTCCAAAGGAGCAATTTAGGAGCCAAGGTCATGGGAATGAATACCTGCTCCCCAGCGTACGCTGATGACATTGCATTAGTAGCTTTATTCCCAGGGGCAATGGACACGTTGCTGGATATCTCATTTAAACATAGTTCAAAATGGAGATACACTCTTCACCCACAGAAATGTGTCGCGCTAACGTATGGTAGCAACGAAAAATACGCATTTAATTTAGGGACGGACACGATAAAAAACGTCACGAAGGCCAAACATGTGGGCATACCTCTGAGTACAACCGGGGATTTTAGTGACCACACCAAGCACGCTATATCAAGTGGCAAAAGGAAACTGTTTTCGCTTTTTGGACTCGGTCATAAAACAAACGGCCTATCCCCCATTCTAGCCACTAAGTTGTATAATAGCTTTACTGTTCCTACGTTTCTCTACGGTGATCAAATCATCAACTATAAACAACGTGATGTTGAAATGATGGAAGTGGCCCAACGCGAAATTGGACGAAGGATACAATTTCTTCCCAGTAATTGCAGCAATCCAATGTCGACGATGCCACTGGGAATGTGTTCAGTTAAACTAAAGATGGACTATGACAAACTCCTTATGTTTTTCAGTATTATTACGCTTCCCATGACAAATATTTACAAACAACTACTGATGATGCGCTTTATGAGCATATTTATACAAGGAAAAAAATGGGATTCACCAATATACAGGATGTGGGATTGTATCAAACGTCACAATCTATTAGACTATGTGATCAATATGATTACCAACGCGAATTTTCCATCTATGTCTCAACTAGTAGAAGTGGACTACTTAAACCATGTATATGGTGGTTACTCGCAAAAATGAAACCAGAAAATCTTCCAGTATGTAAAATTATGATGCGCCTCTCTACAGACTGCCATGAGCTGCGCGTAAAAAACTCTGGGCTAAATTGTATTTGCGTTTTGTGTAATACGTTTGAGGTAGAAACGATTGAACATTTCCTTAGCTCCTGTGAGGCTTACTTTGATGAACATGCCAGACTGACTTCTATTATAAATAAATACGGTAACCCTTGTGATTTAAAGAGCGTTGTATTCGGCTATCACGAACATATAACTGAAAATGACATGATCCAAATAGGTGAAATTGTTCTCCAAATGAGTATAAAAAGAGCTCGTTTAATGCGAGCGTACACTGGTCACCAGATGTAAAAAGTGACCAAAAAACACTTTCTGTAAATAGTTTTGACTTTATTATGTACATGTATATGTGTTGTAAATTATAAAACTACTCTGTTTAACTACAGGTTAATAAATTAATAATAATAATAATAATACAGGCATTGTTGGTAGGTATTCATTACAGAGAGGACAATTTATACAAGTCAGTAGATTATGTTTAGAGGAAGGGTGTCAACAAAAGACAGGTGTTCCCTAGAGAAAGGTGTTCACAAGTACAGGTTTTACTGTACAAATGAAAACAATCATCCGTCTTTGGTTTCCTGTAGAGTGCCATTGCATCATGCAAAATGTGATCTGAATGTAGAAAGTGCATTTTTGTGAGCAAAATTGTTGTTTAGTGAATCTACTGTGACATGACATGCCATTGATGTGCAACATGCCATTGACTAACTGATCTAGAAATTGTAAAAAGAAATTGTCGAAAGTTGTGAGGCCCACTTGATGAAAGTGACTCATGAAGAGACTATTGCTTAATAGCAAGATTCAAGTTAAGGTTTACATATTGTGATGTGTATTACAGAGCCTGGAGTCGGGAATCAAACAGAAAGAAAATGCTGCTGAGGGCACATCAACTGCTGTGAAAAATCTCGAAGTCCACCATGTTGCGGGACTCACTGATCTACGAGGACGTGTGGTGCGCTGTGATGCATCTATAGCAAGGCTTTCAACAGACCTTAAGACGTGCCAGGACACAGTAAGGTCATCCACTGGACAATTTCAAAGTGAACAACAGAAATTTCAAGAGAAGATAAATTACCTTGAGAGAAGGGTAAGCATAACAGTACAAATGTGTCTTGCATCAAAGTTATCATCCTTTGATTGAAGGTCTCCGCACATCCACTCAGAAACAGAGTGATATCTGGGGCCCTGAATTCAGAGGCTGTATTAGTCTATGGTACTTGCCCTTTTGTTTCCCAACATAGTGTATGAAGCTGTTTATACTTTGATGGGTTCACTAAAGGTCAACAATATTGGCTGTTGACTACTATTATATACTAGTGTAATACTGTTGACCACTACTATAATAAGTACTTTTGGCCACAACTACAGAACTACATGTACATGTACTACATTATTTATGGTGGCATTTTAGCAATCAGAGAATGGTTGAACCCATTTCTTTTGATATATTAATAGGCACTGGTTTGAGATTGTCACACTGCTATATTTTTCCAGTTTTTAGAATTAAAGTAATCATGTTCATTTCTAAACACAGTAAACAGATGTCATCATCATAACAAATAAATGTTGTCATGGGAACATATTTCTAATCTTTTATATAACAAAACAATTATTTTAACCTCTATTCAGATCAACCAAAACGTGTATGCCTCATCTATAAACCTTCAAAATTGTATGCCTCATCTATAAACCTTCAAAATTGTATGCCTCATCTATAAACCTCCAAAATTGTATGCCTCATCTATAAAACTTCAAAATTGTATGCCTCGTTTATAAACCTTCAAAATTGTATGCCTCATCTATAAACCTTCAAAATTGTATGCCTCATCTATAAACCTTCAAAACTTGTGTTCCTCATCTATAAACCTCCAAAATTGTATGCCTTAACTATAAACCTTCAAAATTGTATCCTCATCTATAAACCTTCAAAATTGTATGCCTCATCTATAAACCTTCAAAATTGTATGCCTCATCTATAAACCTTCAAAATTGTGTGCCTCATCTGTAAACCCTTAAAACATCTATGCCTCATCTGTGGATCTTCAAAACTTGTATGCCTCATCTGAAAATCTTGAAAGTACTGATTCAGTATACAATTTCAACAGTTGACCTCAAGACTGGTCTACAATTATGTAATGCAATGTGATTATACAAAAACAAACACTTCTTCCTTTCTCATAACACAACTATGATTGTGAAAGCTATTTCTGTTAAAACAACGCATTGAATTTTGTGAAAGGACCTCTACAAGTAGGTAATATTGTACATTGCAGTTGATATCAGGTGTTATTAGTGAGCACATGAGGAGAAACACTTATACCAATGTGCGTAACCACATTGCCTACTGGAAATTGTGATCAATAAGATCAATATAGTTCAATCCTTATTATCATGCAACATTTCTTTATTCATAACTCTGAGAGTCTTTTCGTTGGAAATAGTTTTATTTGGACTGTGTGTATTATGCCAAGTACAATTTCCACTCATTTAATTCAATTTTGCATACACTTAAACAGATATTAAACTTTTCTAATTCGAAGTCATGTTCACCATATGCACTGTCAAATATACGGTACATGTAGCACATAGAGTTTCGTTCACTTTTTATGAACATTAATTAATAATACTGATTTTCTCATTGGTGCGACTCCTGGTTAATTACCATGTAAATTATTTCCAAGGTAAATTTAATAGACCTAGTGAATTGCAACAAAAAATATTAAGCCAGTTTTATAATTACTAGACTTTTATCAATTATCTGAATTGGCAAGCCATTTTAAAGTGAAGGATTTTTATTATGATAAATGATGAGAGCTTGTCATCCAATCTATGTGTGTTAATTTTCAAATGTGAGACTAGCTTTCTTTTTAATTCACAATTTTAATTTAATATAGCATAGAGTAGCTGTTCAACTTAGTAATTCATAACAGACTAGCAATCCAATTGAAATCGATCACCTTTAAGTTGTAAGGCCATTAGTCTGCATGACAAAGTGCAAATTATAGGCACAGACAACCTAAAGTAGTCTGAACCAAATCAACTCAAAAATCAGATATTGCTTAGCAATCGAAGAGAAAGACAAACTTCACAATATACCTCAATGGAGAAATTATTTTCATGTAGCAATAGCTTATCAACTATAGTAATTTCATGCAGTTACTTCTCATTTCTCTGTTAGGTCATCCTCCGAATGCAGATATCCAGAACTCACTTTCTTCCTTCTTGGGAGAAGAAACAATTGTTCTGGAGCCTAGCATTTGGAGGATGTTTACATTAAAAACTTCTTTTATCTGATCTATTCAATCTGTAAATATAGTTGGAAAATTATGACTATTTTTTTATTAGATATAATTCCTTTCACATTCAAATCCACATTCCTTATATGTGTATATGTAATTTTTCGCAATGTAGAAATTTTTGTTTTGATTAGTCCAGATATTTTTGAGAAATGCAAGATGTCAAAATCTGAATGTGATCATGACCAATCAAAGATGAATCATGATAGATATATTTTTCTTTTTAATTGTGCCTTAAGAAATCACTTATTTGCCAAATAAATACCAGTGAAATGCTGTATGCATGGTGTTCTTTTCTTGTTGAATTTCTTATGCACCATTAATAACCTCAAACAATATCAGTCCACTTGCTAATTGTATTACAATCAATTATTTAGATGTACAATCTATGAAATATTGATAGATGGATTAGCCAAATGGAATCAGAGTAACCTGTACCATCCTATGTACTATGTTGCTACTCCTTTATAAGTCCAAGGGAGCATAAACTGACAAAAGAGCCCTTGTTGTGAAAATAAGACTACCTTTAGTTTGAAATTGTGTTCAAACCTTTATGTCATTGCTGTATATCCCCAAATTAACTGACATCTGATTTGATAAATCCCAATGATCTGTTTGAAAATATAATATGTTGACTTTCGAGCCAAAATTGGTGCCTGTGTTTTTTAGCTCACGTGGTGAGCTATTGCAATCACTCATTTGTTTGTGTTTGTACATAAGTCTGTGTTATGTAAATCGCTTTATAGATATACATGTACATTGAAACATGTATATCTGAACACCTCTCTAATCTGAACACCTCTCAATGTGATACTTCTTCTGGGTCCCAAAATTATTTTCTTTCATTGAATCGCATCTGTATTAAAACTTGAAATGTGAACACCTGCTAATCCAAACACTTTTGGCCAGTCCTAGAGGCATTTGGATTAGACAGGTTTACTGTAGTCTAATATTGTTTATATACGATTTATGAAAGAATCTCTAAATACATTCATGCTTTTTTCATTGTTAAGTCTTGCATCAAGTGTACCCCCCACATGAAAATATGTTCCCTACCCCCCCCCCCCCCCCCCCATTGTTTTGCGATTGTCAAGCTTTACACTTGCAATACTTTGTGGGTCAAGATTGCAGTTAACTCATTCGCTACTAAGGACTTGATATGATATGACGTCATAAAGCACATACGTTGACTACTAAGGACGTGATATCAAGTCCAAGCACAAACCCAATGTATTTTGGGGAATCTTGTAACCATGACAGCTTATAAAATGGGACTTAAAAGAACTATTCATTTTGAAAGAGTATATCATATGCTTTAAAATGATATATAACACTATATATGTATGCCCATGTATATACAATATATATTATTTCAGAGGTACCATATATGGCAATTTTCAAAATATCGTCAGTATTATAGTGCTTTTTGCCCCAGTATTGAATGAGTTAAAAATCCATTGAGGACCATTATGACGTTTCATCTCATAATATATTCATGGACACAGATCTAGCTCAGCGAAACAGTGCCTAGTGTTCATTGGAGTCTTGTCTAGCTTGCCGTTACAAAATAATGATACGGTGACCACACCGTTTTTGAGATAACTGAATCTGGAGAGAGCTAACACCGTAAAGCTACCTGTTTCAGAAAATTATTCTGCTCTACATAGTCCCAAAAATCACTCCGCCATCTCTGAAAGTTCTGTTTCTAACCAAACTTGTCAATGTTTCCTGATAGATTAGTGCTTACCCTATCGAGAATAAACCTTGATTCATTTATCAAACACTAGATGGCGCTGCGACGGGCCAGAAAAGGAGAAAAGGCTTTTTTATACAGGAAACCAAATAACCAACGGTAACCGCTAGTATCCCTACTCTGGACTATATTCTGTACATTTGTTGTTACAGCTGCAGGAGATCTCATCCCATTTTGACAAATCAGCTGCAGAACAGACCATTATGGTAAAACATGTAGAGGGCGATACTAGTCAACAATTATCCATCCTGGATAACAAGACAAAGTCGATGTTTGAGGACGTGAGGGGATCTGTCAACACCATGAAGGTAGATATAGGTTATTTACTGGGAGGTATTGAATATAGTCTTTTAAATGGAGAAACAATGTGATGTTGACGCTGAGGGGTAATATGATATTGATCGTGACAATGTAGCAACCATCTGTGAATACTGTATGTACCTCTGGATGATATATTATCTGCATCATTTTGGAGCTTGTCATGTATTTGTATGCATTGATGTTTCACTCTTAACATCTTTTTGTAGGTAATAGAGGAATCAGAGCGAGAAAAGCTTGAGGCAAGACTTATGGGTTGGTTGGACAGAAACTCAGCTGCAAGAGAGGCAAGACTGGTAAGCATTTAAGTGGTGACATATTCATTTGTTATAGTCTAAATACTTTTTTGTGGATGATGTTTGGCAGTTGGTGTTTTGCATTTGGCACTCAGCCTTTGGTGGTTTGTGTCGGCAATCATTTATCTGTCCATCTATTCATCCATCTGTGAGTGATCAGGGTAATGATCACTATGGGAATAGAATATCTGCTTGGGAAGAAATTTTCAGTATGCCTGCTCAATTCAAAATGACTGATTAGATCAAAATTGCCAAAGTTCTTCTTTGAGGCCATCACTTACATGCCTAATTTCAGAGTTATACAATGTCACAGGAGTTTTTTTGTCAAAAGAAATTTTTTGCCAAAAAGATTGTGAATATCTATTCCTACTAATTTGAGTTTTGACCTTATAGGAGAAGATAGAGCGCAAGTTGGAGGATCGGCTGGTCAGTGTTGAGAAACGTCTACAGAAGATGGAGGACGACCAGCAGCGAGACAGAGAACGATCTGCCATCATGCAACAGGTTTGTCACGTCATGTTGATCATGTTTCAAAAACCAAAATCTGGTGAAAATGAGTTGAGATTAGGAAGTCAAAGTCATAGGGAATATATTAAATAGGCCAACCAAATAAATTCATTAGATTTTTAAAGAAACACCAGAAATTCAGATAGTTATCGTAAATGAATGTGTTTAGGGAAAAGAATTAAAACATTCAATTTGGGTGATTCGATCTTAAATATCAACTCCAAGGTCTGTAATACTTTTAAAACAAAATGATGTATGAAGGAGAGCGCCTAATCTTTCATCAAATAATCATCACCCACAAAATTTGATGTTTAACTCTAAGAATATTGAGTTTTTTGATATGATATGATATCATGACCCACAGTTTTATTGATAATTGCAGATGATTGAACAGAAACTTTCGCAAATGTTAGATACAACAATGCATCGTCACGGAGATGAAATACAAAAGGTGAAACGAGAATGTCGCGAGGGATTCTCCACAGTCCACGAGAGCATTAGTAATCTGAAGACCGTCCTAGAGGGAAAACGCAAACTCACAGAAGAGCAAATGAGAAAAGAAATCGGCCAAATTCGAAAAATGGTTGTACTAATTTAACCTGGAGTCACAAAGGAATTGAAGTCACAGTGACATTGAATGTCTTCTATACATATTTTTATAATTAAATATATACAAAATGTAGATATACAAATACTATGCAATGTAGAACAGAAATTAATATGTCATCCACTCACAACATTCTATTTGACGAGAACAATTAATGTATGTCTTAATTATTCATATTCTCTTCCAAATATGTACAAACATGTATACATTATACGCAATGTAGAACAAAAACTATGTTAAGAAATTGTCCCCTCACATTTTTCATTGTCTGGAACAATGAAATATGAATGTCTTCTACATACTGTATTTTTTGTCAAATATGTACAGACAAGTATGTCTTGAACCCCTTACAATCTAAGTACTTCACAGTAAGTGAATTAATAGTATAGTAAATATTGTCAGATTTTTACTCAATATGAGCTACAATGGCAGTTCTGAATAGAATTGAATACACATGCTAACTGCTAACATCCCAATTTCAGAGCTTTTCAGTGTAAATTGATATGAAATGTAACTATTTAATGAAGCATTTTGATGTTTTTACTTTTAAGCATAACTTTTGTTTATTGCAAATTAAGATTTTTGACAACTTAGATTTCTAATCCTCCATGACCTAATTGTCATGTTTTCTTGGGCCCGTTGGCCTGATTAGGTGTAAGGATCAGGACATGTATCCACTAATTTAAGCCTATGCTAATTCCAAACTGTGACTTTTACTTGAATTTTTAATCTTGCGGCTTTATGCAAGACTAGTGTATGTTATATATATATATATTGTTTCTACCCCCTCATTTGCATCTAGTGATAATTTGATATAATATTTTATATTTTTATATTGATTTTATTATATTGATTGAAAAAACGCATCTAAGGATATACTCCTGCTTTGATCTTGATGCCACCTTTGGGCACTCTGCCATTTTGACTTTCAGTATCAGTTATGTCAATGAATGGACATTTATTCACTGAGCATAACTACAGGGTTGCTATGGTCAGGAAAAGTCTGTGAATTTTCTCAAAAATGATAAAATTAGACAACAAACTGAAAAGTTACACGGAATAAGGACTAAATGAAAACTACTAAAATCAAATGCATGCAGTCAATCGAAGGGTGATTTTTATTTTATTTACTATAATGTGCATTTGGTTAGGTATAAAAAGTTGAGGAACTTTGATTTGAAAATGTTGTGGCAACCCTGAACTAACCGCTATGGCGTAGATCAAAACATCAATGATCGTTTCGTGCGTTTGATTTTTTAATGTATATTTCTCAACTTTAAAAAATTGAAAATGAGATATCCATTTGAATTTAGATGTATACCCGGGGATATATAAGTACTGTCAACACACACGTATTGGTAGAACAATGGTAGAATATGGGTGCAAACCCATTTAGGCTCAAGTTAATCTTAGTGTAATGTACTAGGAACACAGTAAATAGTGGAAGTATCATCGAGGGCATATATCTTTAATGTGTATTAACATCAATATACAGAAAGTTATCCGTCCAAGTTAACTACTTAGTATTTTGTGATTATTGAATCCGTCCATTAATAATGTTTAAGTTGTTAACAACTTACAAATGAAATATATAACTGTTTACAATAACATTGTTGATATTCATGTAACAAGTCCATTATATTATTATATTATATTTGTTAGCGAATAAATCTTTAAAAAGTTGAAATTTACAAGTTTGTATTGTGGTTTGTCAAGGAAATGAAGAAATATTAACAAAGTCAACAAAAACTAGTTGCATTATCTGCAAGAGGTCATGGTCAATCTTTCTGACATATGCATCCATAGATGCAAGAATCAATTGCATAAGAAACACGTGCTACTCATGCTTTCTGAATTATAAGACAAACTAGTGAAGAGCAAAATAGCTGCCATACTCAAAACCAAATCGGGTATTCACACAAGTCTGTTCTTGCATCTGTGAAAATTACAAGTTGAAGGGATAAGCAGTTTTCCTGGAATTTTTTTTTGACAAGATATATGTGACATACACCTATTCTCCAGAAGAAGTACTTTTTTTTAAGTGCAATAAAAAATATGATTTGTTCTTTTTGAAAGTTGTGAGCAAGCATTGAAAATTCACACACAGCTAGGCAAGGTGTGTCTGATTCAAGCCAATCTGAACACAATATTTCATATAACTGCTGTGCATTATACAACCAATCACCACATCCAAGGTCATTCATTGAATGGTTGACAAGGTGACAACTTGACCCTTGCAAAAAGATTGATTGAAAATATGTTATTTTAGTGATTTCGTATCTTTTAGGTGATTTCCTAGAAAATAGTTTGCAATATGTGAAAAGAATTTAGCCCAAGACTAGATGCATTGTGGTTGATTTAATTCCACTCGAGCGTTGTTTCGTGCAACAAAACCTTCAAGAGGAATGATTTAGCACACCATGCTGTTGACTGTTGGGCATATTCATGAACTGCTTTTGAGGAAAAAAGAAAAATTGTCAGGTTTAGGCTGTCACTGTATGGTTTACTTAAACAAATCAAGATCAATGATTTTATAAAAAAATATTTATTTTACTTCAGTTTCTGAAAATATTGCATGATACCGGTCTTTTTCTTTTGTGTCACTTTCTTTCGCTGTTTCCACTCATTCACCAGTTCAACCTGAATATCACTTGGAAGCTGAGAGAAAACAGTCTCATCAAAACCAGGGGGGACATCCTTGTGAAGGGGTCCCCTTACTGGGGAAGGAGAGATTATGGCACTCGGGCTAGTACATGAAGAGGTACTGATGGCTGGAAATGTTGATGTACTCAGGTCATTTGTTACACTTGAATTCACAGTTGCCAACTTTGAACTACCTGGTGTTACACTTGTATTACAGAGGGTTACACTTGTATAACAGTCGGTTACACTTGTATTACAGTCTATTACACTTGTATCATTTGTATGAGTGACAGTTGTATTCTCTGGTATCATTCTCATATGAAAAGGTTCACGACATGAATAAGTAGATGTCATACTTTCATAATCTGATGTCACACTTGTACTTCCTAGTGTTTCGCTTGTATTGCCTTGAGTCACACATGTATAACTTGATGTAACTACTTGTACCATATTAGGAGTTACATGACTATTGGCAGATACTACAGATGTATGATCCAGTGTACTCGTCTCTGACACCGAACTTGCCGTTATTGGTGTCACACCTGTATAGCATGATGAAAGAACATGTGTAGAATCTGACGTTACACTTGCATAACCTGGCGTTACATATGTATGAGATAATGTATCATCAGATATTGTACAAACTGGATTTGACATTTTGGAATAATTTTTACAGGTGACACTTTGAATGTCAGACAAAATCTCATTTTGAATATCTTCAGGAAGTTCTTTAAGTACAGTTTCATCTATGCCCATATATGGTGAAATGTTTGATATACCTTCTCCAGTTTTTTCATTATTTTTAGATAAGACTTCTGGGGAAACATTTATTGTCTTAGTATGACATGTTTCTGACTTTGAACCTTGTGAATCATAGAACGGTGTCATATTTGGTTGTGTCATATCTGGTGATGATTTCGCATATTTAGTTTTGGTGACTGATTTTGGAGGAGATTTCAACCAAGAAACCATATCAAAACTTCGCTTTCTAGAGCTCCCATGTGAGGATTTATTGTTGATGGTATTAAGCCTTGTACTTTTGTTCTGTGGATCTTCGTTAGATGTTATGTCATTTCCATTGTTTGAGTCAGCTTCTGTCTGTCGTTTGAAGAAGGCGCTTATAGTGCCCACTTTTTCTTGGTTCTCAAACTTTGTGAAGCATATATTGAGCAGTGTAATATGGAATGGTTTTGAGATATCTACCATTTTGTTGAAAAGAGAAGTAAGCAGATTCAGGATTGCATCATCAGCTTGATCAGTATCACCTGAAATTCCAGAAAATCTATAGAATCACCAGGAAAATGATGGTACAATTGCTAATTATACATTGGTTGTTATGGTAATAACATGCGTGCATTAAAGCATCCAATACTATCATCAATTCATTGCAAGAAAACATTAAACTTTGATTCACTTTGAATAAAATATTTGAGATATTTCAATACTTGTGTTTACATGGCCAGTGGCCCAAAATTAAGGTTTACAGTTTACAGGAGTAGATTGTTGAATAACTGTTTAAACCTACTTTTGGGCCACCCAGTATTAAGGAGCCAATCCTTTATAAATAATTGTCATCCTACCTATTATGCTGTTCCATAATGCTATCATGTTATGGATTATGGTCATGGAAAAAGTAGATAGTCGGGTAAGACCAGGGAGGTTGTCAGTTAAAAATCGCTGTTAACATGTGTTGAGAAATCAATTGTATAAAGGACTTACTTGTAGAAAGGTTCTTCAGTATGTATGTGGGTATAGGACACTGCCGAGACTCCCTACTGCTCCACTTATTCTCACCTATGACACGGCGTAATGTTAACCTTAATGTCTGCGGATGGCGACCATCTTGCAAGAGCCTGTAAAAAAAGAAACAATAACATCAGCAAACATTAAACTAGATAACAGCGACGCCAAGGCGTACCAAATCACATTGAACAGCCATTTTTGGCATATTATCCAAATTGTCACCAGATAGTGTAATATGCTTTGAAGTATTCATATATAAAATTTCAACAAAATTGCTCCATCACTTTTCCAGTTAAGCAACAACATTAAAGAACACACATAGAATGGCTGCCATTTTTCAAAATGGCCACTCACTAGCCAAGAAGAAAGTGTAACATGTTCCTAATTATTCACATATAAAGTTCAACAAATTGCTCCTTTACTTTTCCAGTGTTATCAAAAAATACTAAAAATGGTGGCCATTTTTTCAAAAAGGGTGCTTACTGGCCAAATTGTCATAAGAAAGTGCTATACTTCTACTTAGAAATCACATAAAAAAATTCAACAAAATTGCTGTTTGGGTAATAGTAAAACCATAAAAAATAACACATATAAAAATGGCAGCCACTTTACTACAGAAATGGAATAAGACAGTGTACCATGCTTATGAAAAATAAAAATTGCTCCACTACTTTTCCAGTTAATCATAAATAAGGTGTAATATGCAAAAAAATTCAAGATAACCACCATGTTTTTGTTAGAATAATAAGAATTTATCCATTCATTTTTTTGCGTTGAAAACATATAACTATTGCAGATTTATATATACTTTAGATAAAACAGTGGCCATTTTGAAACGGTCATACAGACAGAGGGCTTTGCTATATCCCTATCATTGGGATAGTAAGTATTGTTACAACAACCAGGGTATTCAAGTGAGACGATCAATTCACAACCTCCCTCGAGTTAAACAATTACTAATGTGGTAACCTTTGTGATGTATTTAATTAATTCAAATCCATGATTACAAATAGATAGAATGACCTTTAGTGTTGCCTTGCACAACAATATTGATTATTATTTGAACATGGAACAAATCATATAAACAACCTATTCCCAATAGATTAAACCAGGCTCTAAGTAGCCATGGTACGACATAGAACACCAACATCTATCATAGTCGTTGGTGGCATTTTGGTTCTTCTTAGCATTTCATACAGCCTTGCACCACTAAGAAATGTCAGCAAAGTTTCAATAGGTGAAGTACAAGGTCAACTTTTCATATTAAATCAAACAGACATAGGACAAATTGATGAGGATGAAGAAGATGCAAGTCGAACTCAAAAAAATGATGGACTGTTTAACACACTTGAACATGTAAGAGAGAGAAAACAGAACTCAGTGACAAATGATATAGTGTATGATAATAATGAACATGATAACAATATGAACACATTACCAGGAAATGCACAGGCTGAGCCAGAGGAAGGAACTTCAATGGATTCAGATACTAAGATTGACCTCAGTAACATTAAACCGCCAGACACAGATGGTTTTCAACACAACAATATTGAAAGTGAAACACAAGGCGAATCTGACAAGACTGATCATAAAGCAACAAATGAGAGCAAATCAGGAAATCGTGATAATGATAAAACCAATACAACAAATCTGGATTCAAAGCTAGATAACTTGTACACAGTAGAAAGTAAACAAGGTACGGATCTAGATGAGATTGACAATGAAGACACCTACATGTATGATAAGGAGACTGAATATGAACATAGCATTGAGGAAGAGACTGGGAATAACACCATCGAGACACACCTTCATAGAACAAAAAAATTTCCTGGTTTGATTATCATAGGAATACATAAATGTGGAACATACGCTTTGTCATTTTTCTTAGGGATTCATCCAAACTTAAAGCGAACTAAAGAAACTGAAATTCATTTTTTTGACTGGAGGTCTGAGTATAAGAAAGGACTGGATTATTACATCAGTCAAATGCCTCTCACAGATCATACCCAGTTAGGTTATGAAAAAACTCCTGGGTACTTTGATCTAGCAAACCCTAGAGATATTTATAATGCAAATAAAGATGTTAAGCTAGCCATTATAGCATGTGATCCTTTACGGAGAACAATGTCACACCATTTGACGAAAACCTTAGTATTCCAGAAAAATGTAACATACGATGGGTGTATCTTACATAAAAATGGTACACTGAACACAGAAGGGTGTCCTTACATCTACAGGGGACACTACGCAACTTACTTCAAACGATACTTGGAAGTATTTCCTAGAGAACAAATTTTAGTGGTATCTACTGACGAGCTGAAGAGAGATCCTATTACTGTTATCAAAAAATTTGAAACTTTTTTAAACCTCCCAAAAATCGTGAATGACAACATGTTATATGTTGATGAGGCTTCAAAACAATTCTGTATCAAACCAGAATACTGGAATAAAAAATTTATGAGGAAATATAATGGCTGTATGTTACGTCCTGACAAACACCATGATCATCCAGAAATTCACCCAGAACTGGTCAAGAAATTCACTAGTCACTTTAGGGATCGAAGAGTTTGCACAACTAACTGGTAAAAACTTTTCATGGGCAGAATAAAACTAGTCTATGTGAACAAGAGTGGGGAAATTTGGAATATAATGAGTATTGTTAATAGGATGGGTGGAGCCATTCTCTATATCCCCCAAACTTTATTTGATGGGATAAAAAACACATGCAAAGAGAGGAACCATGGCTGTATTTGTAACATTGTAACATTGTACTTTGCTCATAAAAGATTAGCCTATATAACATTTGGAACAGATCAGACAACCAGATTTGCTCCAATCAAATCCAAATCTAATAAACAATGTCATATGAGTTAAACTTGGCATATACCTTGTCATCAATGTCTTGAGGATTCCCTTTAGCCTCACTTTAACATCAGTGATGTTACAACACTTTCGGAATGAATCCTCATCACTTATAGACTGAAAAAAAATTACTGTATAAGTGGTATTTAAATCCGAGTGGTTAATTTTCCGAATGGTCAAATTTCATCATTTTCCTAATTTTAATTTTCCTAATGACAAGAAACCTCCCATTGGATAACATTATCAAGACAATATTTCCGACATTTAATTTTCCGAACCTGGCAAAAATTAGGAAATAGGCAAATTAAATGATTTTGACAAGTGGGGTTCACTTTTCAAAGAATTCCAGGGGGGTTCACATTTGACAATTTTAGCCCAAAATCACTTAAATGGTGCTCAGAATGGTGAAAAATAGCATGATTTTGAAAGAATATTTGACAAGGGGGTGGTTTACCCCCTAACCCCCATGGCTACAGGCCTGGTAGACCTGTCCTTAAATATACTGTTTTACTTTGTGTCTATCTCATACTTATTTCATGATTGGTGTTTATTTCATAAATATGAACATTTATATATGTATTAAGTTACGTCTTAGCTAATTGCTTACTTGAGGAGGGCCAGTTTTCACAACCTCAGAATGATCAATCCCCAAACTCCAATCCGCCATGTTCTGTGCCATGAGAGGCCCAAACTGTTCACTAAGTGTATCTCTCGAACATGTCTGGAGGTCTGTGACGCTAGTGAGACCAATAGACTGGAGACGCTTAGATGTGCTACTTCCAATGCCTAGCAACAATACATTTCATGTTTTATAAAATACTTAAAAGTATGATTTGTTTGTGAAGGGCTGATAAGTAAGGAGTTTAGTAATTGCCAATAATTCTGGAGCATACATACATTGTATATTAATGAACTTCAGAACAAATAGCTCAACACATTCAAATTGCTTACATCTCATTGAATTGAGCAGTTACAAGTAAAATTTAACGAAGAAACATACATGAACTGTGTAGATGTACACATGTATTTGTGAAAAAAATAATTGGCTCTGAGGCCCATATACAACTTTTGCCAAGGGGATCACTTTTTAAAAAATTACATCTGGGGTTCACTTTTGACAATTTTGGTCCAAAAATGGCCAAAATCACAAAAGTGCCCAGAATAGTAAAAAATTGCATGATTTTGAAAGAATCTTTGGCCAGTGGGGGGCCTCGCTTCAAACCCATCACCCCCTCCCCCTGGCTACCAGCCTGCAGCTTCTTACCTGGTATTTTCCTGACATCCTTTAAAGATACCATAAGTTCCGTGATAAACTCAGGCAAGAGTACAGTTTGTTGATTGGGCTTATGTGTCGCTCCAACCAGTTTGGCTAACAATTTGTTATGTGCTATACCAGCGCAACATGTTATCCCTAATTCCTGGTGCAGGGACTTGCGGATCTCAGCTGCAATCTGCGAGCCAATCAGAAGCCTCTTGTGGCAACCACAGTAGCACTGAGACACTGGAATAAATGTAATAAATTCGATTTGAACATAGCAAGAACTTTTTTGTCTACTTTCCTTCTACCAAAACTTATTCATATCAAAAATATTTTAAGAGTGTCTTTCTTGAGGCAATTATATGATTTACATTTTCAATATCCGAGAGCAAAACCTAATGCACAACCTTTTATCATTAGAATTTTTGGAATGCATGCATTTTGAAGCATGGCACAATATTACAGTGGTCATGACTGGAACATCAAAATGCCATGAGGAATAATCTTTAAGATGAATCATTTTTAAAATGACTCACTGTTTTGATTTCATACATTGACAAAACAGTGTTACCAGTATATTAATACATGCACACTTAATTTCACTTAGTCAAAGTCAATTACTCCCAACTTATCTCCCAACTCTTTAATTGTTTCTGGTCAGCATTCAAAACCCAAAGTATCTGGCAATGGCCGCCACATCATTTTTACTCTTCTAGTAAACAAAAACTTGTTTGCAATTGGATGATGGATTCCTTTCACTTTTATTGGAATTGACTGTTGATTCTCAATTTTATTTAATGGTGTAAATTTGTTCACTGAAATAATTATATGAGATGTCTGATTTAACCTATAGAAATTATGAATGCGAAGAACATATTTTCAAATTTTAATTCTCAAGTACCATTTTTTAAATTGCTATTTTCCACGGCATACACATGACCAGCTATGGTATTATGGTTCTCCGTTTTGGGTAAGCAAAGTTTGATGACATCAGAGTTCATACGCTCGTTAACAAGTCCAGTGACATCTATAAAGTTTTCATCAAATCCAAGCCGCTCTACCTTCAAAGAGTATTTCAGCAAAAAATCTAAAATAAATTATGATTTAATATTGAATTTTATTAATAAAGAAATTTTACTGACAATCTAAATGTTTAAAGTTCATGGCAATTATTGTCACCAAGAATTATCTAGTAAATACCTGTAATCTTGTAAGACATGTCTCGGTACTTCGTCAAATCCTCTCCATTTACAATAACAATTTCAGGACATTTCTTCAAAGCATCTTTAAGGTAGCTAAGTTTGGTGACACCCTTTTCCCGGGCAACATAGTTACATGTCACAATGATGTTCTTTTGTTGGATTCCTGCAATAGGAAATTAATTTGCAATGTCCCCAAATCAACTCACCAAAAGGGCAAACAAGTGCTGCACCCTATTGATAATTCAACATTTAAATCCTATCTTATTGATAACCTGTTTGCACCCTGCCAAAATGATAAAATATTTTGACCAAAATAGGTCAAATAATTTTGCACCCTGTAGAGAAAAAATAATAGAAAGGTCATTGCTATAATTTGATTTTGGCAAATATTGCTGTTTTGATTTGTATTCAGTCAGGGCTCTCGCAAGGTGTTTAGACTATGTCGCAGCGCCACAATCTATTTAGCTCCCACCACACCCTATTGGCAAATTATTGTGAATTCAGTCTAAAGTTGACTGAATACACAATAATAGCATGTAAAACGGATAAAATATAACATTAACATGATTTATCACATTGGCGGATCTGGGGGGGGACCTGAAATTTGCCCCCCCCCCCCTTGTTGGTTCCCAGATCCACCCCTGTATCACAACTGAGAGGTTTTACTGCAGATGTTTCAACCACACCCTAAATATGTCCTAGTGAGAGCCCTGACAGTTGTATTTTACATCTATTGATTAATGGCCAATTGTACATATACCAGATATTTTACAATGATTATTCATACATATTTCAAAATATTTCACTTAATTACCTAGTTTGACATCTAATTTGTATAACAGGGCCCCATATCAGATAAATGTTAATTGAAATAAGTCACAGTAATTTGAAAGTGAGATAAATCATGCTGGTAGATCCTACATACATGTTTGTAGTGAAGATGTAAAATTGGATGAAATCCTAAATTGAACATTTTCATTTGGCTTCAAATCTAATGCAAGTTACTCTTGATCTCCTATTATCACACCAGTAGGCCTATTGATGTTTCTAATCTTACCTAGAGGCTTGTTGATCAGGTCAGGGTTATGCAGGGTCTCCACTTGGGCATAGAAACAGTCAATGTCTATATGAACTATAACACGCTTGTGGTTGTCAACATTACGGCTTGCTGAATCTGCAATTACAGTGTATAGTCTAAAAGCAGGTGAGTAACATGAGTAGACCTGAAAACTGAAAATTGAAAAAAAGGATCTCAGCCTACATTTTTTGGCAATATCTTTCTATTTTTTTTTTAAAATTGGCCCAGTTTGATCTCAATGGAGTTTTTGTAGAATTTTACAGGTGTCTGAAAGTGAAATGATGTTCACTTAAACAGAAAATAAAGTGTCTTAATTTTATGACAACATATTATGATTATAGATACAGGCTGCACATCAGTGTCACGATATAGGGTAAACACTTTGTTGTTTTGATTCTGTGCTACTTTTATATTTCGAAATTCAATATGTGAAAGCCAGGGCATGTAGGAGTTGAACATTTAAAACAAGAGCCTAATAGAGATAATGCAGTTGCAGAAAATGTACCCTTCATCCTGCATCTATATCTTGACTTCCAACATATACATATGTATAAGGACGCAGATAAAGATCAAAGAGTTATCACCAATTTAAGAGTGAAAACAAAAGTTCAGCTCTTGTGGAGGGTAGTAATGTACATGTACCTACCGCCATAAAAAACATTGTGTTGGACTTGGTTGAAATCTTCATCATCTTCTTCATCTTCAGACTGCTGAGTTGCGATAACTCTTAAATCATCTGAATGTGACATCATGGAGTAATTGGTACTTTCCACCTACAAGTAAACATGGGAGGTTATATGTTTATAACAGGAGAGGATCTGGAAATTGATAAGTGGGTCCAAAAAATCTGTCTTAAAATTTGGGTCTCATTTTGAATATTTAGGACATTTCGCAGTCACATTGGAAATATTGTGACCTAATAAGGAAACACATTCTGCAATTTGATTTTCCTTAACTATGGAGGGTATACATCCGATGAATGTTAAAATCCAATGAAGTGAGAAATACATGTAGGAGATGGTGCTGAAATACAATGGTCTTCAAAAGTGAAGGAAGGTGATAGGTACTCATGACCACAAATAAACAAGGCAATAACATGCAAAATGTCACCATCAGCCAATTGTTAAAGGCAACAAACACCAACAACTGAACATTGTCCACAAAACAGTTATGGAGACTTTAACAATATGTCAATTGTCAACACTCGTGGTCAACATAAAAACAGAACTGATGGTGGAACGATAATGAACTCTTTATATATTTTGTTTTATATGTATCTGCCTACACCTATGTGCAAATATAGCTCTCTGTGGTAGAACTACAGCACAGTCATATGTACTGTATGTTGAGCAATTATGGGAAGGTTTTAGACTCCTCAGTCCATGGAGAAAGTGACCCCCTCATTTATACCCAATATAAAGGGTAATAATAGAGAGAGGGGATGCAAGCCTGTCAGAAGCGGAGGGGTGTCGAGGGCGACCAACCCCCCCCCCCTTTTAGAGTTCTATTCATGATGCAAATGTGGCTCTCAGATATGCTAAGAATGTACCAGCAAAGTTTTCCAATTCCAGGACTTATAGTCCTGCCGTCCAATGATTGTCCAGGCAGTGTTTAAACGTAAGTACATATAGGGTCGTAGCATATGATAACCAGAGAGGGTCTAAATTTTTCATGGGGGACAAGTCACCAGACCCACTAGATTGTGGTGTATTTTGTGTTGGTGGCACATTCTATCAATACACAAAGGTCACCACCCTCTTGGAAAATCCTTCGGACAGGCCATGGGCTTTCAACTAGAAGGGTAGGCAACTTCCCATATTTCAGACATAAACATTGCCATGGGTTTTCAAAATTGGAGAATGTACACATTCCAAGGAAATCTTATTTTGTACTTTTTAGGATGATTTAAAGAAATAACTCAAAAATAAAAACATGATTATCTCCATACATGTTGATAATCCAATGAAAAATGGAATTCATCATAATTATGACAATACACAAAGTGAACATTCTCCCACAAATTATGTTTTTATTGGAATGTGTTCTTGAATAATTACCCACAATGCAATACTCAAAGAGAACATCTTGACACCTCTTATTCTAATTGGTCTTTTTAGTTTACTTTTACATGAGATTGAATATATTTTATGCTTTAATCATATTGAAAATTGATTTCTTTTCAAAATAATACTAACATATATATTTAATATCTAATAATTAATGAAATATTACCATAAAAGGGAAGCATGGCATTGCTCATTTTGAAGGTCTAATGCTAATTACACAGAGTTGCAGACCCTTCTAATTGAAAGCCCATGGACAGGCCTGGGATGACTTATTCCCCATCTCCCCATGCCTCAGTCATCTGCCCTGTCAACCCTCATGCATTAGGCGTGATTGTCACGCATTTGCTGGAAAAATAGAAATCACGCATCAATTTAGCATGTATGATCAAATATCACGCAATCACGCATTTTGTTGAAATTTTTAAAAATCGTTTTTTTGTGAAATGCTGACACGGTAAAATACCGAACGGAGAAAAAAACACGCGATTGTACAAAATATGTGTATATAATTATATCACGCATTTGTTTCGAAAATATTTACACCTACCCCCCGCCCCCCCCCCCCCCCCCCCCCCCCCCTTTGACGGATTTGAACAGCGAGCTGGAAAATTTTTAGGTGTCCAAATTCTGGCAGTGTTCACTGCAGCTGTCCAAAGTTTGAAGGAAGGTGTTCAACATTTTGAAGTCACTCATGTTAGATGGTCCCAAGTTGACAGCCCTAGTGTCAGTCATCCAACTGAGGAGGAGCAAGTGAGACTGTACATTGTACATCTGCTATGTAGCTAGAAGTTCCTGTTGGGCTGCCCTAATCAATCTAGAACGTTCAAAATGAAGACAAAATGGATGAAAAATCACAAACCATGAAATTAATCGATTACTAGACAGCATACACCGTAGAATATGCCAGATAACATGATTTTAGTAATTTTGTTGGTTTGTATTTTCCCACCGGAAGTGAAGAAGTTGTCACGTGACAGGCGCCATTGAAGATTTCTTTGCCGTTGCTAAAATCAACACTTCGAGAAAGTACGCGTATCAAGCAATACCAACTTAATAGTATGTTACGAAATGAATTGTAAGTATAAAACTGATAATAAAATCCCATATAGCATATTGTTTTTGTTTGCATAGTGTCATGTCTAAGAATTACAATTGAAATGAGAATCTTGTTTTATTTTTGAAAATTTTTGAGTTTTGACTTGACTTATAATTTAGGCCTAGATTTGAAATCAAATTCGTAGCCCTGCATGCTGCAAACACACTTGGATACAACTTCCCGTGGCTTCATATTGCAATTATAGAGAAAGAACTAGGAGAACTAGAAACTCTTTTGAGGTCATAAGAAGATTATGATCCGGTGGGTGCAAAGCCTACTCTAAATTGTAACAGGCTAGTCGTGCCGAGGTCTGATTTAGCCTAGGCTCTCTGTCAGATTTATTTTCCAAGGTTATTTTTTTCCGTTCTAGCTTATAGATCTACCGCTTTCCTCAATAACATTCATTCACTATCTTGTCCCTTAGTGACAACAATTTTGATAATCTCATCTTGCAAATTTCTGAGTCTACGTCTGTCTACATGTATGTAGATCTACATGTAATTTCGCAGTCGCATGTTCACAGTCGACCTTTCTTATTTAAGGTGCTATGGAAGTTAACAGGAAATGACAAAACAGGAAGTGACAACATTTTTTGCATTTTTTGCATTTTTTGAACAAAGATAACAGAGTTCTGTTTTGACCTCCAGTCAATTCAACTTCTTCCAAATACCATTTACAGGTCCAGGATCACAATGTTCATGGTCAGAATGACCCTAAACATGATGAAATAACATTTTCAGCCCTATGAAAATGTGACTGAAAAATAGCTAAAAGTAGGAGGTAGGAAAGGTCACTGAACAGAATCTTTTGAATTTTTCAGAAAATGTGCCTAATATATTGCTCTAAATGATACAATCTTTGAAAATTTAATATCATTTATAGAAAAAGAATAAAAATGAAAAAACTGATTGAAAAGCGATCTTTTTTCCTTTTTATGACCGCCATTTTTGTTTCAGACAATTTTCTAAATTTTCAAAGATTGTATCATTTAGAGCATTATATTGGGCACATTTTCTGAAAAATTCAAAAGATTCTGTTCAGTGACCTTCCCTTAGCTCCTACTTTTAGCTTTTTTCAGTCACACTTTCAAAGGGCTGAAAAGTTTATTTCATCAAGTTTAGGGTCATTCTGACCATGCACATTGTGATCCTGGTCATGTAAATGATATGTGGAAATAGTTAAATTGACTGGAGGTCAAACCAGAACTCTGTTATCTTTGTTAAAAAAATGTCTAAAAATGCTAAAGATTTTGTCACTTCCTGTTTTGTCATTTCCTGTTAACTTCCATAGCACCTTAAGTAATGTTTTTCACATCAAAAATATTCATCAAAAAATTGTATGTTTAGGGTCAGTACATTTCATGCTACGATTGTTGTTAACAATTGCCAAAATGCAAATAGGTAGTAGTTACCATTTTCACGACCAGGTGGCTCATTCGGGGTAGATAACATGATGTCTATGGGAATCTCCCTAACCTAGAATTTCAATTTTATGACGGAAATTATAATCATTTTCTACTCGCTTTGCTTGAGATTCCTTTGAGTGTTTCACATAAAGCATGACAAGTCTCTTCCTTCATATAGATATAGAGAAGCCATCCATCTGTTTGTTTTATCATCTGTCCAGGAGATAATTCAAATTCAGGTAGACAGACTTTGTTCAAATTTGATGTGCTGATGACTGAGGGATATCTCTAAGGAAGGATGAAACAATCAATGAGTGATTTATTTTACAAATAAAGCACAAGTTCAATGCTTAAAACATTAAATACATGTATGTACATGTCGTAGATATAATATTTATAAATGCTTTCTTTTATATCATACCATACACAGGTATAGTAAAGAATTTAAGAGTGTACATTCAATTATCCTCAAGTTATTGGAATGAATTCAAGTGTAAGATATTTGATATTTATCCACACTGTAGCAATAATCTTATAATCTAGTAATCTGTTTATGTATTATACAATGATCTTTTATAGTTGGGCACTCGTTGAAGTTAAACACTAAATATACGATTACAATATCAATTGTGTAGAATAAGTATTTTGTTTTGTGCACGACACTGACTGTAGGTCATTGCATGTATTATCAGTGACCCCTAAGCACTTTTTGTATTGTTCAATTCTCCCAGTGTTTTATCCCACAGAGCAGTCAGTCAAATTGTCTCAATTTTCATGGTTTCCAAATCTTAACTGGGTACAACAAATGATATTTTAACTGACTTAAAGATAATTTTCAAGATAATTATCAACTATGGTCGACTTGGTGTACCACTCAGATGCTTTAGTGTAGTGCAGCTACAGCTAATTGTGACACCGTCCCTCCCCCTACTACATCGCTTCCCTCGATGTCTCTGGTAGCACTGGTGATCCACTCGATTACGCTGGTTACCAAAACGAACCGTTTTGGTAACAAAATGTCGGAACATCGAAGGTACGATTTTTCTCGTTTCCTTATTTTACACGTTGTAGGCAGAATTCCCACGACATTTTTTAACACAAACAGTATCAGTATCATATGTTTAAGAAATTGTACATATTTGGGAACAAATAGTTCAGAAGACAACGGAATCGTTGATTTACTTCCTCACTTAAGTTACATAAACGGTTTCGGTTCAAAGTGCAGATCTTAACTGTTTTTCGAAAAAACCGTTTATGTAACTTAAGTGAGGAAGTAAATCGACGATTCTGTTGTCTTCTGAGCTATTTTTTCGCAAACATGTACATTTTCTAAAACATATGATACTGATGCACGTTCTGAGAAAAAACGTCGTGGGGATTCTGCCTACAACGCGTGAAATAAAGAAAAAATAAAAATCGTGCCTTCGACGTTCCGACATTTTGTTACCAAAACGGTTCGTTTTGGTAACCAGCGTAATCGAGTGGATCACCAGTGTGGTAGGGAGGGAGCTTAGGGAATTGAAGCTAGTTTCAGTACTTGGAGTCCACAATGATAACTTATGGCCTCCAAGTAGTATCTTTGTTTGTGCCTAGAACATAACATAGTACATAACATAATAATATTATATTACTTGTATATTTCCAGCTGAACTATTTCAAGCAACTAACAAACTGAGATAAATATTTCATCAGTGAGTTGGAGAGATCAATATGGAGAGAGGGTGAGTAAAGTAGTAGTTTATATTGTTAGATAACTTCATTCAAATCCCTTGCCAAGGGCTGATGTAAAAAAGTAATTCCACCTTGGTGGGAATCAAGCCCAAAACCACCTGATTGCCTACACCTGGAAAATAATATGAATTAAGAATAACAAAATTATAATTAATCGTTATTGAACTCTTGTGATACTATGGAAATCAATTTTTTGCCCCTTTTCTAGACTTTGGGCCCCAGTAAATTTAAAAAGGTATGAATAGAATCGGAAAGAAACTGTTGGTTACAGTCTAATTTTGGTAAGATTGTCATCTTAAAACTAAGTTTAATCAATCAATTGATCATTATAACTAATTGAAATCATTGTTTTCTGCTACATGAATAAAGATCTGATTGATATTACAGGTCACGTGTGAAGGGCTTGATTGACAGCTTGGACAAATTGAATGTCCAAAGAGGTTTGACCCCTGATGATCTTCAACAGTCCCGCTATGTTACCTCCAAGCTGCTCCAGTATGTCTCAAACACACAAGGTCAGTGTGTCAATATTGTGTTTGTATTAGGGAAGAATTTCTCACATTTCTGAAATGTATGAGCTTGGCTTATTTTATCATCTGTTCTTGGATTATATATCATCTCTTTTGGATTATTTATCATATGCACTTGGATAATTTGTCATTTGTTCTTAAATCAATCAGTTATCAAATGTATTTGGATTATTTCCATACGTATTTGGATTATTTTCATATGTATTTGGATTATTTTCATATGTATTTGGATTATTTTCATATGTAGTTGGATTATTTTCATATCATGTAGTTGGATTTTTCATTATTTGTAAATAATCACTAACATAAAAAAGTTGAATTTCATTAACAATTTATTTTTGCCATTTATTGAATATAACAAAATAATTTTTATTTGCTTGTGATAGGGAAAAAGGGGAAAGATTGTGAGTAAACATAACTGAAGTGCATGTGTATTATAAGGCTTTATGTTGTAGCTTTTCATGTTGCATGATTCTAGTCACAAAATGACAGCGAAATTCAGAGCTTTTGAATGATCAGTTGTCAGTGTGCACAAATTATGTGCCCAATTGTTCAGTGATTAAATACCTGGCTTTAATTCCCTAGGGGATATCTTTTTAAATGCCATGGTTTTGAAGGCTTAAGTGTTGAATTCATGATAGTTGAATACCCAATTATTGAATGGCTATGTGTTGAATTCATGATTGTTGAATACCCAATTATTGAATGGCTATGTGTTGAATTCATGATAATTGAATACCCAATTCTTGAATGGCTATGTGTTGAATTCATGATTGTTGAATACCCAATTCTTGAATGGCTATGTGTTGAATTCATGATTGTTGAATACCCAATTCTTGAATGGCTATGTGTTGAATTCATGATTGTTGAATACCCAGTTCTTGAATGGCTATGTGTTGAATTCATGATTGTTGAATACCCAATTCTTGAATGGCTATGTGTTGAATTCATGATTGTTGAATACCCAATTATTGAATGGCTATGTGTTGAATTCATGAGGGTTGAATACCCAATTCTTGAATGGCTATGTGTTGAATTCATGATAGTTTAATACCCAATTCTTGAATGGCTATGTGTTGAATTCATGAGAGTTGAATACCCAATTCTTGAATGGCTATGTGTTGAATTCATGACAGTTGAATACCCAATTATTGAATGGCTATGTGTTGAATTCATGATAGTTGAATACTCAATTCTTGAATGGCTGTGTTGAATTCATGATAATTGAATACCCAATTATTGAATGGCTATGTGTTGAATTCATGATTGTTGAATACCCAATTCTTGAATGGCTATGTATTGAATTCATGATAGTTGAATACCCAATTCTTGAATGGCTATGTGTTGAATTCATGAGAGTTGAATACCCAATTCTTGAATGGCTATGTGTTGAATTCATGAGAGTTGAATACCCAATTCTTGAATGGCTATGTGTTGAATTCATGATAGTTTAATACCCAATTCTTGAATGGCTATGTGTTGAATTCATGATAGTTGAATACCCAATTATTGAATGGCTATGTGTTGAATTCATGACAGTTGAATACCCAATTATTGAATGTCTGATGATTTAATTGTCTGCGTGTTATTTCCTCAAGTGTTTGGAACAACATAAACACACCCTTGCTTTATTATTTTATTTCCAATAATAAAATTGGGATGCCGAAAAGGTAGATGGTAGATAAGCATGCTTTCATTCTCTATTAGATCAATCATATCCTGAAGAATCCTTGTTATAATCAGCATGGAAGTTTGTTAGTATGTTATAATTGAAAAAAATATAATTAAAATGTATCAGTGATAATTATATCGTGAATTTTGTGTGATAAAATCACTAGTCCTCAATTTACTGTAATCTTGCATGTCACGGCCCATTATTGTGGATGGAAATCACCAATATCCCCTGACTGGATGTAATTAATTAGGACAACCATGTATATTAGTGGAACTGACAGTTATGCGGTGATAAGGAAATAATTTATTAACATATATTTTCAATTAGCTAGTTAAGACATGAACAATATAATTTTATTTTGGGTACCCCCCTCCCTGATCCCACCAATATTCATAATAATGTCTCATTATTATGTTGTCTTGGTAACTCTGAATGACAATATGATAATACTGTATCAATCAATTGAATCTACTTATTTGGACTTCATAACTGGGTACATGTATTTACAAAACACTTCTTTTTTGAGACTGTTCCCAATTTGAAGTTGATTGTGAATTATTTTATTTTTCAACTTTCAGATAAAGTTCATCGTGACCTGTTCTTGAAGAACATTTCTAATCTTGAGGTTCTCCTTTCCACCTTAGAGGTAATGTACAAATAGTAATCCTTAAATAAAAGAACTCCAACAACTTTTTGCCTATATCACATAGGGGAGATGACATTAAACATGTACTAAACTTTTAATGGCCTAATTTCTAGAAATAGGCCCTGAATAAGTCTCTAATATTTACCTTAAATAAAATATTAGTCCATTAATTCTGTGGCCACCAAAAAGTGGTGACATATTGTTGCTAATAACTTTCATTTTGGGACCGTTTTTTGGCGCATTCAGATCAAAAACTTCACATTTTTAATGAAATGCAGGTGTTGACATTTTGTCATGTTGATGCCTTATTAAATGTCATTGTTTTGATTTGTTTGTTTTCAGAACTCATCAGACAATTGTGTAAGACAGAATGTACTCTATGTTCTTATTGAGCTCATTGGAAAATCACGTAAGTATTGATTTATCATAAATTCACCCACCATTAGTTCTAAAAATGAGAGTATAATTAATACTACCTGTTATTATATCCACTAGCCCTGTTATACTGCTTAATTATGGTGTTTTTCCTTATTTCTGCTGATATAATCTGGTTTGACATGAAACTTTGAACATTTTCGATATTGCTATAATGCTGGTCTTTCATTTTTATTAATTATCAAACATAGAATTTCAATTCTATTTCAAAAATAAAGCAAAGTATGTCACTATAATGTAAATCAAGAAAACCCTTGATATTGACTCAATTGCGCTGATATTGATTTTTATTAAGTTTCATCCAAGGTAACACACAAGGAAACGACAATTCGTTGTTATGTCTTTCACAAATGTGTTCCCTACAATGAAACTCCAATTTGTGTCCATAGTTAAATTCAATTTAATTCATTTGTGTTTGTGTCTCCCCTAGGTGTTCATTTTTTAAAACCATTTGTGTCCATATTTCCCATATAATATATTTGTGTTTATGTCTCCCCTAGGTGTTCATTTTAACCATTTGTGTTCATCAATATTTCCCATTCAATACATTTGTGTTTGTCTCCCATTCTGTTCATGTTTTCCACTTGTGTGTATATATCCCATTGGGCCAATTTATGTTTACATCTTCTGTTTTATGTTTTACATTTGAAACCAGAGTTTTCTGCCATATATTTCTCTCTGTAGTTCTTTTATAATCACTTCACTCATTTCAGTCGTCCAAGTTTCAGCCATTCTGCCATATCAAACACTTTCATGAATAGAACCATTAGTTTTGAACATGTCTTGGATACTGTGTTGGAAGTGTGAAGTTATAGGTTCTCTGTCAATTCTGTCTTGTTTAATTTTGTTTAATTTAAAAATTAAACCACCTCAGAATAAAACTCGTGGATTTTTAATTTATGACAATGTGTGTGTAAATGAGATTAATATACACATGGCTATATGTAGATGGAATCAGTTGACTCTATCTTTCACAAAATCCAGTGATTAAGATATTTATCAAAGCTGTTGATGAGAAAACATGTATAAAGCATGATTTGTGTTCTATTGCAAAAGTGTCAGTATTTTAATGATGGTCATGCATGAATTTTGTATTATATGAGCATTCAACATTCAGAGTTTTATTATGTCACCACCACCAACTTTGTCGATGGTGTTCAGTGGTTGATGTTCAGTGTTCAGCATTCGGCATCTGTAACAAATGGCAGGTGGTGACATTTTGCATTTTAATGCCTTGTATTAAATTGAATTGTATCAGCAATGTGCTGATGAGCGTTGCTGCATCTGGATGAGCATACTTCCAGGAAAACCAACTATCTGTTAAACTTGAAATTTTTACAAATGGAAGAGATGACGTAGTCATGGGTATGCTGGATGAATTACTTACAGGGTAGCAAAAATTCAGATTCTTTCCATATTGTTATCATTCAATGTAAATCACTAAAATAAGCTTTTAAATAGCAGGTTGGAACATAGGGTTAATCAGGTCATACTTCCTCATGGTGGTGCCATTTCTTATTGCAGACACAGGAAAGCGTGCTACAGTTATGGTACAACAAGGGGCCACACAGGTGCTGTTTCACTTGCTAGTGGATGACAACAAGACTGCAGAAAATGATGACCTACAGATAACAATACATCAAGTCCTGGCTAAGTTAGGCCCTAAAGGTATGTTTAGTCCATACACACTGATGATAAAAATTTCACATGATTTATGAAAAATAAAAATAAAAATTATTTTCAATTATCAGATATGGATGCATTTCAATACAAGGATGAACCATTATAGTTTATTCAGGTGAGTATCAATGATACAGGGAAACTACAGAGAAATATCTGGAATTTGTGATCAAATGTTTCAAGAAAAGTTGTCAAATGATCCACGACTGTGGAAACAGAATGCTAATTTACAAGTTTACAACTTCCATTGCAATTTATAGTTTAATGTTTATTCTTTTCAAACATACGTTCATTTAACAGAAATGTATAGGTCCAGAAATTTATTTGAGACAGTAGAAAGGCTTGGTCATTTCACTATGACTTAAAATTTAAAAATCTTCATTTTAGATCGGAAGTTTGGAGTGAAGGCAAGATTAAGTCAGGCCCTCGCAGTAACCCTCAACATTGTACGGAACCACACCAGCAGCCCCAAATCCATACAGCCTGTCCTCCAGGTCCTCAAACAGCTTGCAAACAATGGTCAGTCTCAAATTTCACTTTTGCAGTAGTTATTTCATGCAATGAGACACTTGACTTATTCTGTCATAAATGAAGAAAAAACTTAAGAAACAATAGAATGCTATGTGCCAATAGAATGGAGGATGTGAGATTCAAGAAAAACCTCTTAGTGTAAGACATGCACATTACCAAATTGTAAATGATCTTGAATTCTAGAATATATCTTGGAAAGATTAAACAATTTTATTAATGGAAGAAGTTGAACTCCTAATTACTGCAGTTCTTATTTCAGAGTCGGTTCTGCTCATAGTATCCTTTGTTTTGCCATTTTTCACCTTTAATTGTCATTATATTGCAAATTATCTCAAAACTGCTTTTCAGCTGTGAATGCTTCCTACCTTGGAAAGAATGGTGCTATAAGTTACCTGTTTAAGATCGTATCTGTATGCGGACGGAAGCACCTCACTATATTGAAGTGTGCTCTCGACACACTTGGGTCACTGGTCAAGTCTAAGAGTAATTCAGCACGTGCAATAGGTCATGGTGGCGTACCCATGTTGATGTCTAGTTTCTATGATTGGCATAAGGTGGACACAAAGAACAGACATACAAATTTACGCAAATCTATATTGAACATTCTCAAACACATTACAAATCTCAGTAAGTAGGAATTTGTCGGTTTTTGAACAGTTGATTAGATCATTGCCCTTTATCCCTGTTAGTAAATCACACTACCCTCTGGCTATTATTAATGATTTTACATATTTGCTGTTGATTTGATCTTAATGATCTTAAATGATCATTCATGGCCTTTATGGGAAGTTTAATTGATATTTCCTACTTGAAACAATTTCGTTTTTAATATGTAATTTTAATCTGCTTTAATATAGGCTATATCAATGGCTGATCTCTAAAAATGTATGACTCAAGTTACTATAAAGCTCTGATCATCGATGGTAAAAACCCAGACATCTTGAGCCTTCTCCGTTTGATTTGTATGTCACCACCAAAAGTGGAAACATGTTGTTATGGTCTCCATTTTTATGATGGCGGTTAGTGTCCAGCATCTGGCATTCGGGGTCTGTTACAAATGGCAGGTGGTGACATTTTTCATGTTAAAGCCTTGAATATCTAATATTTTCAGAATCTGGTAGAAAAGCTCTCATTGAGGGAGATGGAATCCGTATCCTGTACACAACATGCCAGGAAACACTGCAAGTTCGTGAATTAGAAAGTGTCATATTTGTTGCCAGCCTCATTCTGAGGAAATGCTTCCCAAAGAACCGTCTTCCACTACAGAATGTATGTAGCGCCATCTCTTGTTCTCTTCCTGAGAGTGATTTCCATATCCCTGAATCTTATCTCAACCCAGATCTACAAGGTAAGACTTGCCTTAGTGGAATTTTGTGCATTATAGATTCCTTCTATAGAAAAATGAACAATTGTATTATTTCCAAATATGAACTGTCAAAAGAATGATAGGAACCCGAAAGGTATCGAAGTTGGAAAATTTGTGCGAAAAGTTGATCCTGTTATATTATGTAATGAATGACCAAAATGTATAGAATAACACTTATTCTCTAAATATAATGTATTATGTTGCCAATGGGAGATTTGCTTAATATTGCTGCCTTTATACTTTATATATTTTAGATAGAATAGATTTTTTCCATTAATTTTTAGCGTTTTAGTCTATAGTCCATTTGGGAGTAGTTTTGTGTGGTTAGATGAGATACAGTGCATGATTTTTATCAACATTTTAATCTTGGTATTAGAGTTCTCACTCATAAAATTTTAAATCATCATTCATATGATTAGATTTTTGGTGATGTCATTGCATCATTTATATTTCTTACATAGATTTTGTAATTTTCTAACTAATATCTGACTATAATATTAACATTAGTGGCATAGCGTTATGGTTCCTACACTATGAACTCCCATATATACATGTACAGGTCTGTGAAAGAGTTGCACCTTTTAGTATTAGTCCTGGCCTTGAAAAGTTATGGAATAGCAGATTTGCATCAAAAATGGCTTATTATCAATGGATTTTACGATCCCAAGAATGTTGGGGAAGTTTTGAGGGGGATAGAGAATTGAACATGTTTTATTCACAAAAGAAAACAAAACAAGATTAAACCATTCCCAGCTAATCCACCAACCCCTACCTAATTATTCACAACTTTGACATTTGGCTAATAAGGTGACTAGTTGAAACAGTAGGAACCATTAGGATGACTGAGTGTTGCATCTTTGCTATAGATAGCTCTCTTTCTTTCATGCTTCTCTAGATCCAACATTTTCTCACAATGCCGCATCATCTACAGGTTGCCACGGAGATGACAGCTCATTGGATAATGACGATGACATCAGTAGTGATGATAATGACGCTGCCAAACTGGAGTCTGAGGTGAGATATCTACTCATTTTAGAAATTGTAGTAAGATATAGACTATGTATTTTTAGGAGAATGGTTTATACAGAAATATTTTATATTAATTTACACTGAAAACTCACAAAAAAATTATATTGACATGATGAAGTATTCAAAATGACAAATGTGCATACAAAAATACTGTATGGGGCATTATTTTAAGGTATATAAAGTTTTGTATAAGTGTATGTGTACAATGTGTATTGTATATAGCAAGCTGAAGAATACATGCAGGAGTTAAGCTCTGAGATTGGTGTGAGTATAATATGTAACATGCTGGCATATATCAGTCTAACATTTAACAACTGTAGGGGGAGTATTAGAATACTATTAGTACGATTATTAGATAGAGGGGGATGTCCTCAAATGAGGGTACACTGGAAAATTCTAATGGGAAAATTCATGGTCAAAGATATTCTCCATACCTGGTCCTTTCAAAGTTCTGTGTGAACTGGCTGAAGTAACTGTAAATTTTTTTATTCTGAGCTAACATCAATGGACTGATATTGTGTCAAGTCTCCCTTTTATGTTTAAGATTTATGTTTGTTATAATTTAAGATTTTTGGACCTGGAACATGGTCTTGTGGTTAAAGCTTATAAGGCTGGTGTATTATATTTACTTCACACCTATTAACATAAGAGCTTCAATGTAAATCTGAAATTCGTTACATTCATGTTTGATAGAAGAGAAGCTCAATATATAACTTTGACCCTAGGATGCCTCATTTTTTAAAAATCAACAATGTGTATGTTCAGATTAATAAACTAATTGACCTTATTTTATGTAAATATATTAATTAATAAATGCTCACCAATTAAGTGGAATGACAGATGTATATTGAAAGACCAAAGTCCATTATGGTTCAAGTTAAAGGTTTTTCTGATTTTTATTTTGGTGCATTTTGGGCCACTGAGCTTCTTTATTTACACATTTTTTATTAATCTAAAGATGTTTGAATAACTGACCTATTATTATTATACTGCTTTTACTTGATCAACACAAGCTGACCTTTAAAACCCCACTTACCATAAATTAAATGTGATTTGTGGCTTGCTCCAACTACCAATGGTGCTCAGTGGTTAATTCCTTCATATAACTGTATTGAACATAGAACACAACTGATCAAGGTCATCTTTATGTCTTTTGTCTTTATATTATGGAGGGACACCATTGACCTCTCCACCTTAATTGTTTTGAATACAAAATCTTGTGCAAGTTGGGTTTTTAATTGATTTCATAATAGGAATGTTCAATCTACTCTAATATTGGCAGAGTGTCATTTATGGAACACCTAAATTCTCGTGAAATGCAACATGTAACCCCCAAATTCTCATGAAGTACAACGTGTAATCCCCACATTTCAGGATGACCTAGATGGAGAGCGAGAAAGAGCTCCACCAAGTGTTCAGTCGGCCAGTGAACTTGCTGCAGCATACAGTCAGTTCTTCCCAGAAATAGCTGAGTTTTTGGTAAGTCAATGTAGAAAGGCTAATTAAAAGTGTACAAATTTGTAGTTTAGAATTATTAAATGACTGTTTATTATGTAATACTATATGGCTACATAATGAATTCAGTCCAATATTTCCTCTCTGTTTTGGTTTTGGAGTTTGAGTAAAGCCTGTTTATATGTAATTCCCTTGGTTTTGTAAAAACATTCAATAGATTAATTGGACTTGCATTGATTTGCATTAATTGATTTCACTTGCAAATGTAATTAAAGTTAAATGAATTCTTTATTGTATATTTTGTGCATTAACCATTAATCCCACTGTCACTATTTGTAAAATGTTGACTGTGCACTCCCATAGCACATTCTAACCCAGCGATTTAAACAGTTTATACTGACTGAGACGTCTTATGTTTCAGTCAACAGAAGAAGACCAAGGAGCCAAGGCAAGGGCCCCTGTAGGTAGCCAATCAGACAGTGTTTTACATACCCCATATAGATCATTGGCTGCGAGTGGACGCTACAGTATGCCAAACTTGCCTAGTGCATCGGCAGAGGAAATCATGCTAGGATTTAATGATATGAGCATGCATGATGGGAGTAGACATAAAGAAACTTATACAAGGAAAAGTGATCTGAATATTCGAGATAATATCACTAGTGTAAACTTTGCTGGAATGTCTATGGAACGACGGACATCCGATAACCAATCAGACATTACATTAGATGAAACCGAGACTTTAGGTTTTCAAACCTCGGCTAAAGTTCCAATTAGAAGACCCCAACAGAGTACATCGAATAAAAGCCCCAAAGTAAAACGAAAAGCGAAAAGAAAACAAAAAACTCAAAGTCCTTCTAAAATGAAATCGCCCAGCAAAATGGACGATTGGTTTACGTCAGATTTGCAGTCTTCTTTATCAATCACCCAGATTTCTCCTCGTGACACCAAAGAGGAAACCCCATCTGAGGAATCACTCAGTGAGGAAGAGGAGCCTGGGGTCTATGAAGGACCAGATACATATGCAAGTATTGCTGCTAAAACCAAAGGTGTAGGCAGGTGGAACAAGATTGCATTTCCTGATCTCCATGGACATAAACCACCCCCTTTCCCAGAGCCTCTCTATGAGAGAAAGTTTGGAGTTCAAAGGTCAGTACTGAATGTCTTATAAAGGAAATTGTTGTCGTCTAATTGTATTTAGTTATACTTCAAGACTGCTATAGGGCCAACTCAAAAGATCAGATGTGATTTTAGCTCATATTTTTTTTAGAATGTAAAATGTATTTTGTAACTTCTATTTATTTTTGTATGTAGAACATATAGGTTTTAATAGAAAGGGGAATTCCAACTAATTAAATGAAAGGATGGAGGTAGTGAAGTATTTGTCAGAAACAAATGTAACATATTGCAGAATATCCATACAACTTTAAAAATATTTAACGAAAACAGTAAATGCAACCAATTTATCCTCTACTTTGAACAATTATACTAAATTTTTAAAATGTATGTCTGCATTTTAAAAGTCTATCCATTATCTAGGTGTAAAGTTTTTGAAGACATTGACCGCATGATCAACCCAGACCAAGTGATGGAGCATGTTGTCTTTGACCTTGATGCCATTGTGGCCAGCGCTGGCGACACCTATAACTCACGATATTCCGTCAACTCGAACAGAGATGCATCAAGGTTTGTTAATTACCACAAGTCATAGCTTCCAAATTATTAATGGTGATATATTGTTATGGTCTCCAACTTCTTTGTGGACTGTGTTTGGTGGTTGGTGATCAGCAGTCAGTGTTCGTTGTCTGTAACAAATGCAGGTGATGACATTTTACATGTTAATGCTTTTTAGCTGACATGGTGAGCTTTTGCAATCACTCACTTGTCCGTCTGTCTGTCCGTCCGTCTGTCCGTCCGTCAACAATAGTGGCACGTTTTAAAACCTCTGTCGATAGGATTCCTGTTTTAAGTTATTTCTGTTCAACATCAATACAGAAAAAACCCCTATGACCACCCTATGCAGACAGAGCCTGTGGGAAATATTGGGTGCGGCGCAAATGAGCGGAGGGTGCGGAGCTAACGGTCATTTTTTAATTTAAAATTGGGATATTTCTGAAACTAAGCCGTTTTGGGACTTCAAATATACCAAGATATGTGTATTTGACACCAAATATCAATAAAATTGTGAAAATAGTAGTGCAATTCATTCTATAGCGACGCAGTATGCCTTAAACATTTCCCAGACCTATATATTTTGAGACTATCCTTTTAATACTGCGTCCCCAGCATTCATAAAAAATGGTGTTCAAGATACACTACCCATGCAAATTATTTTTGCATCTTAGAAGCCAGGCAGTATCTGTGTGATTTTATAAAAATTCGGAAATGTTCTTCAGATATGAGCCCCTCTAAATATTGGGTGCGGAGCTACGTTTATGGAGCTGTTCCGCACCCAATATTTAGAGGGGGCTCATATCTGAAAAAATTTCCGAATTTTTATAATATCACACAGATACTGCCTGGATTCCAAGATGCAAAAATAATTTGTATAGATAGTGCACCTTGAACACCATTTTTTATGAATGCTGGGGACTCAGTATTAAAAGGATAATTTCAAAATATATAGGTCTGGGAAAGGTTTAAGGCACATTGCGTCGCTATAGAATGAATTGCGCTACCCAATATTTCCCACAGGCTCTGTCTGCATAGGGTGATGACTCCTGGTTCAAAAGCTCGCCTATTTTCAAAATGGCCGTCACTTTTGTCTCGCGAAATTCACTTTTAGCCCATTTCCTAGCTAACCTCTGTCGATAGGATTCCTGTTTTAAGTTATTTCTGTTCAACATCAATACAGAAAACCCCCCTATGACTCCTGGTTCAAAAGCTCTCCTATTTTCAAAATGGCCGTCACTTTTGTCTCGCGAAATTCACTTTTGGCCCATTTCCTAGCTTTACAAATAATTTCAGGTGTCCTACATTGTAAAAATCCATGTCAATGTGAAGATTAGATATATGAAATAATTTTGTTACAAAAAATCAGCAAAAAATTGTATCCATTTTTTTATTTTCAGCCATTTTAGTTAACATTGATTTGTCCATCTGTCTCGCAAAATTCACTTTTGGACCATTTACCTTAAACCCTCTGTTGATAGGATTCCCATTTAAAGTTAATTTTGTTCAACATCAATACAAAAACTCTCCTATGACTCTTGGTTCAAAAGCTCGGCTATTTTCAAAATGGCCGTCACTTTTGTCTCGCGAAATTCACTTTTGACCCATTTCCTAGCTTTACAAATAATTTCAGGTGTCCTACATTGTAAAAATCCATGTCAATGTAAAGGGTAGATATATGAAATAATTTTGTTACAAAAAATCAGCGAAAAATTGTATCCATTTTTTTATTTTCAGCCATTTTAGTTAACATTGAAGTATCTGACTTGCGAAATCCACTTTCTGTGGCACGTTTTAAAACCTCTGTCGATAGGATTCCTGTTTTAAGTTATTTCTGTTCAACATCAATTCAGAAAACTCCCCTATGACTCCTGGTTCAAAAGCTCGCCTATTTTCAAAATGGCCGCCATTTTTGTCTCGCGAAATTCACTTTTGACCCATTTCCTAGCATTACAAATAATTTCAAGTGTCCTACATTGTAAAAGTCCATGTCAATGTAAAGAGTAGATGTATGAAATAATTTTGTTATGAAAAATCAGCGAAAAATTATATCCATTTATTTATTTTCAGCCATTTTAGTTAACATTGATTTGTCCATCTGTCTCGCAAAATCCACTTTTGGACCATTTACCTTAAACCCTCTGTCGATAGGATTCCCATTTTAAGTTAATTTTGTTCAACATCAATACAAAAAACTCTCCTATGACTCTTGGTTCAAAAGCTCGCCTATTTTCAAAATGGTTGCCATTCTTGTTTCGCGAAATTCACTTTTTGCCCATTTAGTCTAATTTCCTAGCTTTACAAATAATTTCAGCTGTCCTGCATTGTAAAAAGCCATGTCACTGTAAAAGGTAGTTGTATGAAATAATTTTATTACAAAAAATCGGCAAAATATTATATCCGTTTTTTTTATTTTCAGCCATTTTAGTTAACATTGATTTGTCCATCTGTCTCGCGAAATCCTCTTTTGGACCTTTTGCTTAAAACCTCTGTTGATAGGATTCCAGTTTCAAGTTATTTTTGTTCAACATCAATACAAAAAACTCCCCTATGACTCCTGGTTCGAAAGCTTGCCTGATTTCAAAATGGTCGCCATTTTTGTCTCGCGAAATTCAATTTTGGCCCATTTCCTAGCTTTACAAAAAGCCATGTCACTGTAAAGAGTAGTTGTATGAAATAATTTTGTTACAAATTATTGGCAAAAAATTATATCCGTTTTTTTTTTCAGCCATTTTAATTGACTGAGAGACAGATGGCTTGAAATAATTTTGTAACAAAAAAAAAGCAAAAAATTATATTCGTTTTTTTTCTGTCACCATGTGAGCCCAGTACCCACGGTACTAATTTTCTACTTATTTTGGTGGAATTTTCTGAATAGAAGTTCAAGGTTTGATTATACAAATAGCAAATTAAGATTCATAGGCACTGATCAGTGATTTTCATTGTATTTCCTATGCAAATTAAAAGATTTTGTCAGAGATAATTGCAGACAAAAGATCGCTATCACATGATGAATAATATGTCGATTTTTACAGAATTTCAAGTTTTGGAATGTAGAACTCTCAATTCACCATACAGTGTGAAAATCTAACGATTCAATAAAGTCTAGTAGGGGAAGATTTACTAAATTAACTGATTCTGTATTCCAGGATTGGGCGTATTGAGGACTATTCCGACTACCTCAAGTTTAACTCACAATTTGAGAGTGGCAACCTTAGGAAGGCAATACAGGTAGGAAATACATAGCACAGGGATAGAATCAATGTTTTTGGTATAACATGTAAATGGAATTGCACATTCCCCAGTCTTCCAATATTGGTTGATATTTTAGAACTGGTGTTTGTTTTCAACCTTTACAATTGTCTCGTAACTTTAGAGGTAGTCATTGAAGATTGGCCTTGATAATGATAAGCAACGCCCCCCAAATATATCTTATTCAAAATGGTCCATTCCACTTAAACAAAGGGACCATATTACAATGTTACGTCAATATAAGATGGCAAATTGTATGTTTTACAGGTTAGAGAGCTGGAGTATGACTTGATCCTGAGTCCTGATGTTAACACCAACCACCATCACCAATGGTTTTACTTTGAAGTGAGCAATATGAAAGCAGGCATGAAGTACAGGTTCAACATTGTGAACTGTGAGAAAGTCAACAGCCAGTTCAACTTTGGTAAGTATTGCCTGGAAAAAATTCACAATATTGTGCAAATAGTGTATTTTATTTTATGAAATGCTATCATGGATGTAGCGCCCGGTACGCTGGGTACACACAGGCGTACCAGATGGTTGCAAATTTGCTCCAAATACAACCAAATTTCAAAATTTTCCCCGGGGGAGAACTCCCAGACCCCCATGAATTCTCGTTTTTTGACTCACTCAACTCTTTGTTCCTGTGGTGGTGTCGTACTACTTAGAAAAATCAGCTGTAAGACAGGTGTAAATCAGGGAACACATCATTCTTTAAATTGTTCACATAATTTATGTTTTCATTTCAGGTATGCAGCCTGTCATGTTTTCCGTGAGAGAAGCTATGGAGGGACGGCCATATTGGACTCGTGTAGGCTCAGAGATCTGTTACTATAGAAACCATTTTACACGCAGCTCCCAGGTGACGGGTGGAGTGAAGGGAAAGTCATATTACACCACTACTTTTACAATCATGTTTCCGCACACTAGAGATGTCTGCTATTTAGCTTATCATTTCCCTTACACATATTCAACACTTCAGGTAAGACTATGCAATGTTGAATTTAAAAAGAATAATAAGATTTAAAAGAGATCAAAATTATTGTGAGTCAAAATATTGGTTCTAAAATTAATTAAACCTCATATATTTAGTCCATTGTTCAATAGAGGTCTTATGAAACTAATTGTTTCATAAACAAGATAAGAGTATACCGGTATGTAAAATCAATTTCCATGTTAGTGCAGCAAAAATTTAGACCTTTTTCCAGTCAACTTTCACACCAAAAATGGAAATAATTCACTCTGTGTTTGAGGGTCTTAGCTTAAATCTAAATCTCTTATTCCCAGGTACATAGAGTTCACAAAATGATGTCCAACAGGGGTTAAATATTATGTATTGTATATTATAACTATTATACATGTACAAGTGATTCCTACCGCTATCTCTTCTGCATGTTCACTCCACTTTTCTTGAAAATTACTATTATCATAGCCTTATCATTAGTCTTGCATCAAACCTCCATCCCCTCCCTATAATACTCATTGTCCCAACATATTTGTCAGAGATTTCAGAACCAACACATGGGATTTATTGTTAAACTAACTTTTATACCTTAACTTCTTTTTGATGTCTTCATATTTCATTCACATAATAAAATACTGCATTTTTCACTCAGGCTAATCTATTCAAATGGAGCAATATTTACGACAAGCAATCCATATACTACAGGCAGCAAACATTGACGCACACACTCACTGGCAATCCAGTCCCGCTACTCACTATCACAGCTTACCCCACTTCACAAGACCAAGAGGGACTCGACCAGTTTAGTAAGTGATTTACCTGCACTTATTAGTTGCACACTAGGTCCTGTGCTTCGTTGGAGTAATAATATGATATAATCAGGTCATTTCATATAGTGATTCAAGTGGTCACAATATATTTAACTTTTGGAGCACCATTTTTTGCTCACACAGTGAGCCTATGGGATTGACCAGGCGTCCGTCCGTCCGTCCGTTGGTCCGTCCGTCCGTCTGTCCGTCCGTCCGTCCGTCCGTCCGTCAACATTGGCCGCACAAATTAAAACTGCTATTCGGATTGAGTCATATCCACATTCATTTTATGCATATCCATAATGCCTATTTGACCTATCATCGCCATTTCCCAAGTTCGCCCGGTTTCCGAGAAATTGCGGATTTTGACGTCAAAAAGTCAACTTTTCTGTAAATACTAGACACTTTGTTGAAGTAGAACTTTCAAATAACTTTTAGTAGTTGGTGTATATGCAACTTATGTCCTCTGAAGATTTCAAAGCTCTTGGAATTACGGTTTTTGGTGTTTACTCTATAAAATTTGAAAAAAAGTAGGACCGTCATTTTCAGGAAACTTTCTCATGTATAAAGTCAATGGCAGGTTTTGTGATTGACAAGATTCTTAAAGTTTGCCTTATACTTGATCATTTCCTGCAATAAATTACATCATTAATAGATTTAAGCATTCCCTACATATTTCTCAATATATGTCAGCATCAAATTTTTACCGTTTTTGAAATATTTGACATCAAAAAACAGTAAAAATAAGTTATTTTTCAACTTGCTTCAATTTGACCAAATTTTTTTTTGAAAATCATCTACAAGTTGCCAGGAGTTCAAATCTGACAAGGTTCAAGGTCAAAGGTCATCAAACTAGGTCGCATAACTATGCTATCTAAGTTTCTCAAAGTTCGAGACTACAAATCCAAATCAATATTTTTGTTTGAAAGTCAGGATATAAATTCCTCTGAAGGTTCCAAACTGTGTGAGCATAGGACCGTGGGTCCTTCATTAATTTCACCATTGTCAAGGCCCGATCAGAAAGTAAGTAACCAACAACTGCTCTAATTTTTTCATACTTTAATCAATCACATTGAAATTTTCACAGATGATGCAGAAAATATTAACCTATTAAATAAGATCAATGACAATGGATTAGCTTCAATTACATTGTTATGTGTGTTGCTATGGTGACGATTGTTTTGGGTAGGCGGGACACCCTTTTGAAGGCGGGTTTGGAAGATAATTTTTAGAATTTTTTTTTTGATATATTGTATACCTCCAAATGACCTCACATTTTTATGCAAGACTGCATAATATGTTTTATGTGATTATCACAATGGTAACTACATTCCATTCTCTCATTTATGAGTCATCGACACAAAGAAATCAAGGACATATGTGTCATAATGATGGTCACAGTTCAGTCACAGTGTCAGTCAAGTCAAATGTGGTTGAAAGGGGATTTTCCTGGCTTGACGACAATGCTGCACCCCAAAGAGCTCACATTACCGAGGATGCAGTAGATGAAGCCTTCTCCATGGCCACACAACTTCCCCAGGCTCCCTAGTCCCCAGACCTGGCCCCATGCGACTAATACATGTACCTCTTTCCAAATGCAAAGATGTCGTTACGTGGAATCCGTTTTTGACAGCAATGAAGCCGTCATTAAAGCTTTCAATGACAGTTTGCAGCCATTGAATGGTGACCTGATGCACGTCTTTAAGAACAGAGTGAAACGTTGCATTAACTGCATTGACTTTGGTAGCGATTATTTTGGGAGAACTAGGAATTAAAATGTAGTCATACATGTACATTTGATATATTTGGGGGTATAACAACATGTAGAAAAACTCTACAAAGTATCTTCAAACGTCACTTACAAAAGGGTGCCCCGCCTACCCAAAACAATTGTCACCATAGCAACAGCCATAACAATGCAATTGACGCAAGCCCATTTCCTTTGATCTTGTTTAATAGGTCAATATTTTCTACATCATCTGTGAAAATGTCAATGTGATTGAATAAAGTATGGAAAAATAAGAGCACTTGGTTACTTACTTTCTGATCGGGCCTCGTACATACATGTATATAGCTCATTTAATGTAAAAATATGTTTTGTTTGTATTTTAGGGTCAAGGCCATATATATTCTTGTCTGCCAGAGTGCATCCAGGAGAAAGCAATGCTAGCTGGGTAATGAAAGGTAATTAACATAACATTATAGCACTTTAATATGACAGCAAGTGACCACCAGGGTCAGAGTTTGCCCTTATATGGAGTATATGGATGGTTTGACAGAGTCTGTACTTAAGGCTAAATAAAGCCAAGTTTCTACTATTATAAGAATTTAAAAGGGTTAGTCAGGCTCAAAGATCAAACTTTAGGGTAACACAAGGGATTAACAGAATCACAGAGTCTGAACTTTAGGATGTAAATATGAAATGTTCAGGGTTAAAAAGTTTGTACTTTTATAAGACTGCATATAAAACATGGTCAGGCTCAGAGTCCATAATTTAGGCTACACAAGGGATTGATACAGTTACAAAGTCAAAGCAATATATATAAGAGATAATTTCAGGTTCTCTTGACTTGCTGTTGAGCAGTAAACCCCAAGCCCAGCAGTTGAGGGAGATGTATATATTCAAGGTGGTCCCTATGCTGAACCCTGATGGTGTCATCAATGGAACGTAAGAACATTGTCTAGTCATTGATCAAGCTAAGATTGAAACTAGCTATCTACAGTTAGAACTTAAAAATAATCTGCATTGAAAAGAGTTGGCAGGATTTATACAACTATTTTTGCTCCAATTCAGTCAGTTCCTTACACTTTAATAAATACCCTGATTGAATGAATGCATTATTTAAGAGACTCATAAATGTTTTGTAACCACAATGACTGACCATAGCATATTTACAAAACCAATTAGTGTATTTAACTATTGTGTGATGATTTCATATGTAGGCACAGATGTTCCATGGTAGCTGAAGACTTAAACCGCCGCTGGTTACATCCATGTCCAAAGCTTCACCCTACCATATACCACACTAAGGGCTTGTTGCAGTACATGCAGAGTATTAATAAAGCTCCATTGGTGAGTGAACATACTTTCATAGAGATGGACCATACAACTCAAATAGGATCTAAACCTTTTTAGCCTCATCTAAAATACCTTTTGAAGATCAGGAAATACTATATGTTTAAAGAGATGGACCATACAACTTGAAGAGGATCTAAACCTTTTTAGCCTTGTCTAGAATATATTTTGAAGATCAAGAAAGACTAAAATTTGCATTTTGAAAAAGTCTAAACCTTGTGACCAGAATCTTATATGTTTTTAAATGCTTTTGCGTTTCAGGTGTTCTGTGATTACCACGGTCACTCTAGGAGAAAGAATGTGTTTATGTATGGCTGTAGCCCAAGTATGTCCTGGATGAATGAAGACCTTGACAATCCAGCTATCAGCAGCAATAAGGTGGAAGACACTGGCTACAAGGTATTCTTTCATGCTCATATTTCAAATTGAATAATTCATATTTATCCCACCGAATGTAGTTTCGGGATATAGAAAAACTGTTTGTTCGTCCTTCTGTCCGTTATTCTGACTTAAGGTCAAAAAAGAAATATTTCGTATGTCTCCACATTGAGGACGAGTACACATTACGTGCTTCGAAGTAAATAGTCATATTGAATGGCTGAAATCCTTAAAGTTTTCTGAACACTGATGTAATTTCAGACTCTGCCCAGACTTCTACAGAGTAGTGCAGCTTCCTTCTCTCTTGGTAACTGTAGCTTTATGGTTGAGAAATCGAAGGAGGCCACAGCTAGGGTGGTGGTCTGGAGACAAATTGGGGTGGTGCGCAGTTACACCATGGAGAGCACCTATTGCGGTTGTGACCAAGGAGCATACAGGGTAAGTACCTCCCTTATTCAGAAAATAATTTTTACTGAGGTCAAGTTGAATTTTGCTGAAAATGTGTGTATGTAGACATTTCTAGTCTTTTACTGTATGCTGTTTTGTTGCGTAAATACTTCATACTTGTTTGAAGTTAAAGCAAAACTTAACACGTGTTTCCAGGGTAACCATATCAACACTAGGATGTTAGAGGAGATGGGCCGCAAATTCTGTGAAGCACTACTGAAGGTACGGAGCAGACATGCAAAGCTGGCTAGCTTTGGTAGCTTGGCAGGGGCACTGGCCAGTGACAGCAATATCAGTATACACTCAGACCCTTGGTAAGTTGTTCTGAAATGATTGAGTCAACATTTTGAATTAACATACCATTTGTGTTTCATATTTCCATATTTATGTCTTATTTTTAATTTCAGGCCAAATTTTGAAGAAAATGGGCCTCAAAATTACCAAATTTGGGCCCACTTTGGGTTTTAGGGGCTCAAAATTTTTTTTCGTGCAAGCGCAGAAGTTTTTTCTCTGACCTGAAATGCCTATTAAAATAAAGTTATGTCTTTAATTATAATTTTCAAAAAAGTATGACAGAGTGCATATAAGTACAAGTGCGTAATCAGCTTCCGAAGGCAGCCATATTTTGATAATTCATTTTCACAATACCATGTTGTGTTACAGTGAAGGAGCCATGGCTTTCCCATCAGTCCCCAGCTCTTCCAAAGATTTTGAGCTCCAGGAGAGTGACTCTTCCAGTAATAGTGACAGTCAATGTAGTGACTCGGATGAACTTGATGACATGGAGGAAGTAGAGGGAATTATGGGTGATGAAGGAGTCTATGAATACCCATAATGCAATAGGAAGAAAAATCAACATTTTTGGTTGGGTTGTGATTCTATAGAACCAGTATCATTTTGCAAGGAATGTATAAATATTCAATATGCCTTACAATTTCCTCTTATACACTTGATGGGCACTTTTCTAATCTGTTATTATTTATTCTAAGGATCTTGATTTTGTGGATATACCTGAGAGGTTACATATTACAATTACATGTATGTACAATATTAATCAAGAGTGTCAGTCAAAACAAAATGCTTTAATATATAATGTAGCTAATTGAACTTAATTTCCTCTATGTTTAATTTAATAGGGTGTTTGCAATAAAGGTACGCATGTCTAGGAGGCAGGTCATGATTTTGATTTTATCCAATAGATGTCGTTTATTGCATTTCAGACAGATTACTAAAGAACATCCCTTCATTTTCTTCATATTTAAAGCCACTTCCCTTTACGACTTATTTAACTTACAAAATATAATGGATGTTTAGTTTACCCTCCTTGTTTACATTGCTATAATGACATTGTCCATTGGAATCAAAGGGATTCAAGAAAACCCATACAGTTGTTTACATTGTAAACAAATGTATTTATGAGTAAAAAGTAATTGACATTTCAACTTATCATTATTATTGTACTATTATATGTATTTTACAAGTTCCGGTATTGTTTTAGTTACATTTCATAAATTAAATTCAAAACCATAAGAAGGAACATAGAAGAATCAATGAACTGTGATAGCTTATTTATGTAATTATGCAAAAGGTTCTGAACCAGGTTTATTCAAATGCTTTCTATTAAAGATTGTTGTTAATTATTTTGTGTGTATTTTGATATGTGATGAAATATATTGAAACATTACCAGTTCAGTTCATTTAACATGTTAATGCCTCTTTCATTATTTTGAAAAAATTGAAGCTATAAATGCAATGGGTGGATATTTGTCGAGAGTATATGGGGAGGGATTTTATTTGGAAAAAATGTCAATGAACTTCATTAAATGTATTTTTAAATCATATGCCTATATTTCATGAAAATATGGAGTATGAATGAAAACCATATTGATAAACGCACAAGGTATTATACCCTAATTAAATTATTTTGATTTTATTAGTGTTTAGAATTTTTTGTACATCTGTGTTATATTATGTAGAGATTGTTCTTTATTAAATAAAAACTGATAATGAAATCTAAATTGTTTTATTGCTTCACAGTTATGTACATTGTGTCACTAGATCATTCATATACATTGTGTCGCTTGATCATTCATGTACATTGTGTTGCTTGATCATTCATGTACATTGTGTCGCTTGATCATTCATGTACATTGTGTGGCTTGATCTTTCATGTACATTGTGTCGCTTGATCATTCATGTTCATTGTGTCGCTTGATCATTCATGTACATTGTATCGCTTGATCATTCATGTACATTGTGTCGCTTGATCATTCATGTACATTGTGTCGCTTGATCATTCATGTACATTGTGTCGCTTGATCATTCATGTACATTGTATCGCTTGATCATTCATGTACATTGTGTCGCTTGATCTTTTATGTACATTGTAGCTTGATCATTCATGTACATTGTATTGCTTGATCATATATGTACATTGTGTCGGTTGATCATTCATGTACATTGTATTACTTGATCATTTGTGTTCATTGTATCCCGTTCTCATTCATGTACATTGTTTTGCTCATTCATACAAGTGCTTATATTGTAATCACACATTGAATTGCTGAAGAGAAATAATTTGAAATTTCTAAGAATAAATCCAATTAACAGAGGTGCTCCACTGTACAGGTTTCACTCTAATTCATTATAATAAATTTCCAGCCACCTTGTGACTACTTTACAGAGCAATTAATGGTTTATTTGGTGTTAAATAATAAAGTGGATACATTATTAAGTTTTCAATGAATCTTGTGAAATACTTGAAAGAATGTTTTTAATGTATGGTATTAGGCTCGGTAAACAATGACTAATTGCTCTTTTGTAGAATGTCACTTGTGGAAGATGCACTTATACTTTACTTTAATATAATTCAATACAGTAAAACCTGTGTATATTGAACATTTTTCGAAAAGAAACGTTCAGTGCTGGTAGGTGTTCACTACAGAGAGGGTAATTATCCCAACTAACGAAGCCATCTGTCCGTCAGTTAGTCCGTCCGTCTGTCCGGGAGATAACTCGTATACTAGTGGACGGATTTTCCTCATATTTGTTGCAAAGATAGATATTGTATATAATTTTACGCAAATAAAAATTCGAATTCCAACAGCCGCTATTTTGTTCACTTCAACATTTGAATCGTGAATTTTGATCTTATTTCTTAGCGAAAAATTCTAAAACTCACAAGAAATGATCGCGATATTGGTTCGTAACATTTGAATTGTTTATTTTGAATATATAATCGGTTTTAATTTCAGAAAATGACGACATTTCTGGGTTTTCATTGTTGGAAAATATCGACTTCAATTCTGGGAGCCAATCCTCCTTGTTTGTAATATTCTTTTCAGAACAACTTAACCAAGAGTTCTTTCATGCACATCAAAGTATGATGAAACGTATAGCAGCCCCACCCATGTCTGACAGGTGCAAATTTCAAAGGAAAACTTAAATGGATAGGGTAGATTTAATGTATCTCTTCCATATTGGCAAGTGCAAATGGGGCTGAGTGTTGTAACGTCCATCTTGAAAATTTAAAATCAAAATGGCAGCCCTTGGTATGCTTTGAATACTGTTTTAAATAAAACCTAAAACCACGAAATGGAGAGCGATAATTGAAATCCGTTGTCATTGGGTGGCTGTTTATACATGAATAATATTTGGGTGAACTACTCCTTTATCAAATAATGGGCTACGAATAATCATCCCATCGATTATCTTCGATTATTCTTACCATATATTTACAATATTTACACTGTTCAAACATATTCAATTACAAAGGCACTTACACCATTGTGATTGTATATTTCCACGAAAGGTGTAAGACAACGTACAAAGTATCTTAGGAAGGATAATTTTGGAACTTATGTCATAATTGCAGTATTCAGTTATGTTCACTTATGATGTTATGGCTATAATTCCATTCATGATTTCAAAAGATCTAGTTGTAATTAGTTATGCACAATATTGAATTGATAATTCTTTGAAAGTGTGTATTCTTACGAATCTATTATTGCTAAGTATGGTGTGTTGATTTGATAATTATTGACTGCGCCAAGATATTGACACTCAACAATTATGTGCCTTACAAAATATTCCATATGGCAGTATAAGAATTGTTTTAAACGGAATGAAAATTCCTGTTTTTGTTTTTGTTCGGTATTCTATACTTTGGTTTCTCATATGTCTTTCTTATTTGAGAAACCTTCAGGTTTGTCCAAAAAATAAGAGTAAACTACTCCTGCTGTTTCTATAGACAGGGTTAATTAATTCGTAAATACCCTAATATTATGCTTGAATTATTTAAGTAGACTCTCATGTCATTGATAATACCACGCAAATATAACAGGAGATATTTCAGAGCATAATAATTCTTCAATAGACACCGTGATGAATGTTAAAGAAAACTTTTAAGAAAATCATAAAAAAGGCTCTGGTTGTCCCATCTGATTGTCAAATGTAGAATAAGTTATTTAGAATGGCATTAACAAAACCAACAAGTGAAAACAAGAACAAGAACCACGATGAGGATATTCACGAATTATGGGACTTCTATATGAAAATTAGACCCACTCAGGTCTGAATGATGGGCCCTGACATTGAACCAAATGTGAATGATAGCTACAACTCTGATTCAGTTGATATGGTAGGTACTGAAGTGTTTACATGGTAAATACCACAGTGTGTTCTAATGGTAGGTAATGGTAGACATTACTAAAAGGTATGTTTCCATGGTAAATAGCATCATAATATGCATGACGAGTACCATAAAGTATGTTGCCATGGTAACTTAGCAAAATGTTTGTTGCCATGATAAGTACTATAATTTTTGTTTCCATGGTTAGTCTCCAGTCCGTGGTCTCATAAACTGTTTTCATGGTAAAATGATTTTGATATTTTAACTGGCGGAAGGGGTGGTTTAATGTATTTTAAAATGTTATGTTGTTACCAGGTAAGTATTACAAATTGTTTTGTCCTGTTCAATACAAATTATTTTTCCTGTTCATCAGGATAACTTGTTTCTGAAAGAAGTAATGCATTTCTTATAGTTTCATACTTTCTACTGACATCTATATATACCATATCAAAAATATGCATTATCACCTGCCCCCTCTCCACTTAATGTCCTTGATATACCTAGGCACAAGCGAGAAAAACAATATTTTGTTTGAATTGTTGTTTATGACTATTAAAATTCAAATAAGCAAAACACACAATTAAGATATCATCCACTCAAGTTAAACCTTTTAGCATATCAAGAGGAAGTCTGGGATAGTTGATCAGTAGACCTAATGGATCTATTATCACAGATATTGACTTTTTCCGAGTTTCAAACTAGATCCATTAGGGCATCTGATCAAGCATTGCGATTCAGTTCATAGAAATATACTTGGAATGTGCTTTTAATTCTGGAAGTTAACAATTTCACATCATCCAATAGTCGCAGGATGTTTTTGTTTGAAGGCAAGACTAGGTACTCGTTTGATTATCTCATCGCCATTTGCCTAATTGATTAGGGTTTGGAAAGCTTTGTTTTTTGCATGAATTAATAATAAGATGTTATCTGGTTACTAAATCCACCATTACCTGTAACATCATCGAAAATGTTGCTGAACGCGATAAGACGGAGAAGCAGTTCCTACACTATATGCGAGGAGGTATGGCCGTCTTAAGAAAAACGTAGAAATTTAATTGATTTTTGCTCCCATTACTTTTGTAATTAATAATTCAGCGAAGTTTCTATGTACTTTACCTTATCGACAGGTTTGTAAAAACATATTCGACTTATTCTTCCACCGCGGAAACCAATTACATTAGTTTCCACATTGTAAACATACAAACAAAAAATATCAACACTATAAAAAACCACGGGAGTGATATCTGAAAAGAAACTTAAACGTAATCGTCATCGTTTGATTTTGTTATTTTACAGGAAAAACAGGAGCAACTTAGACCGCCTGATGTTATTTCGAATCAACCCTTTGGCTCTTTAGCTTTCGTGGAAGAAACCCAGCCCAAAGATATGGACAACCAGGACTGGGAAAACGTTGCGAGCAGTAAGAGTTCGTTAAAGGAGAGCATAAATGAGAAATCTGTGAAATATAAGGTAGACGAGTTCTGCAATGATACGAGCATTAATGCAATTACGCGTGCCTATAAGTCAAAGTCCGCTCTCAGGCGCTATACGTGGATTGTCATGTTCATCACTTCTGTGATCATTGTCGTCGTCCAAAGTAGCGCCCTCGTCCAGAAATACTTCACATGGCCTTCGGAGGTTAAGGTTGACATACTTTATGATGCTGTCATAGAGTTTCCCAGCATTACGGTTTGTAATCTGAACCCACTGCGACGTTCTCAACTAAGGGACGACGACGATCAACGTAAAGGTTTCAAAAACTTTGCTACAAATAGTGATATGGACGAAGAGGATGAGCTTTATAGCTTGTATAGCAAAGCTAAGCTTGAACTTCAACAAACTTTAGAGAATGGTCTTAATATTGGTGAACCTCCTCCTGAACCAACCAGCATCCCCGGTGACCTTGGGCCACCAAGCGCTCCTGCCGGTCCGACCTCTGGTGGCCCTGGGCCAATAAGCGCTCCTGTCGGTCCGACCTCTGGTGTCCCTGGAGCAACAAGCGCTCCTGCCGGTCCGACCTCTGGTGTCCCTGGAGCAACAAGCGCTCCTGCCGGTCCGACCTCTGGTGGCCCTGGAGCAACAAGCGCTCCTGCCGGTCCGACCTCTGGTGGGCCTGGGCCAACAAGCGCTCCTGCCGGTCCGGCCTCTGGTGTCCCTGGAGCAACAAGCGCTCCTGCCGGTCCGACTTCTGGTGGCCCTGGGCCAACAAGCGCTCCTGCCGGTCCGACCTCTGGTGGCCCTGGAGCAACAAGCGCTCCTGCCGGTCCGACCTCTGGTGGCCCTGGAGCAACAAGCGCTCCTGCCGGTCCGACCTCTGGTGGGCCTGGGCCAACAAGCGCTCCTGCCGGTCCGGCCTCTGGTGTCCCTGGAGCAACAAGCGCTCCTGCCGGTCCGACTTCTGGTGGCCCTGGGCCAACAAGCGCTCCTGCCGGTCCGACCTCTGGTGGCCCTGGAGCAACAAGCGCTCCTGCCGGTCCGGCCTCTGGTGTCCCTGGAGCAACAAGCGCTCCTGCCGGTCCGACCTCTGGTGGCCCTGGGCCAACAAGCGCTCCTGCCGGTCCGACCTCTGGTGTCCCTGGAGCAACAAGCGCTCCTGCTGGTCCGACCCCCGGTGTCCCTGGACCAACAAGCACTCCTGCCGGTCCGACCTCCGATGACTCTGGACCAACAAGTACCCCTGTCGATCCGTCTTTAGGCATACTAGGATCTGATTCAGGTGAACTTACTTTTATTGAAATCTATTTTAAGGTTGGTGTTTATAAATCATAAAGAAGCAAGACATTTTTTTATGGACGTGTTAAGTATATTATTGTAGAAGCTATGTAATACAACTTAAAAATTGAAGGCCGAGCCAAATTTTATAAAATGATACGCATGATAGAGGTGAACGTTTAGATAAGTTGTCTTGATTTCAATTATTATCGTTCTACATGCTTCACCTGTCATACGATGCTTACCCAATCTGTCCCAGACAGTGAAGTTAAATACTGAATTTTTGATGGTAGACAACATTTTTTCGATACCCTCATCGAACGAATTTTATCCACCATCTTGGATGATACTAACTCAAGTTAGTTTCATCCTGCTGTGGACCAGTGATACTCGTAATTTACTTTCTGTAAAATGTAAATGATGTAAATGATGACTATCATACTCATAGGCATTCAGTTGTATACAGTCACTGAAAATCTGGATCTAGTTTCGTAAATGCTCTAATTAGAGATTAGAGTAGATGATTCGCGGTGGACCAAGGGCTCGGGTTCCCATCTAAGTGGGATCCCAAATCTGGTCTACCCTGCGCGCAGAGTCTAGTTATCAACTACGAACTCTCTTTTTGACTCCGTAACAATTCAATCATGCAAACATAATAATACAAAACTATTTTGGTGTATTTCGAGCCATCCCGTGGCCTGTATAAAATTTCTTTTCATTTATAGTTATAAAATTGATATTACATAATATTATTTTAATACTATTAAATTACAATAATAACAAATAATTTTTTGGGCTGATAAGAGCCACAGAGACACATAGATGTGTGTCATACACCAAATTAAGAAGTGAAATCAACGAATCTAAAGGGTAAAACAGGCCTTATTTCGGGCCTTGTTTTCACAAATTAATAATATATTTTACGCTCCCCATCTTGTCAGTCCGTCCGTAGTTACACAGAACAGTGTTTTTTGAATATCAATCAAAATATTGAGAATTGTATACGAGTATCGTATGTCACTGACATGAAATGAAGCCAGAAGTCTTAGACTCTTTAGAAAATAGAGTTTGTGATAAAATAAATGCCTTGAGCAGAAAATAAATGTAAAAATGTGATAATTTTACCCCCACGCGCTAAAAATGCCTAGTTGACTCTTACATGTCTTAAGGGATCTGTAAATATTTGTAAGTTTTTAAAAGTACTTAGAATACTTCATCATCATCAGACATATTGTAATGAATTGAAAGAGATTTTCAAACGTAGAATAATGTCATTACAGTATATTTATTTGACAAGTTGAGAGTTAATGTAAACTGATAAATATTGATAAACAAGTATATTCAACACTCTATACAGTACACATATCACGAACTTCTATTCAATACAACATGCTTCAATGAACAATTAAATGGAATTAGTGCAAAAATTTGAGAGATTTATCCAAGTTAAAAGCACTTTGAATGCATACATGACGTCAACGACGATATTTTGCCAATAATACTAAGCGATGTAATAATATTTATGAAATGGCCTTACCTCCCAATTTTAATTTTCACCATTTAAACTCTCTATATGATACAAACAACTCGATGCCATGATATAAACGCGTGATAATTATGCAATCAATGGAAGTAAACAGACGATTGTTTTGGTTATAAGCATACATAGAGATGTCATCAATGAGGGTGAAAAGTGAGGGGACATAAATTATTTCAAACTCGAGAGCACCACTAAACGAGAACTCCCGTTCCAGAGTAGTGGCATTCACACTCACAGTGGCTGAGTCAACCAATAAACTCAATCAATCGGGCAAGCGATTTAAGATGTCTTTAGATACACCAGTCACAAGCCGGAGGAGCAAACTTGGCGTCTCATTAATAAATATAGGGTACCAAAATGAGCGTACACCAGAACTTGATGCTCGATCTTTCAACAGTTCAATTGCATTTGGAAGCAAGAATACGTTGATGAGTGATGACGACGAAGAAAAGGACGAGAAATCAATGAAATACAAACTGGAAGAGTTCTGCACTGAATCAAGCGTAAATGCCATAACAAGAGCTTACAAGACCAAATCCAAACTTAGACGTTACACATGGCTGACAATGTTTCTGTTTTCTGTGACTCTCGTTTTTGCCCAAAGTAGAACTCTCGTCACCAAATACTTCACCTACCCGTCAGAGGTTAAACTTGATATGATTTACGAACCAGAACTGGAATTACCAAGCGTCACAATCTGTAATCTAAACCCCATTAGACGATCAAAATTGTTTCATAATGAAAAATTCGAGATGTTTGCTACCAACAGTGATACGGACGAAGAAGATGAGTTGTACAAGAGTTATAAGAACAAATTGAATGTTAATAATTACGAAGAACCTGACGAGGAAAATGATGATGTGGAAAATGGAAGTTTTTTGAACGATGAGACTCAGGATGGCACTGAACAGACCGAAGCGCAAGACACAACGACAACGACACAAGATTTAACTACTGAAACAGTTCTTTCCAATGATGCAAACGAAGAAACTGTAAATAATCCAGGAGAGTCCTTTGATGAGCCCGGGGAGACTAATAATAATCCCGTAGAGTTCAATGATGGCCCCGGAGAGCCATTTGGATATCCCGTAGGGCCCAATGCATATCCCGGAGAGTCTTTTGATCCCGCAGAGCCCAGTGAATATCCCGAAGAGACCATTGATGATCCCGAAGAGACCATTGATGATCCCGAAGAGTCCATTGATGATCCCGAAGAGTCCATTGATTATCCCTCGGAAGGAACAGCAACAACAGGTATGAACGGTGTGAAACGACTTGACCGAACCAAGGAAGTTTCTTCGAACCCCATACTTTATATTCCTGTTATAGATTTATATATTTAAATCGCACATTAATCTGATAACGGAGAAATCAGAATTGTATATTTTCATGCTAGAAATAGCCATTACATACAATACTTGAAGCGACTCGGTTTTAGAAAAAAAATTAAAAAGTTTTAGTTGATTTTACCCGATATGAAAGAATTCAAAGGTGTCCCATGTTGTAATGATAAATTATGCTCAAGAGTTTTTATTTGAGAAGGAAACAATCTGAAATTCACATAGATTAAAGATCAATATGTATGCTTCATTTTGTTAAATACATTGTTACTAAAACACAGGAAATATTCCATGTATGCTGCATGTATGTATGACTGCCATAGCAACATGTATGCGCGTTCTGCGGAGTAAATTTGTTCCAAACATTTTTGAAAACCATTTCGTTGTCATGTTTCACTGCACCGTTCACTAGACTACTAGTTCACTACACTAGTATTGCTATGTTACTCCCCATACCCCTCAATTGAGCATTGTACATGGTTGTTTGACGTATCCACGTGTCCATTGCTGGTAACAATTTCTCAGTTACCTTTCCATACATGATTGCAACGCATGATCGAAACCACTGTTTGACATATCCTGCGGGGCCAACATGTGCTGCTTCAAATCACAATAGGGATAAAGATTAGATGGCGCTCCATCAGATGAGTAGAGAGCACCAAAGAGGGCCTCCATAGACACGAGTGTCTCTATTGTGTCAATGACCTTTTTGGAAAGGTGAAACCACCATGTATATGGTGTCAATTTGCGCTGTGACCCCCCTCCACATCCAATACTGGGGAAGGCACCCACGCAAACTAAATATCAAATTAAAGCTTATTTAATTCTGGATAAATGCCGAAAGTTTCAGATTTCTATCCACAATTATGGTGACCTAAATACAACTCTTTCCCTCATTATCTTATACGCAATCAGGGCCAGTAAGGGCCGTTAAGAAAGGGGACCATAATCCCTGGGGGACCATCATTTCTTTCACACCGTATATAGTCTGTATGTGCACACTGAGCAGCTTTGACAGCAGAAAGTCGGCTTGGGAATGATCGCAGCAGATTTTTGAATATGTCGGTTTTTCTCTCCATTACAAAATATTCATACCTATGAAGCTTGTTAGCAACCCATTTCTTATCTATAAGATCTGCATCATCATCCCCTTACGTCACAGCATGCAATGCATTTGATTCTGTCAATACATTGTTTCTGATCATCATAATAAAGTTGGTGTGCCATGTTGAGTTTTAACTAAGAATGACTTAAATGGCTTTGGGGTATGTGAGAGGCATACCAGAAACAATGTATTTGTAGCAATCCAAATGGAAGTCATTTGATTCAGAATTAAATGAGCTTTAATTTGAGATATAGTTTTTGTGGGCGCCTTTCCAAGTATTGGCTTTGGAGGGAGGGGGGGGGGTCACAGCACAAATTAATACCCTGTTCAATGGTACTCGAGGAATAAAATAGCAATACTACTGTAGTAGTACGTGAACAGCATTGAAAAATATTAACAGAAAATGTTTTCAAAAAATGTTCGGAAAACAAAGTTGCTCCGCGGAACGCAGTACATATTCGTGTTGGTGCGATTAATTGATTTGAATATTGAATAATCATATAGTAATATCAACTAGCACTGCAAGTTATCTCATACAACGTAATGATGTCCTCTCTCATGGTGAAGGCTATTTAAGATTTAAAGTACACAGTCTATGTTGGTCGTGATTACATGCTTGTGACAGATGAAATACATTAATATTTTATTGACCTAAATAGGTTGCATTAGATGCAATTAATGATGTAATGGTATCTACGTAATCAAAACAGCAAGCTATCCCCATCAGATTTTACCTGGTGCCTTTATGAGTTTAATTCAAAGGGCATCATTAAAATGGTAATCAATTAGCAATAATATTATTTATTTATGCTAAGGGAATTACAAAGGCATAATAATGAACTACTTCTGCGAAGTACTTTTATTCATACATACACCATGCACGCATTGTAAATTGTATTCTTGACTGCTTATTAGTGTGTTTGTGAAATCGTATTATAAACTACAAAATGTCATATGAAATAAACTTAAAATATACTCGTGGAATGATTCCCTGAATCAGTAAATGTAGTTTCTTCAAGTCCGAGCTAACATCTAGTGACATAAACAACCAAAATGGCGCGAAACGCAGAGCTCAAATGTAAACGCTCATGGTCTACTCGACCACCTGGAATATTATGTAATCTGCATTAATTTGGCGTTCCTTGTGTTCCCGAAGGCAGCAACTACATATGCTCAACATGTTCGGTTCTTTGAGTGGGAGGCAATTGTTGAATATTTGGGAGGTGGTTGTTTTTTATGTGAATGCCAAAAGCTGTCAATGTTAAAACTGTTAGCCCACTGATAGAACATGCAAAGGAAGAGGTGCGATAATTGGCATATACCCCCATGGTCAACATGAATCATTCTTAGGTGTAACATGATGAATAGGCGGTCATATCATTCTTTGACAAATATTAAAGGGGTCGTTTAGTTCAGCAATGATGTACTGACTTACATGGGGCTGTGCACCATTGACTTCACATGAGGATATCAGCATATCCCAATAGAGGCCATTGGTTTCTATTGATTATCACAAAAATACCAAAAATACATTATGACCTGAATCGATTGCAAACTTAATAATTTCACAATATGACACAAATGGTTTATCTCATCAAATGTGCAAATATGAAATTTGCAATCGATTCAGGTCATACTTCAAATTAAAAGATCATTTTTTCCTACAAAATGGCTTAAAAAAATCCTCCAAAAAGAACTTTTACATATATCAAATATCATCCAAGTTTGTAAAACCAAGGATTATACAATTATATTTCATTATTAAGTAACATATTTTGGATAATGTGTAGGGATTCGTAGGATGCAAATGGATTTTGATAGACACAAAAATACTTCCTGGTTTGGAATCTATGCCTCTACACTTCATGATTGAATTATGACCCTAATGAAAAGTGGCATATACATCAATACAGTAACTACTGAATATAGGTCAACGAGATACTAGTGTACATATATTTAATGTAATAATAAAAGAAGAATACTCATTTTGAAAAATCAGATGAGTTAATTTTTCTCCATGGGGAGATCATAATGGAGAACGCACAACCTCCTTTCAAAATTAAAAAAATTTAAAATCCTCTAGTTAAGGAATTATGAAAATTTTTACTCAGCAATGTTTCAATAACTTGTACGAGACAAAATGCCTCGCATTTATAGGGGCAAGACGCAATAGTGGGTTTGGACTAGATCCTCCACAAGTAATATACTGTGTTTTCCCTTCTGTTTATATCATGCAAATAAAATTATAACTTTATACACTATACAGTAATTTGATTTACAGATGCACCAACATTGAGCTGGGAAGAAGAGGAAGAAGAGGAAGAAGAGGAAGACGACTTTAATAAATGGACCTATTTAGCAAACCAAGGCAGTTCTTTCTACAGTCAAGAAAACTCCAGGTAGACTGGTTTAACTTCATTTGCATTTGTGATAGTCTCGGCCATCTCCGTTTGAGTGGCATCGGCGCTCTTCCCGTTCAAATATGTTCAAGCTTTGTATTCTAATGTTCCCTGCTCAAACATCTACCTCCAAGGTCGGATCTGAAAATCAAGAGGGGGCCAAAAATGTTAGTGCTTTGCCTAATTTCTAAAGAAAATACCCAAATTAAAAATAATGCCCAGTAATGCTAGTTAACAACCCAATTGCCCAATTTATCTGGGAGAACTTTGGGCTCACAGATCCACGATTGACGTCATTGTTGTTTCAGGCACAAAGAGGCCACAAAAATGATGCAGATGATATCTGAAGCGGACGAGGAGACTATGGGTGAGATCGGACACCAGCTAGAGGACATGCTGATAGAGTGTTCCTGGGCAGGCTACCAATGCTCTCCTCAGTAAGTGTCCGAATGAATTTTAAAAACCTTCTTTAAAGGGTGACGCATACCGTTTAGCAAATCTCTCGTTTGCGGTGTTTTCTCACTGTTTAGTATAAAAGGCACGATCCCGGTAAAACAGCCCTTATTCTCGTCACCATACAAGTCAATGGGCAAAAGGGCAAACGCCTGACTTTTTATCTAAATAAACGCATTTTCAGAAGAAATGGCATGTTATCATTGCAAAAAGATGACAACTGTATGTACATACTAGCTTACTCACTCGCCATGGTCACAATTGTGTTGGGACTACATTAATTTTTTAAAACTACTTATTTCTATTCAGCGGAAGTGACGTATTAGGGCATTTTGGCCCTCGGATAATACTCAAGGGTAAGCAGGATGAAGTCAATGTGTAATGACTTCTACCTGTTTATGTGCCACATGTATAATTATATGGATCGTCACGGATTTATCAAAGGGAGATTTTTATATTGACAAAATCAATTTCACATTTCTTTGGTGAAGTTTCAGGTTCTTCTATTTGTGATTAATGGAAAAATTGATATCTAGATTTGCCCATCACGTATTAGCACAACCCATGGTCTTATGAAATTATGTTAAAATCATTTTTTACCCCAATACACCCTCTGATTTGAAAATAATTTTTACCCCAATACACACTCCGATTTGAAAATCATTTTTTACCCAAATACACCCTCTGATTTGCAAATCATTTATACCCCAATACACCATATGATTTGAAAATCATTTTTACCCCAATGTACCCTCTGATTTGAAAATCATAATTTTACCCCAATACACCCTCTGATTTGAATTAACTGAGTTATCTCTCAACCGTTGACATTTGATCACCATCCCTAATCCTGAATTAAACCAGAGTTGTTCTACAAGAGTTCTTTTTACAAAATCGGCACGGGAAGTTACGTTGAACATACACCATAACATTATACGCAACACTTGGATCGCTGACAATAATTATGTTTGAACTAAAACTTATCAAGGTCATCATTAAAATCGAGGTCAAATCTATTTTTATTATTTTATTATCCTCGCACTTGACTAATACCACTATTCTTCTAGAATTTAGTAAGTTTACGGAATAGGAAGTAGAACTGCAATTATCTCGTTAGTCCCCCGATATGCTGAGAGTAATGTCGTCGGATGCTCAAAGCTACGGTCTTTGCTTTGTACGTCACATCTTTTTCCAACAAGAGACTGTAACCATAGAACTGTGAAAACAAGGCTGATCATGATGAGGACACGTTTTACAATCAAATTCAATATTTTCCGTCAAACGTTGTTAAGAGTAATTACTACATAGAACTTACAACAAACAATAATAAACTATTGACTTCTTGGTGGACAAGTTTCTTCTTTTGTATTTGCGTGTTTCTAACTCTTTGCGTTAATTGCCTCTATTCTCCGAATGTCAAATTATTGAAAAATCGAAGATGAATTCGATATGTTATTATGGTACTTTAAAGTAACAAAGCTGGACCGTATACTCATTTACCGTTATCTTGATTGAAGTCAATTTCTAGGCTTCCTAGAGTGCCCTTAACGAAAACAATAACACTAAATGGAGTTTGGTTTCTATTGAATATTTCTACAATGCCGCATAGCTACACTGTACGAACATGAATTGTAAGGATTATTGTTTCGTTCCCTGTTCCCATTATAGATGTATTCGTGCACCCTCTGGGTCTAGTCTTTGCCAAAAACTGAGGATCATATAAACTCCGATAGTCAAAGTCATTAGCGGCGGGGCATTCCCGCCTATTCCCGTTATAAAAGAAAAAATGGTCCTCGGGATTGTAGTCCCTTGGCCCCCATTGGTAATTTACATAGAGCGGACCAGTAGTTACAGTAGACGTCAGTTTCGCCATTAGGTTAACTTTTTGAATCAGATGAAATGACCGGCAAAGAAAAAGTTCCCTACACTAATGATAGTTTTTGTGGATCAATTTTCATTTTGATTTTACCAAAATAAGGATCTACTACTGTAGTTGTTTGTTGATGAAATTTCCAAATGAGCAGTGTATGTTTTGTTCGTTGGGATCTGCTACTCAGTCGGCTTGCAAGGTTCTGAATCAACCCCTCCTTAACATCTGTAATATTTCGGTCTCCTTCATAGAGGCAAGCCGCCTCTTTTAGATTTTACAACTCTCCGTTTGAAAAATGGAATAAAATATTTTCATTGTACAGTCAAATTATTTTCATCTTTTATTTAGGAATTTCACAAGACTGCAGAATGATTACTATGGCAACTGTTTTACATTCAACGCGGGCGACATGGGTAACGCGTACAACCTCTCTTGGACAAATGAAACCACAGAACCTCTAACAGTCAGTAAAGGAGGACCACTTTATGGTAAGACCGCAAACAGTAAATAGATACACTACTAAGTCTAAAAGGACGGTTACTTTAATGAGTGTCTTGGTAAAGAAGAATATACAAAAATCAGAGGCTAACTGGCAACAGTTAGAAAAATGGCAACTTTGGGAACCACTTCAAGGTAGTGTCCCTTTATTCGAACATCAGAAAACAACTTTGAACAATGCAATGTGTTTAAAAAAACAAAAACAAAAAACGGGTATATAATTACATACTAGTTTGCATCGAGTCAAAACCCCCATATATATACTTCACCTCCAAGAGGTGAGGTGTGTAGGCGAAAAGGCGAGGCCACAAATGAATGCCCCAAGACCGACTACATTTATTTTTACCTCTTTAGGTCTGACATTGGAGTTATTCATAGAACAACATGAGTACGTAGGGGACTTGAGTCCAGGTGCCGGCATGAGGGTAGTTGTCCATTCAGTCTCACAAATGCCTTTCCCAGAAGATGAGGGATTCGACATAGCACCCGGATACGCTACTTCAGTGGGACTAAAGAAGGTTGGCACTACAATAATGTATTATATTATTTTGAGAGGTAACAACGGACTCCTATTTATAAACTTTTCCATCAAGTATAATCGTCCTGTGTCAGTAACTTGTGTCTTACTCTCATTTTCGTCTTGTTTCATTGGATTACCTCTCACTGTCTCATTAGCAACAATTAAGTCAATTATAAAATATCTTTACTTCTTGTAATGGTTCATCTCACGACCAAAGTCTCTATGACCTCATTACTAATAAGTCACCTTATCACAAATGACGCGATTACCTCATTACAATCATATCGATCACATCACCAAAACAGTCTCATATAAGGGATAACCAGATAATCAGATTAATATGAAACCATATTTTGTTCTTAGACGAAGATCACCCGTCTCCCTAGCCCCCACGGCACGTGCGATCCTGATCTAGATGCTACCACGTTGTACAGTGACAAATACGGGGTGGAGTACTCCAAGGAGGCGTGTATGAAGTCATGCTACCAGAAAAACGTCATAGACGTGTGTGGTTGTGCGGTTCATGAGGTCCCTAAGCCAGATAACGTTCCCATGTGTACAAGCGTCAGTGACTCCATCACTACTAATACTACTAATACAACAACGGCTGCTCCAACCACTATCAGTTCCAATACAACCACAGATGATGATAATAGTGGTGAAGATCATGATGAAATGGGACCAAGTCCAAACGGTATACAAATTACATAAACAATGAAATGATATCATCATAACATATGGCCGGTCACATAGTTATTTTCAAAAATTGTGTGATCCAATAGTTTCATCTCATGATGTTTCTACCCACAAGGGCTGCACCAAAATCGTAAATACTTTCAGCCATGATGTGGACTAAATCATTTCATTTGGCTTTATCAATAAGGAGATTGATACGTCTAACAGTGACCACATTATTAGCATATCATTTCAATAACAAAATTATAAACTTAAAATAAAACACAATTTTTGTCATTTGTTTCTATTTTGAACATTTTATATGCAATTTCAGAGCAGTGCATGATGAGTGTGGAAGCTGCATACAAGAAAAATGAACTTGGATGTGGAGAAGAATGTCCACTCAGATGCCTTGATTACACCTATGATATGCTTATATCAAACGCTGAATGGCCTTCTATGGATTATAGCGTATGTTATACAATGACTTTTTCTAGTTTTTCATTTTTGGGGTCAACCCTAGACCACGTGACCCGAATTACCTATCCATATTATTAGACTCCAGATTGAAAATCTGGAGTCTATTGCTTTTGCCAGTTTTCTTATTCTTTCTTTCTTTCTTTCTTTCTTTCTTTCTTTCTTTCTTTCTGAACACTTTTTCTCAGCAACTAGAAGAACTTACTTTAACCTACTTACATGGCTAACATAGCCCATCAACCTAGTTTCTGGGAAATTAGGTCAAATTTGTATCTAGGTCAGAAGTCAAGAACTAGGTCAAATTTAGGTCGAATCAACATTCTGTCAATTATCTTCGTTGTTGTTTGTTGTTACTCCTTTATCTTTTTTTCATCATGTAGCTTAGAAAAAAACAAAACGAGCGTGTGCCATCCGTTTTTTGATTCCTCTTACCGATCTTGAGATATGGCGTCCGGAAAGTAGGTCAAACTAAAAAGTTAACCAAATTTAACATATGAGCTATGAAATAAGTGTAGAATTTTCTCAGGAATCTGAATCTGCAAACCAAATTCCGATCCGACTTCCGGTTCGAAAGTTATGGCGTTTTGAAAATTTCGAGAAAAATCGATCTGATGATATCCTGATAGAAAGTCAAGAGTAGTAAAGAAAATATAGAAAAAAATCATCCATCCTTCCTTCCTATCCTGTCTGATCATATCCTTCCTATCTATCCTTCCTTTCTATCCATTCCTTCCTATCCTATCCTTCCTTCCTATTCTATATCCTATCCTATCCTAGAACTGGGTCAAATCTTACATTTTCAATATTCTATCAATTATCTTCGTCATTATTTATCGAAACATCTTCATCTTTTTTTCATCATTTAGCTTATAAACAGCCCTTTTATAAGTGTGCCATCCGTTTTTTGATTACTCTTACTGATTTTGAAATATGGCGTCTGGAAAGTAGGTCAAAACAAAAAGTTTTCCAAATTCAATGTATGAATTATGAATTAGGGGTAGAATTTCGTCAGGAATCCGAATCTGCAAACCAAATTTCAATCCGACTCTCGGTTTCGGAAGTTATGGCGTTTTGAAAGCTCAAAAATCGCTAAATTTGGTGCCCCATGTTATGTCAATGAGCAAAAAGATTTTTTGAAGTGTAAAATACCAGATATAGACTGAGTTCAGCTTAACATTCTGAAAGCCTATAAAAGAAGGGGACCTCGAAGGCTATCTAGCTTTAAAATTTGGACACCAAAATGCCTAAGTCAATATCTAGGTCAAATTCATAGTTTTACCTTATTTTTGCGATTCTGACATTACACTTTAATGATTTGCTTCGAAATTTTGTATACAGGTAGCAAAGAGTGTGCTAATATCGATAGCCTTTTGCCGTCAGAAAGTATTTTGACCCACTTTTGAGATATGGTGTCCGTAAAGTAGGTCAAAATAAAAATTTAACTTATGAGTTATGAATTAAGGGTAGAATTTTCTCAGGAATCCGAATCTGCAAACCAAATTTCAATCTGACTTCCGGTCAAAAATTCCTACTTACCTACCTACCTACATACCTACTTGGCTACCTACTTAGCTACCTACTTCTCAGCTACTTACTCGGCTACCTACTCAGCTACTTACTCAGCTACCTACTCAGCTGCTTACTCAGCTACCTACTCAGCTACTTACTCAATCACTTAATCATCTACTTACTCAGCTTCCTACTCAGTTACTTACTCAGCTCTTTACTCAAGTAAATCAATCTGGAGTCTTAAATTGAACTTTGTTCAATTTACCAATCTAGTTCTATTACCTTTCCCCGGGTACCTTCCATTTTGTCTGGACTTCATCCAAACTTCAACCGTGCCAGTCTTGATTATGGTCTGTTTAATGGGAACATATTAAAAGGAACAAATGACCAGACATATTTGTTGTGAAAATATAACAAAAAGAAAGAACCTAAAAGGAAAGCAGAGTGAGACTAAAGGGGTTTTTGAATGACATTGTAGTCACTGTTATACAAAGGTATAACTTGTAAGAGCCTTGGTTTAAATATAATTATGTTATTCTTACAGAGAAAATTGACGAGAAAGATGATGCAATCCAGTTCCTCAATGAAAGGTGTAACTGGAAATATGTAAGTATTTACGATGGGCTGCAATGTTGATATATGTAACGTAGTAATGAGCCTGAACTAAGGTGCTGCAAAATGCAAAATCAATGTTTTGCTAGAAAGTCCAACAAATCTACAAATTTATTTTTCACAAAATATGTTGATTAATTTAAATATTGCTTGAAAAACCAAGTTGTTTTTTCAAGAAATATTTAAATGATCCAGCCATATTTTAGTTGCGTTTCATGTCATGGGGATATCTATAGGTCATATACATATGTATGTTTGTGTTTCAGGAAGGCAAATCTTGTGAAGCTTGAAGTCTACTTCCAAGAAATGTCCGTTGAACATATTGAGCAGCAGAAGTCGTATGAGATCGAGAACTTATTGAGTGATCTAGGTGGTCAACTTGGCCTTTGGTTGGGACTTTCAGCCATAACAGCCTGCGAGTTCATAGAATTTGTCATTGATGTTATAAAACTTATTATCACTAAATGTAGTTCGAAGAGAAATGAAAGAAGCACAACTCCCATTGAACCATTCAAAAGTTGATAATTCTCACTCAACAGATGACAATAGTCATTCAAAGGATGACAATGATCATTCAAGGGATAATTATCCCCATTAAGCAAATGATTCAAATGATGACAATAGTCATTCAAAGGATAGCAGAATTCTTTCAAAGGAAGACGATTGATTCAAAGGAAAGCAATACTCATATTTGAAAGCTACAGATTTTGCGTTATATCTTTCGCATTTCATATTTCACATTTTTGTGAAAAGCTGATAAATAATGTTAAGAATAGTACTAAGATGGTCTAGTTATGATTGTCACATTCTATAATGATACAGTTATTTAACTGATGGGTTCTAGAATACTCTTGTTATAAAATGATCGTCATCAATGTGATAAATGTTTGAAATAGTTCTTGAAATGTTCTAGTTATAGCTGTCAGATTCCAGAATGTTTTAATTATGAATGTCAGGTTTCGAGAATGTTCTATTTATGACTGTCAGATTCTAGAATGTTCCAAGTTATAAATGTCAGGTTGTAGAATGTTCTAGATATAAATGACAGGCTCTAGAATGTTCCATTTATAAATGAAAGGTTTTAGAATGCTCTAGATATAAATGTCAAGTTCATTTACTAGTCATAACTAATAATGCTAAATTCTAGTGTGATCTAGTCATACATGTACAATATTTGAGTTATAACTGTAAAGTACTTAACATTTTTGTCAGAATATGTTTATTTCTATCATCTTTAATGAAGATTCTTGTCATAAAACATTATTATTGTCAAGTTCTAGAACATTCTTTGTCAAAAAATATATGAGTTATAACTGTCAGGTTCTAGAACACTCTTGTCATAAAACATAACTGTCGGGTTCAAAAATGTTTTGTCAAAAAAAAATTTGTATGTTACATATATTTGAGTATTATGTTTTTCACTGAACCACTTGTTATGTGTATGAAACAAAATTTCTTGGTTCCTTCTGTCAGCAAAGTAAAGTCACAAATATCATATTATTAACATATATCATTGATGTATTTTTATAAAATAAAATTGTATTACAATAAACATTGAATTGTATACCTCTGAATTACATATTTCTTAACAATTCTTCCTCCAAAACCATCTATAATCATCAGAACCAACTATAAATACTTAATAAGGCATATACATGCAAAATGTCACCACCTGCCATTTGTTACATTGCGCTGACTGCCATTTGTTACAATAATATTGTGTCACTTCTTCAGTTGGTGACATAAAAACCAATAAATGAACATTATTAAATTCATAAATATCTTTTTAACAACAATTTAATGATCACAAGAACAATAATGTGAAATTAAATACTCATTTGAAATTTTATCAGTCAACCATGAAGTAATAAACAAGGTATTGGCATGACAGAATGTTACTACCTTTTGTAATTACAAAAAATGGGACACCAAGATGTCAGTAGGCTACCATTTTCACCACCTGCACCAGGTGGCTAATTTGGGTCAGATAACATGGCAGATATAGTCGAAAGTTCCCTTAATCTGTTTTAATTGGATCAATCTTCATATAACCCTTGTGTCCGATAATTACACAAATGTGTCAGTAAAATAATATATAGTCTGTCCAACACAAGAAAAGATATTTCACTCTTTGTAATTTAATAACATGGGGTCTATGGGGAATCTTCCCGGCATAGAAGTCACATTTTCAAAAAAGAAATTTTCAAAATTTATCAATAATTTTCTAACCACATGTTTAGATGTAATAGTACATGTAGACTTGATATAAACCACTTTGGTGAGAACATAAAATGTCTCAATTTCCTGTGAGACAACTCTAAATATAAATTCAATTAAACAACTAATAAGATTTACTATTTCAAAGAATATTGCAGTGACCCAAATCTTGCTCTTAATTCTTTTTGAATTGTATTTTTAATAATTTTAATAATAACCAACTAATTAGTCTTATAAATACTATCTAAATAATTATTTATCTGAAATGTGTCTTATTCTGATAATTTTAATTTGGGGATGTGTTTCCAAATATTACTAGACAGTCATACTCAGGCCCACAGTCAGTTCTCATCATCTCATCACGATTGGACCTGAATTTTCAAACAGGATTTGATATATTTCAAATTTTGCAAACATACCAAATAATTAAAATTCCAATTTTGACAAGAAAGTATGCCAATTTTGCACCTTTCTAAAAAAACATAATTTTCAAGTGGATGTAGATCAAATTTTTGCAGGTGGAAATTTGGCCCACTTGCATCCACCTGGCCATCCAGCATAGAACAGAACATTGCTTAAATACTATAGCTATGCTATCTGTAATTTTCAGTGTTCATTTCATGAATGCCCAGGACATCATCATCTTCCCTTGTTCTCACATAGTGTTCAATTTTCATATTGGGATCATCATCTGGGGCATATACATTCTGAAATACAAACATCAAACAATCATAATATGTTGGGAATACATAACTCAAAATAATGGAATACACAAATTGTGTTGGAGTCCACACATCAACCAATCAAAATGGCTGTTCTATACATGAAATACAGAAATCAACCAATACCATGTTACAATATAGAATTCAACCAATCTCTATGTTGAAATACATATTGCGATCCGTTGCTATTACATAATGAAATACCAGGCAAGCCTTTTATGAATTGATTCATTTTTGAGTGTCCCCTGCACTAACCTGTACATAGCAATTACCAGCAGGGTCATCTAACACAATCGTAATGTCTAACATCTCCCCAGCAGCTATCTGAAACAAAATAACATCCATAAAACTATTATACAATTATTAAGACAAGGCACATGACGTGAATGAGATCATGTGTGCGATTTTGGAGAAAATATGATGAGCGGTTTTCCTGAAATGGCGATAACAAGATTTATCAAAAAACCTTCAATATGGCCGCCAGAAAACGAGATGGCCATCCAAAAGTAAATCGCGATTACAAGATTTATCGAAAAAAAAACTTCAAAATGGCCACCAGAAAATAAGATGGCCATCCAAAAGTTAATCAGCTCTAGAATTTAATATTCTCTATTATGTGTGCAAAGTTGGAGAAAATCCGATGAGTGGTTTCCCTGAAATCGCAATGACAAAAAAGCAGGAAGATCACGCCATCATCATGATGATATATCCCACCAATGTTGTGATAATAACTGTCTCAATATACAAAATTATTCGTTTATCAGTGAGTTTATTTTCTTAAGATTACAGAAACTGTGTGCACAAAATCACCTCTAGGCAAAACAGGTATAAATGGCAAACAGATATAAAAGCTGTTTTTGACTCATATCATTCATTGACATACCTTTTTTCCAAATCTCACTCCCCAGAAAAGTTAATACTTTATTTTTGGGAAATCACAGATTTTAATATTGTTCTATTGATTTTACATAACAATTATATAACTATACCTTTGTTAGCGAGTCAACAATATTCCCCAAGGGGCTGTCATTAGGGTTTGCACTATCCCCCGTCAAGAATGGGTTTGCCTGCAACAACTGAAATTAAACAAATACGTATTCCTAAATTTGTTTAAAGTTTTGTCTCAAATCAAAATACCACAATTAAGTTGCCAAGTGAAGTACTCATCATCTCCAGAAGAGGTCTCTCAGTCAATAGGGGGGAGGGGGCAATAGGACTCCTTTCACTCACACTGAACAGATAATTTATGTTAAGAGAAAGAAGCTCTAAACAAATTAAATTGCTTTTGGAAAAAAAAATGGCCCAAAATATATGGTTCTGAATAAATTAATTTCCCATACTAGCCTGTCAGCTTCTTCAAAGTTCAAACGAAAATATTATGTAGTAGGACTTTAAAGTGAATCCCCATTATGACCCTAAATGCAAAATCAAGAAACAACAGAGCCATATACCATACTATAAGTGTAAAGACTGCATGCCAAATTCCAGTCAAGCATACCTGATCTTTCATGTCAAGTAAAAGTCCTTCCAAAGTCGTAAACTTTCCCCCAAGTGTACCACTCTGCATCTCAAAGTCAAGATGTGGAATACAAAAAGCTGCAGTGTCAGACTGGAAGAACAAGATTAGATGAAGATTAGATTAGATGAAGATAAGAACAACTGGGAGCTGCACATGAAAAATTACATGCAGTCTGTTATTTTATCAAAACAGGCAAAATGAGAAAAGCACATTGAGAAAAAAAGGTGAGTGATATGCGATATTATTCAAAATCAAAATATAATTGTATCTGGTCACAATAATGATTTATAAATTTTGTTAAAATAAAGCCTCACCTTTAAAATGTCCCTGGCAAGGTCTGAAGAATCTGTTAACTTGAGCGTGATCCTCGTTCCTTTGGGCGCAATCCCAGCGCCACCTTTCACCTCATTATCTCTATGCCCACATGCTTCACACACTGTTGCCATGATGACAACTTCTTTGAAAAATGGAATATCTTAATAATGTAAAGGAATATATTTATATTAGATACTTCTTTTACCATGGTTATTGGTCTTTTGAAGTGCTGCACAATTTCTACTTGAAGGAAAGTACTGAAATTCATACCTCATATTAACTGTACAAATAACATGTGTAGTATCTAATATTTTGTCAAATTTTGATCGTCGCCACTGTTGGTCAATGTAGTTTAAAATTATCATTGAATTTGTACCTCTATAATAAAGATCCTACTTGCTGTCTCATACAGTTTTTCATATTAGAATTATTGACATTCAATTTTCAAGGATACCGACAACTTTCATATTGCTTTCACACGGACTATTACACGCTGGGCAGTTGACATGAAATGTTATAACTTCGTCTTTGCCAATATTTCCTGCACCATCGCTAGGCTCTGCTTCACCCTCCTTCTTAGGCTCATCTGGTGTTTCTGAGGTTTTATTCGGAGTTTCTTCACTCTCAGGAGCTTCCTTTTCATTTTGTCCAGCATCTTGTTCTTTTTCTAAAGCTTCTTCTGACTGAAAATACAGTATAGGGAGAGAGGAATCCTTCACTTCCTTAAAAGAGAGTTTCATCTGATTACTAGACTCTTATAACAATTTCAAATTTGAATAGAAACTGTACAATCAATAGTCAATGAGTAACACTCAAGGGATGTATTCAAATGTACAGAGATGCTTATGTTTAAATACTGATGGAACAGATTGAGATGTATGAGATGTACAAAGCGACTATATATTCTGATTATAATTAGACAGTAAGAATCGTATATTCTGTGTGTTTTCAAAAAGAGTTTGTAATAATTTCTTAAGCCATTACTTACCTGTAAGCCTAGCTGTACATCCTGCTGAGTGGTCCTTGTAAAGTGTTTACCCGTCATCTGGGGGTCCGCATCAGGGGCACATGTGACAACAGTTAAAGAACAATACAGTCAAACATGTGTATGTGAACATATCTCTATGGTGATACCTCAAAATGTGAACAAAAGAACCTTCCTGGTTTAGCTTTTTAGGCTTTTAGAGATAATATGATGAGTTTAACGGAGAGATTTATGTTCATGGTCATTTAGATTGAAATCTCTTCATATGAAAACTATTTTTATTTATTACCCTCAAATCTATTAAATCACTTTGCAATTTCTAAGGCAATTTCATTAACTCTGTTTTTATGATTGGATTTACTGAATTTGAAAAGGATATGGATTTTCTACAAAGGTGTTCCCTGATGGATCATCAAATACCTGGAAGTAAATAAAGCAAAGGAAAACATTTGAGAAAATCACCCAGGGAAAATCGAATCCCCTGTAAAATAGCAATGGTATCTACACTAGTGTATTGATATAATGATAAACTTCATTGTGAGTACTTCCAAAGCGAACACTTCTCATTCATCTTAAGTATTCTTTGTCATTTACAGGAGGCTGTTTATTAAAAGAGTGGGCTACAAATGATATCATTATACATTGTTTTGCCTTCAGGGATATTGCCATAGTAACAGTATAGACAATGACTATTCATGTTTTAGAGAAACAGCTTTTTGGATGACTGTATACAGCTGAGTGTATTATATACTCACGATATCAAATGGCTGACTAAGTTCAATAAGTCCTTTTAGTTTTCCAATAAAGTCTTCAATTTGTTCTGCTAATGTAGGATTAAGAGCCTGAAATGGGAATTAAAACATACATTGGGATTATACTTGTGGATATTATCAACACCTAGCGAGACCTCTTGGGTATTAGTACTAGTTTAGAAGGCTTATATTTTACGATATTGACTTGAGCAATAGTGGTGGGCCATACTTTTCTAAACACTGAAAAGTTGACAAGAACAACCAGACATGTGTGTTTGTCTCACACATGTGTGTTTGTCCAAAATATTTTTACTTCAAAGTATAGCCGATGACAGGTAAAATGGCTGTCTACCTATTTCTATACTGCTACACATAAGTATATGCAGTGGTCTCCCTAGCATTAAAGCAAGTGGGCGCAGCACCCACCTGAGATTTTGAAAATAATTGCTCGCACCCACCTGAAAATCCATTTGCACCCACTTGAAAATGAGAAAAATCATGAAAAATTTGCATATTTTGACCAATTTTGGTCTGAATTGTGAAAATGAGAATTGTGCACCCACCTGAGACAAAATCCTGGGGAGATCAGTGATCAATGGTAGACATTGCTAACAACACTGAATACACCTCATGCTGCACAGGTAAACTCAATTTTATATTTTTACAAACACTGATCAAGACTGATAATTATGATCACCATACTGTAGGCCATGATCGTTTTCTGACCATATGGGTACATACCACATAGGGGTGTATGTCACATAGGGGTATAGATGACTTAGTGGTAATTAGCCCTAATTAGAAACTGTCCTTTTCCATGTAATTTATTTATAGTGGTTAAACAAATACATGCAAAGTACTGATAACAACAAAAGGAGATGATTTAGATAATTTTTAATTTAGTATGAAGGCTTTGGGTATCTGCAATCAGAATACAAACTGACAAAGATACGTGGGTTGAATCAATTAAACTTTTTTTGAACTACAGTATAAGGGAATGTATCACTATTTTGATTTGCAAAAAAAATAAACAAAAAAATTCAGGTCATATGTTTTGCTTAGAATGAGTCTCTCCATCCCTCAAAATGAATGCAGTGAACATCATATTTATTGTAGGTAAATCTCATGCCTCAGTCACATTTGATCAATCAATGGCAACTTTACCGTGGCTGTAGCTTCCAGAAATCAGGAGAAATATGCAGTATTAAATATAGGGACAAGCACTACGATGTACATTTTCTATATCAATTTTGTGAACCTGTGACTACCATATGCCTGTCATATAGAGTAAATGTGACCGAGGCTTTGATAAACCTTGGATTTTATAAAAAATGATGTCAAACAAAAAATGTTAAGGGGTCCCTTACCCATAACATGCTGATAAAAAATTGATATTGTGATACATCCCCTTTTAAAGCAACACAACAGGGTACTCTGTCAGATGCAATTAATCATTTTTGGCTATAGGGGGTTAATGAATTGAACTTTATGGTCATGCCCATTTAACTCCATGTCTCTTCAAAATTTAACTCTTACATCTATTTTTGTCAAGTAGAGTATATCAATCAGAGGTAACCAATTTTATGAGAATCCTCCACAGCAGATTGTTAAGGAGTTTTCATAAAGTTTAAGTGTTGACATTATGTCCAGTTCATTCTAGTCTTTTCTATTGTGCGAATCTCCTTGAAAGACTTTTAGAGACACCAAGATGCTGATCATTGTGCTATGCAAATGCTCACCATTTTATTACTGCTATTATTATTCAAACACTCACCTTTCTTACTGGTTGGTCTTGACCGAGTTCATCAATAGAGTTCTGTATGAGTCCTTCTACAGTTGTAAGTCCTGCAAAATCAACATGCAAGTTAATCATATTATTTCATTTCAAATAATGAAGCATTTACACTGTGATTATGACATCATTATGTACACATCTATCATGCAGATGCAATATTCAACCTATCACATCTGGATTGTTTAATTCTACATGCATTGTCATTTTTACAACTTATAATTCATATTCACAAAATATAGTCACAAGAGATAACAAAGACTTAGACCCAAGACCATAATCCATTTTAAGAGGGTCTAAAAATAAGCGATTTAAGCCTATTAAAGGTCCCGATAGACCCATGATATATTACTGAAATAAAATATTTAGAGTGTAACAATACAAAAGTAAGACATTCAAAAATGTGCATACTTCCTTTGCCTGGAGGAATCTGGAAGTCCAAACTTGGGATGGAGACTGTGCAACTGTCAGCTTTAACAACCTCACGTAGAAGATCCTTAAATCATTCAATTTACGTTAATGCATGATATTATGTACAATGTACAGTGAAAACTTATTTTTGACTTATCAAAGCAAAGTATTGAGCTTCAGTTCATAGTTCAGATCGAAATGATGTAACATAATATCCTTACTAATTCATCTCACATTAACATTCCACACATATAATTATTCATATCTGGATTAATCAAGAATCAACAGAAAAGCGATTACCTTTTTTTGTTTAACAGTGAGTGTGATATTAATGCCCTTCTCCTGCACCCTCCCTCCAGGCTGAATACACTTGTCTTGGAAGCCACATTCATCACATGAGAATGAGGAGATAACAATTTCTTTAAAGAATGGTATCTTTGTCAGCAACATTCTGGTCTGACCCTGGAATATACACAGAGTATTTGGAAAGTGTTTTAACTTTTTGACAGTCTTGTATCAAGCCACCATGAAATACATCTACCTTGCCATCTATCAGGGCTGTAGGTACTTATTGTCCACTTTTCAAATAATTTCAGGGAGGTTCACTTTTGACAACTTTGGCGAAAAAACTGCACGATTTTGAGTGAATTTTGGACCAAAGGGAGGGGGGCTACGGGCCTGTATATGATTCCAAAATTCATACACAAGTTTTTCTTCCAGAAACAGTTCTAGATCATACAGCCTTGTAGTCTACTGATTACGAAACATGGTGATATAAAAATAGAACTGCAAACTTACTCTGATTATAGATGGGCATGGTTAAATCATGGGAAGGGGTTGAACATCAATGATCCATAACTCATTCCCACTAGGTTAGATTAAAAATTTGAATTTGGTGTTCTAAATCAAGGATCATTCTCGGTGAATATCATTGGCAGTGGCTATAACATTAATAACCATACATAGGAACATGCCCAGATATAAGACAGGCGCCTAACCAAAATTTTGCAGAAAAATATTTTCGAATATACAGGTTTATTGATGGAAATTGTAAAATAAAATCTAATGATAGTAAAATATAGCCTTTTTCTTGCCTCCCCTACTTTATCTAAATCTGCCTCCCTTATTTTTATCCTTGCGACCCCTCTGCAATAATTGATTTCACAAATACACTTACGTTACCATGGCAGTACATACACATACTCTCCATCTCAGTGACTTCCATGTCATCTTCATCTGCATCTATATCTCGGAATATTGGCTTTTTAAGTGTACCTCCATCTTCTGTTGCCATGGTGAATGAATCCCTGAAACAATAAGCATCAGTAGCCTAAAAAATTGGGCCTTTTGGTCATAATTTGGCCTCCGTCCTAAAATTTGAAGTGGATATTCACATGTTGATGCCGACTCTTCAAATGTTGAGGTGATTTTGGAGCCCAGAATGCAACATGACACCTGTCACAAGTAAATAAGGTGAACTGATGTTGCATTCTGGGAGTCAATCCTCCTAGGATCACAAACATGGCGATTCATGAAAACATTCATTCGATTTGGTAGAATTTTATTGATCATTTGCAGGTATGAAACTTTGGATTCATTTATTGTGCCACTTAAAGTGAACGGGAATTATTTTTTTACCGCTTGTGAGAGTTTGAGACACGAAACTTGGAATTTAGCTCATTGTCACAACTTTTGATGGTTGAGGTTTATTTTTGTCCCCCACTGTAAAATAAACAAAAGTTAGGACATGTATAAATGTTTCTATTTTTACATATTCTGTTTCAATGTGGTCCTTTAATTGTTGATTATTTTTTAGATTCAAAGTAGTTCCAAACATTTAAAATTTTACTGTAGCAAGTTCTGAGACCCTATCTGTTGCAAGACTAACGCCTGGCGTAACCGTCACCATGTTATTCAGTGTTTTTTAAGTAGTGCATGGATCCTGCCATGACCGTGGTAATGTTATCGTGAAAGCCTGGTATAACCGCGACGATGCTGTATTATATTGCAATGCCTGCCATGACCGTGATAATGTAATATAGTTCTGCAAGGCTTGGTATGACCGTGACAATGTAATATAGTACTGCAAGGCGCTGGCATGACCGTGACAATGTAATATAGTATTGCAAGTTCAGGTATGAGAGTGGTAATGTAGAAATTTACGATTAGGACTGCTATAACCGTGACAATGTGTATTGCAAAGCCTGGCATGACCGTGGCAATGTAATATAGTACTGCAAGGCCTGGCATGGCCGTGACAATGTAATATAGTATTGCAAGGCTTGGTATGACCGCCGTGGCAATGTGATATAGTATTCCAAGTTCAGGTATGAGAGTGGTAATGTAGAAATTTATGATTGCTATAAGTGACTGTGACAATGTGTTTTTGAAAACCTGGCATGACCGTGACAATGTATTATGGGATCGCAAAGCCTGGTATGACCGTGACAATGTAATATAGTATTGCAAGGCCAGGTATGAGGGTGGTAATGTAGAAATTTAGGCTTAGTCCTACTATGACCGTTATAATGTATTGCAATGACTAGTAAATATATATGGCATAATGCCAGGAATATCCTTAACAATTTTATGTGATCGGCATTACAACTAAACAGTTTAATACTACTGTACGCCCGGTATTATTCGCGTGCGATTAACTTTCGCGCTTTTCGCGATGGTGTTAAAATCGCGAAAAATTATCGTCGCGAAATTGCCAATTAAATCCCCGGGAATTTGTTTTTACCCGGGGCTCTGATGCATTTCGTCAACTTCTGATCCCTCCATTCCTACATCTGTAAGAAGAACTACAAAATGCATTTCGTTTTGTGTAAAACGTTTCGTCTAGTGTTATTGGGCGATAATTGGATGATTTCCACCAACATGTCTATTTTAAGTTGGCTAGTCAGGCCAACTACTACCAATGGGCCTAGGCTAAATAATGACATCGACGATATTATAGAAACTGAAGTTCAAATTGCTAAAAATAACATGAAGCGTGTACAACGACGCAGAAAGGGCAAACATAGCCAACGACGCAGAAAGGGCAAACATAGCCCGGCACGCACTTCTGAACTTGTGAAATTCGCGAAATTTAATAGCCGCGAAACCGTGTTTTCGCAAAATTCGCGAAATTAAAGCTCGCGAATAATACCGGGCGTACAGTATGATCATGGTGTTTAACTACCTTAATCATGTCAAAATCAAAATTACTACTATTCATTAATATTCACATAAGCTTATAAACCACAATAAAGGCTACGGTCGCACCAGGCTTCCACGATAACACTTCAAGGGTCATAACAGGCCTTGCAATATAATACAGCATTGTCACGGTTATACCAGCCTGTCACGGTTATACCAGGCTTACACAATAACACTACCACGGTCATGGCAGGATCCTTGCGCTACTTAAAAACACTGATTAACATGGTGACGGTTGTGCAGGCGTAAGTCTTGCAATAGATAGCATGTGCAAGTTCTGGAACTTCTGCCAAAATAAATTGCTGGAAATATATTTTTTCAAAGAAAATTGGAGATGTTTCGGTGAATATACAGAAGACAAAATGTGACTCACCTTTGAAATGAATGTATGACTAGTAGATATTGTATACAGCAAACCTATTTTTGCTGTAGAAACCAGTCCCTTGACTCGAAATCCGCAATGTTTTGACTTTTACTTGAACGTGTGGAAACCGGAAACGGATATGAAAATAGCGCATGCGCTCTCTGTCATCTTTGCACATGCAACAAAATTTTAATTTTTTACCGCTTATTTGATAAATCTGAAGTTATAAAAGCAATATAAGAATATCTAACGAATGCTGTTCATAAAAAACAAATCTTAGGATACTAAAAACATTAATTAGGAAAGTTATCATGGGGAACGTTCACGCAGCAGAAGGAGTCCCTGCCCCGCCATTGGGATCAGTTCCTGCTCCGACTCCCCCAGGCCAGCAAGCAGGCCAATCTACACAAGCACCTCCACCCCCTCAACCCTCAGAACCAGAATCAGATCATCCAGGAACCTTTGAAGATCTTCATCAAAGATGTAAAGGTAGTTACACAAATGCTCCATTTTCAGGCCTGTCAACTGTCCCGCAATTAGCATATGTGTCACGCATTTGCTGAAGGATTTGAAGTCACGCCAGTTTTTTTGCGCGACAAAAAATGTCACGCAAATACACACTTTTTACTTGGTAATTGTCTTGAGCAAAAATATTTCTGTAGAAAAATCTCCAAAAATGTTTGCCGATACAGTAAAAATACGAACGCCAAAAAAAACGTACGCATTCCGTTTGTACTTTTCACGCTATTCACGTATATGTCACGCATTCCTTTTGAAATTTTAATTAACTACCCCCCTCCTCCTGATTTGTCCCAAACTGCAGAACATCATGAGTTAGTCATATAAATCTGACCGTTGTATGCTGTTCTTCGATGTTCCTGGTTCTTATTTAGATATTTATTTTTTATCATTTTCTTAGCATACAAGGTCATAGATATAATAGCTAACAAATTGCGGGAAACACTTTCCTGGCCTGTCTTGCTAACCATACCAACAAAAGTCACACAAATTATGGATTTATTATTTTGCTCCAACATCAAAGTGTTAAATCTTACCTTAGACATGTAAAACGCTTGATAATTGACGTAATATAATCAATTGAAGTATATTTTCATTATCGCCCGCCATGTTGCTAAATGTTGTTTCCGGTAGTCTAAATGTAAACATGTATCGAAACGGAATCATAATTATTTATTACACAGAGATTCAAAAGCCGTTCTCTTATACTACTCACTTTTCTCATTTCTGAAACAATAATTTTTCCATGTTACTTCCCTTCTTAACGACACTCCTTTTCTTCCATCTGAATCTTGGCTTGAGGTAATTTCATCTGGAATACTGTGAACTCAATCAGATAAATACACCCTATGCAGACAGAGCCTGTGGGAAATATTGGGTGCGGCGCAAATGAGCAGAGGGTGCGAAGCTAACGGTCATTTTTGAATTTAAAATTGGGATATTTCTGAAACTAAGCCGTTTTGGGACTGCAAATATACCAAGATATGTGTATTTGACACCAAATATCAATAAAATTGTGAAAATAGTAGTGCAATTCATTTTATAGCGACGCAGTATGCCTTAAACATTTCCCAGACCTATATATTTTGAGACTATCCTTTTAATACTGCGTCCCCAGCATTCATGAAAAATGGTGTTCAAGATACACTACCCATGCAAATTATTTTTGCATCTTGGAAGCCAGGCAGTATCTGTGTGATTTTATAAAAATTCGGAAATGTTCTTCAGATATGAGCCCCCTCTAAATATTGGGTGCGGAGGTACGTTTATGGACCGACTCGGTTCCTTGCATGATTGATCGATATTGCATGATTTCATCAGGATTTCGTCTAAAATTAAAACAAAATGGCGATATTCGAAAACTGGACGAAATGTCGTTAATGTCTGATATTAGTAACTGGCTGTAAATTCTAAGTTAGCGATCCAGAAAATGTGAACTAATACATTGATCACTTCATGTGTGTTTTGGAAATTTTGGTGAGAAAATAAGACCAAAACTCGCAATTCAAAACGTGATGTAGAAAAATGGCGGACATTTGATTTCAAGTTTTATGATTATGACATGACCCGTTATACATGCAGGAATTTATCTTTGGACGAATGCCATGATACAGTGGCCTTAGAAGAAGTTTAATTGGTATATATTTAGACAATATCCTCTAGTCTGAAATTTTTTTGAAATTTGGAATGAAAATATTCAGACTATAGCCCATATATGTTAAAATTTGGGATTAAAAATTATTTGTTTACATAGAAAGTGGCATTCAAAATGGCCAATTGGGTAAATTAATTTGCATATTTGTTACTTCCCCTAGCTTTATTTCTATTTGACAATATGCTGTGTTACATTTTATAGCATTAATTGTACCTTACTACTTAATGGAATTGTTATAATGCTATTTTTTGGAAATGAAGTTAACTAAAATTGATAGTAGAATTATCAGGAAAAATTACATTGAGATTTTAAAGATTTTTTGCCAATAATAGCAAGATATTTAATCCTACTGCAAAAGTTACATATTATTTTGATATCATTTCAGGTGTGTTCCCAATGCCATTTGAAGGTGCCAAATTACTAATCAATAAGGGATTAAGTAACCATTTCCAGATCAGCCACACACTAACCATGAGTTCTATCATGCCTTCAGGCTATAGATTTGGAGCCACTTATGTTGGCTCAACACAGTACGGCCCTATGGAGGTAAGAAAGCAGTAATGAATCCATGCTTATAAATCACATTTTGTTTTCCAAATTCTTTTAAAACTTCAAATTAAGACTCATGCTCACAGGGAAATTGGGTACCTCATATTATGTAACTTACCAATCAGTGAGAGGAAGACAAGATTGCAACACAAGTCTAATGATGTATTCTGGTCCCTCTTATTTGTCTTTTGCGAGACTTTTGAAAGATTAAGACAACGGGGGTCGGGTGCAGTTATCACAATGCAAATGATGATGTCAGAGAAAAAATTATTTTGAAAGAATGGCAGAATAGACCACATGTTTATACATGAACTACACTTCTGCCATCTTTATATCAACCTAAATCATATGACACGGACAAACTGAGATCTTGCTCAGTTATGATTTTGACACCATTAGAAAAAGTTTTAGAATTTCGGTGTGTAAACATATCATTCTAAACAAAATCTGCTACACTGACAACATTAAAGAATATTTTTGTATAATTTAACAGAATTCAGATTGATTCCAAAAGGTTATATAATGACTAATGAGTGGTGATGTGATATCTCTTTTCTGATGCAAGTTGACCATTTGATGAGCAATATGGTCCCATTTAGATTCATAAATCACAATTATCTTAATTGGTCATTCTTATTTTACCACTCTCATTTTAACTGCAGCCCTACTAAGTAATTCAGCTTTTCAATTTATGTTCATTTCATTTTGAATATGTTTTGTATTTTCAAGGCGTTCCCTGTTGTCATAGGAGACATTGACCCAAGTGGCAACCTGAATGCAAATATCATCCACCAGTTCTCTTCCAACACACGAACAAAACTAGTATCTCAGGTAAGATCATTGTTTTGCTATTGTTCATCATAAAGTGCTTATTCTCCAGGGGTTTCCTAGTATTTCTCACAACAGGCTAAATAAATGAAAGCAACGGGCAAAATTATTGGAAATCATAAAGGAGCACGAGTTGTTTGTAGAATGAATCTTGGGAGCTTTTTCATGCTAGTGTTTTTCATCTAAAAAACATTGATACACTTTAAAACATTTCTATTGTAGTGTTTTATAGGCTGTAGCATCACAGTGGAAATTTTAACATGGAGTTGTAAATTAAATAAGGTATTATACGGTTTTATGTATAACCCTTGATTAACATCAAAATACACATTTTCAGATCCAAGGTGGCAAATGGGCAGCGACCCAGTTCTCAGGAGATTACAAAGGCGAAGATTTCACAGCATCATTAACGCTAGGCAACATAGATGTGCTCAATGAATCAGGTATGTACTGGAATAAAGATTAACAAGTAGTAAAAGAAACCGTCAAAGATGTGTTGATGATTTAATTGAGGTAGTTTGTAGATATAGGGAATGCCTCCGTCCGTCTGTCCATACGTACATCCATCCGTCCATCTGTCCAGGCAATAACTCAAATACTGTTAGCCTGATTTCGTTCCTATTTTGTACACATATGCTCTATGGGAGCAAAAGTAGTGGAGCGATTTTGTTCATATTTGGTATGTGAATACTATAAGCATAGCACGCTGTCTGATGACACTTTTGGTAGTAGGCAGCCATTTTTAAACGTTTTTTTTACTATAACTCGAAAAGTAGTAGAGCGATTTTGTTCATATTTGATATGTGAATACTATAAGCATGGCACACTGTCTAATAATATTTTAATAAATAAAGTTAGTCCGGTCTGGCCGGAAAGACCTCAATGATCCCGGCATAATTTTGAAATATTTAGCTGGACACACAGACAGATTGAATGTATCAGAAAAACGAACAAAACAGGTTTGCGAATATGAGCTAATGTTAAATTTTCATTGACTCGAAAATAAGTTTTGGCGTCTCAATTGATTCATCAAAATACCGAACGCAACAGGTCTTGTGTAGGTGCCCCGTGTTAAATTTCCATTGAAACAAAAATAATTGTGGTGTCTCATGGGTGAAATATCAAAAATTACGAAAGTTGGCCACTTTTAAAATGATGGCCATTTATTATATGCTATTTCACGATTTTTACTAGATACTTTGTTTCTAAAAATGCCAACCATGGCTGTTCGATGGGATTTGCTGCGCTTTGGCGTTGCTGTTGTCTAGTTAAATGCTGGTATCTGTTTTAGGTGTGGTGGTCGGTCAGTATTTACAAAACATCACTAAAAACCTAGCATTAGGGACAGAGATGCTCTACCAGTATGGCCCCAATGTTCCTGGAGGAGAGATGGCCATGTTGACATTTGCAGGCAGATACACTACACCACAGTGGCAGATCAGTGGCAATGTGGTGCCAGCTGCTGGAGGACTACATACATGCTATTATCATAAAGTAAGTGTTATTATCATAAAGTAAGTGTTATTATCATAAAGTAAGTGTTATTATCATGAAGACAAGTGTACATATAGTGTATATATACATATTTTCAGATAAATCAAATGATATGACTCACCACATGTACATATTTCCAGATAACAATGTGACTAATCACATTTACAAATAACATATTTCCAGACAAATGATATGACTAACCAAATGTACATATTTCCAGACAAATGATATGACTAACCACATGTACATATTTCCAGATAACAATGTGACTAATCACATTTACAAATAACATATTTCCAGAAAAATGATGCACATATTTCCAGACAAATGATATGACTAACCAAATGTACATATTTCCAGACAAATGATATGACTAACCACATGTACATATTTCCAGATAACAATGTGACTAATCACATTTACAAATAACATATTTCCAGAAAAATGATGCACATATTTCCAGACAAATGATATGACTAACCACATGTATATATTTACAGATAAATGATATGGACTAACTACATTTACAAATTACATATTTCCAGAAAAATGATGCACACATTTCCAGACAAATGATATGACAAACCACATGTATACATCTCCAGATTATTTACCTCCTGACTACATGTACATATTTTCTGATAAATTATATGACTAACCACATGTACATATTTTTCCAGATAAATGACACGGCTCAAGTTGGAGTTGAACTTGAAGGAAGTTTAAGAACACAAGAATGTACAACATCTATTGGGTACCAGATTGACATGCCTAGCGCCAATGTAGTATTTAGAGGTGAGTGGTGTTGGATTGTAGATGCATGGATATTTGGAAGTAATGAATGGCATATCCTCAGTTATATAATCCATTTTTATGTGGAACACACTTGTAGACTTCATTTCAGAACCAGGCCATGTTTTCTATTCATGTATGTCTGAAAGGATATGAATTTGTAAATTATTTTCATTAAAATTGAAAAAATCCAAGTAATCATTGCATGTCTAAGTTGACCCATTTCTGAACTCCTGATTAGAATAATTTGGAATAATTCATATCTGTACTTTAATTATGATGCCTATTTGGCATTTGATGAAAAGGCTGTCGCAAAACGTCTATTATATTATAATTTCAATATTTGATAAGTTTTAATGATGAGAGGTATGTGAGCCTCGATTGGATTAGTTTCGTCAAGATTTAAACAATGATGTTTTTACCCGACACCTATAACTGTTCTGACTATTTTCAGGTCAATTGGACACTAATTGGTGTATAGGGGCAGTATTAGAGAAAAAGTTAATGCCCCTTCCATTCACATTAGCACTAAGCGGTATGGCTAACCATGTAAAAGGACAGTATAGATTTGGAATGGGACTGATCGTGGGATAACAACTGCTGTATTAGGACAATTACCATCTAAAGTTGATTTATAATTTGACACGCATGAAGCCATTCAGGTTATGGTATTTGACCGTCGAAATAATCAAAATGAAATATTTAGGTTCACTAAGTGTAAAATTTTACACAGTATGGCCTATGTATTTTTTCATAAAAGAGTGGCTTTATGAAGGTTAGTTTGCAATGTGATTGTGTTTACTTCGGCTCCTGTCCTGATGTATGGTGTTTACTTCAGCTCCTGTCCTGATGTATGGTGTATGATTTGATTCATGTTTAGAAGAACATGGAAGGATAAAATATATACTGAGAATGTACAAAACCAAAATATTTATGTAAGAACCACCATCTTTGACTAAGAATTTCAATCAGGAAAATCAGGAAGAGTTCTAGAAAATAATCAACATAACATCATATTGCTTCAACTTTAAACCAGTCAAAAATGAATAATGACGATATTATTTATTTTATGGTTTCATTGATGCTTATCTAATATGTGCTAAATCATGCTTTTGTTACTTTGGTCATTTTGGATGTAAATGCATGATTAGAAATCGGTTGTCTTCAGAAAAGAGAAAAATAATATGTAATACTAGTCTAGGTATTACGTAAATTATAGGAAGAAATGTGGCTAAGGGCTAAGGCATACTAGTCATGTTGTCAGTGGTGTAGATTTATAATTTATGGCCATATATGGACATGTGTGAAATTTCAGTCATGTCACTGAAGTAGACTTGTGATTGAGGGTCACGTGTAAATATGGACAAATATGTCTCTTCATGTCAGTGAAGTTCTCATTTATGTTCATATATGGTAATGCAAGAATAGGTCTTCATGTCAGTGATGTATTTAAAATCCATGGCCATATATGGTAAGAAGAGATTGGGTCTGTTCATGTTGTCAATTGAATAGAATCGTAATTTATGACTGTATATGGACAACAGAATGGCCAATGAAGTAATCTATGACCATAGATGTGCATGAACGAATAGGTCCGTTCATGTTTTAGTTGTCATGAAGGTTATTTGATTTTTGTACAAAATAAAACGGAATAAATTAGTAATTATAATCTAGTATTGTCTTGTGAAGATTATTTAATAAAGACAATATAAAAATGATTAAATGAACATAAGAGTACCTATATATGCTAATGGGAGTCTGTAACAAATGGCAGGTAGTGTTTGTTAACGCCTTGTTAATTAATGTCACAAACCAGTCCTAGCAAAGTGCTTGAAAAATACATTGAAAATGTCATGAATCTATCTGAAGTATGTATTTTTGTTACCTTAAAAATATTCTTCAAAATTATGATATCGCAAAGTATAATATTTCAAAAAGCTAAACATTCATGAAATCTGTTCTCCTATGCTAGAGGATGGAGCAAATTGATAGTATATACAAAATATTTGGACCCTTAAAACGTGGAGTCCCAAGAGACCTTCTCAAATTTTTGTTTTTTCCAACATTGGATGTTTTAGCATGACAAAGATCATATACCAGCATACCAGGTTAATTAATGTTGCAGCAGGAAAAACTCATGCGTGCTTAGACTAATTAATCTCCAATTTTATCGATAAATTATATATCTTGGGAGGGAACATTGTCCAGTTGGAGACGATCTTCCAGAACAAAATTGTGAGAACTTGACGGCCAATGATTTTTTCTATGGTCAAAGATATAATTGACTGAAAGCCCTTACCATTTATGTTGATCTTTGGTACAATAAAAGCCCATGGTACAATGATGACCACTTCTCCATAAGTTTTATTCTATTTTTTGTGCATTGCAAGGGTCATGATCAATTTGCAGAATTTCGATATGTCGAGGCTTATACATGGTTTAATAGTAGGAATCGGCTGATGGACCGCGACTTCACTTGGATTCGAGTATGGTCACATTAGGTAGCCTACGTATAGGCTTACGTTACCTTACGGCGCCCGCAATCAGTTTTAGCCGGAAATCGAACAAACATCTGAAGGATATCGTGGGGACTAGTGAGCTGAACCCGTGAGACTCGCACGACCATCGCAAGGCTATCTGATGACGACCGAACTATCATATGGTCAGAATGGTACTCGTATCGATGATCGTGCTTAGTTCAAGTAACTACATTATGCCGTGTGGTCTCACAGTTCGCCGTTGAGCATTCATTATTAATTCATGATTAAAATATTTTGTTTTTGGTGAGAGGGGATATGTGAAAATATTTGTTTTGCCCACGCTGTGTTCATTCCGCGCAACTGGGGCCGTGCACCACCGTCTGCCCCAAAGTATTCAAACGATGAGCTCACATGTCCTACCCGAACGGCCTTATGTGACAGCTCTATTATCATTTTCTGTTTTCTGTCCCAACATGGCCAAAATTATACCATAAAAAGGATTCAAAGTCAAAGACGGTTCAAGGGGAGGGGGTTAAATTCTTCCAAATAATAAAAATGTTAATCATAAAAATTTCAAATTATTCACTATTTTTTAGTTTCCTGGAGGAATAAAGTATGCACATTGGGCATCTTTAGAAAAAAAGACGTGACAAAGAATAATGTGAGTCAAAATTAATCTAGGCTAAATTAAAACAATTTTTGGTTTTAACGCTATCTGGATTTGATTTTCTCTTTAGCTCGAACTACATGTTGCGTAGACGCAATTGCATGTAACAATTCATGAACTTAACTTTATTTTAAATGAAGAAACGCTAAAAAATCTTCAGTTTCGAGTAATTTCGACCTCATCAAGTATGTCTAAACCTACTTTTTATCATGGACCTCGATCCCATAGAGATATATGTCCATGTTTTATCACATCTAACGATGTTCGATGGGATAAATAGAGAACGGCCCCGTCCGAACGTCCGTCTATCGGGGCAATAACTCAAATACCATTGAATGAATATCGTTTTTATTTAAATGCATATGCCCCAGGGGAGTACAAGTTCTGTTAGTGGGGTGGGGGACGGGGGTAGCCCTATAGAGCTTAAGAGTTCACATATATAAAATTACGTATCGTGCGTACCACCTCCGTTTGTCGTGCAACTTCTCGTCATTTAGTTTTCGAAAATAACACTTTGGTAATGTTTTATCAATGTAAGCATATCCATTTCACCTTTCTTTCTCTTGATCCAAAATAACAAGCCATGATATTTATCAAACGACACCAGAAAGTAACATGATATTATTCGAAGCGTGTTTCGAACATTTTGAAACCCGGCGCCCCAGGCCGATATGTCTTCTCAACACAGATTTACATATTAGACATATAGGCCTAGTGTTCTTTGAACCCTGAGGTTATCCCCTCCTGACTGAGTTCTGCTCAAATTTGTTTTTTTTCAAAATGGCCACTGGTTTCAAAATGGCCGCCATATTAGTGTCACTCAGGTAGGCCTACAACTAGTACTTTTATGCAAAAATTATAAGGCCGGGATATTGATTTAGTTGCATTGAAAATTGAAATGAATCGTGGCCATCTTGAAAAATGGCGGCCGTTACGTGCTATTTTGTGGCTATTTTACAATTTTTGCTGTAAGCCTATAAGCCTACAGGAGGAAGAGAAGCGATTTTGTTGATGTTTGATATGTGAATAGGACCCATATGCACTGTCCGGTGTCGCCTTTGTCTTTTTTTACAATAACTCAAAAAAAATGTCCATGGTATGACACACTATCTTATGACACTTTGGCTAGTTGGCCGCCATTTTTGAAAAAGGCGGTCTTTTAAGCTTACGTGTTTTATTTTAAGCTTAAACGTCTTATAAAATTTACTATCTATAACTCAAAAAGTAGTATTTATATGTGTTTAGTTAGAGGATTAATCTTATTACACTTTCTTATGACAATTCGGCTAGTGAGGGCCCATTTTGAAAAATATTGGCCAATTTTATACGGTTATTTAACGATTTTTGCTATAATTGTAAAAGTGGAGGGATTTCGTGAAATGGCAGTCATAGCTGTTCGATTGGATTTGCTACACATTGGCGTTGCTGTTATCTAGTTGTTTTCTTCCCTTTCAGCTTACTTTTCAAATTGGGGGAAGACCCCCTCCCACCATGCACGTACATGTAGGCTATTCCCCCATCCTGGTCCCCCACGCTCCCAACGTGATTAGTTTTCAGGAGCTTTTGAAACAACATACTCCTTCATGGTCGTGGTTCCATGTTATGAAATTAAAATGACTTTGTCATGTTCAGGTCGGGTAAAAAATGTTACAAGAACTAGCTGACATTGTAAACAGTTTACTCTCTAAACTCGTGACCACCTTAGTCAACATCTTTCGTCACCCTGGATCGAACCTGTTTACTAATAACACCCTATGCAGACAGAGCCTGTGGGAAATATTGGGTGCGGAGCAAATGAGCGGAGGGTGCGGAGCTAACGGTTATTTTTGAATTTAAATTTGGGATATTTCTGAAACTAAGCCGTTTTGGGACTTCAAATATACCAAGATATGTGTAATTGACACCAAATATCAATACAATTGTGAAAATAGTAGCGCAATTCATTCTATAGCGACGCAATGTGCCTTAAACCTTTCCCAGACCTATATATTTTGAAATTATCCTTTTAATACTGAGTCCCCAGCATTCATAAAAAATGGTGTTCAAGGTGCACTATCTATACAAATTATTTTTGCATCTTGGAAGCCAGGCAGTATCTGTGTGATTTTATAAAAATTCGGAAATGTTCTTCAGATATGAGCCCCTCTAAATATTGGGTGCGGAGCAGCTCCATAAACGTAGCTCCGCACCCAATATTTAGAGGGGCTCATATCTGAAGAACATTTCCGAATTTTTATAAAATCACACAGATACTGCCTGGCTTCCAAGATGCAAAAATAATTTGCATGGGTAGTGTATCTTGAACACCATTTTTTATGAATGCTGGGGACGCAGTATTAAAAGGATAGTCTCAAAATATATAGGTCTGGGAAATGTTTAAGGCATACTGCGTCGCTATAAAATGAATTGCACTACTATTTTCACAATTTTATTGATATTTGGTGTCAAATACACATATCTTGGTATATTTGAAGTCCCAAAACGGCTTAGTTTCAGAAATATCCCAATTTTAAATTCAAAAATGACCGTTAGCTCCGCACCCTCCGCTCATTTGCGCCGCACCCAATATTTCCCACAGGCTCTGTCTGCATAGGGTGAATAAGCTTACTACGATTTTAAGAAACATAAAGAAGTTTTCCTTCATGGGCGTTACTTGTAATTTCTAATTTTAATTCGTGACTCATTTCAAGTCACTTTTCGTTTTCAAGTGGCATTTAAGAAGAGTGACATACGACCACGTGTAAATTGTAAAATACGCTAGACTTATCCAGGCACGAGAGCCGAGAGTGGACTTACACCCATTGACCTCCGAAATACTCTTGCAAATCCATAACAAAGGCCAACACAGTCAACAAAAGAGGGAAAATGAATCATATCCATGCAAATCACCAGACACAAACAAGCAAATTACTTCCATGTTCTGACTGGGGAACATTTCCATACGTCGTAATTCACACAAAAAGTTAACCAACTTTAATAGATTTATCTCACAATGTGAATTGAAACCAGGTTGTGTTTGTACGATCAAATCAGCTGATCTGGGGTTGCTAATCCAGGGGTCTGACACTTTAGCTTACTAAGTAAGGGCATGTATTTATAGGCTTAAAGGTAGCATCTGTCATAGAGGGAGTGTAAAATACGGGAGCAATATTCACTATTTTCCCATGCGTTATTTTCTACCACCATGTTTTTCCAATAGGCCTAGCATACATATGGAATATTCACTGATTAATGTAAGTCAATGGTACATGTCATAAATGGTGGAAACTGCAAATAGTCTCAGGATGAATCTTCCAAAATAATCATTTGTACTGGGGACATCGCGACACCGCCCTACGACAGTAGATCTGGAATGTTTGATTGTTTACATATGTACCAAGATCATGTCTCTTGAGTAAATGTATAATGTTCATCCAGGTCATTTTTGTCAATTCCCGAAGTAGTCTAGGCGTCTAGGCAAAACTACATTTGCATTCCATTCCATATGTTTTTAGAAAAACTTGATTTCACAGCATATATTTGTGGCTTACCATTGTGTCCTGCAGAATGGGATGATGATGATGATGATGATGATGATGATGATGATGATGATGGACAGACTTTCTTGTTTGTAAGTCCTTGCATGAGGAAGGGGAACAAAAACGGATCGTCATTCCGGCTTGAAGTTGAACAGAATATTTTTGTAGAAATAACATTTTTTGTGTACAGTCTTACTCAATAAATAGTCAACTGACCCATGCTCAAAATATGTATTTCTATTTTCTTGTAGGAATTGAATGATTTTTGTTACAAGGCACTGATCAGTCATTTATCAGAAGAACTCAGTGTGTGTTCGGCTGCATGGTATTTTGCTGCTGGTATAACATCAGCAATGTATAATAGTAAACATAAAGAAAATAGTAATTTTGTGCGCAGCATTAGAAAGCAAATCGACATTAATTTATGCCAACGGGATGGCAACAGCATGAATAATTTATGTTAATATACAATCCATAAATGGTTGTACTTATTTAAATGATAGCAATTTCATTGGTTAGCACTAAATGACGTCACTTTTCTGGATATTGATTGGTTACTTTCAAGGCTAGTGACGTTCCCAAATATCTTTTGTTCTGCAAAGTATAGTAATTTGAATGATGCATATGACAAATCGATGCCTCTATTTTAAACATAAACATGTTAAAGGTAATATGCATTATGTATTTTATTGCCAAAATCGGTAAATGTTGTAAACGTCAACATTATAAAGTCAATAATCTTGCAAATAGCCAGCTAGTGCCCAGCTGGTTGCATAAATTACACACGTGATGAAAATAAAAATACCGACCAATCAATTCGATGAATTCCGTCTATGAACGTCACGTGGGATTTGGATAACCAATCAAATTTGACAAGACACGGGACATATGCTCATTCACCTTTTTTAGCGAAAAAGAGATGTAAGAAATCTCCATCCAGATCGCAAATTCAGACGACCAGATGGCTATTTGGATATCTGTTTTGGTAAGTTATTGTTCATCATTACCTTTTCTACGCATGTGATGAAATAATAGGAGTGAGAGGCGGTCTTTTTGTGCAAAATATAGCTGCAAATTGAAGGATATAGTCCGTCATTGTTGGGGCCGCAACATGGCAGACAGAATTCTAGACGCTTTATTTTACAAACTGGGCAATATCTGAGCTCAAATATGCCAATATGTTCTGAGGTTTACAAGGTTATCAATGAATATAGTGAAATAAGATAGTTATGCATATTATGTTGCAATTTTGTGGCTAAATCTGTAAAATTGAGGATGCACGAGCTTACTAAAGTTTGGGTGTTTGTTACGCGATTGCGTTATCAACTTTCGTCATGAGCCATTTTGAATCACGGCGTCACGATCTTTTCAGGAACCCCCTAATTTGGAGCTAGATTTCTTCCTTAAATCTCAATTAAATAGGATATATTTGGTATCATTTTCAAGGTAATCATCAGGGCATCACGTTCGAGTGGTGATATAGGTCAGTACCATCGTTTCTTTGACGAAATGAATTACTATGTCAGTTACGTTTTGCGCTGAGGCCACCTGTCATGTTTGGGCAGCCATTTTATGATAGTAAAAAATTCCACTTTTTATAACATAACAACAATTTCAAACATTTGTACAAGGCATGTCATCAGTTTTTCATCAAAATTTTAATCATATTTTGTGCGTTTTGATGTAATTTTGAATATTTTTCTAGGTGATGGACATTTTGTTGGAATTTGGACATGAGATATTATAAGGGAACTCGCAGTACATCAAAGCGTACTGCACAAGTTGACTCAGCTGAGCAACAAAATCCTTCAAGTCCAGCTACAAAAGTGCCTGAAACTGAGGACTCACTCACTGAAGGAAAAACAACAAGTGGTGCTGAAACAAAAAAGAATCTTGCACGAGGCAAGAAAAAAGTTGATGGTGTCGATAATTCTCAACCCGACAGTTCCAGTAACATAACAGTCCAATCGCCATCATTTGAAGTGACATCGGCTATTGTAGTCAATGTATCATCCCCCTTAACTGCAAAAGTAGACCTGAATCAACTGGTTCATAGCATGGCATCAAAAAATCCAGTCTCCGGGGCCTCCCAGGTGATGGCTTCAACCCGTATGCAACAACAATCGCCAAATACAACTGCCCCTAAAGCAATTGCCAAACCTCCAAAGAAGAGAAAGGGAGTTGACATTTCCCAAGATAACCCAGCTTCATTCCCTGTTGCTATGCCAACAGTCCCACCACCTGCTAAGAGGTTCCGTATCGACCTCAGCCAATGGAAGGGCCATCGAGTTCTTGCAAAGAAACAAAACTTTTATCAACCTGGTGTCATCAAACAGATTCATGGAAACTGTGTCTCGGTTTTATTTGATGGTGCAACTGAGCCTGTCTACTTCAATGATGTCTTAGATCTTGAAAGTAGAGATATCATTGGTGATATGAGCCCTCCAGCAAACCAAGTCCAACCTGGGGCCAAAGTTTGTGTCAGAGTGAACCAAGATGAAAATGCTTTCTTTGTAGGAAAAGTAATTGAGAAGAAAACATCCCCAATTCTCTACAGTGTGATACTTGATGACAAACCAGCAATGAACTTGTGGTTGACCCGACCAAATATCCGTTTGCTTCAGACACCTTGGTTTGAAGAATTAGAGGAGTTGACACCAGAAGTAACCCCACCCCCTACACAGATGATGTATACCCCTCCTCCAGCAGCCACAAGCTCAGCAGAAGATAAGATACTTGTGTCACCTAACAATCCTAAAATGGATGACAGTCGTGACTCTTCTGATGATGAGATGAAAATGGAAGATGTAAGCTTTGGATCGGAAGGTATCTCTTCAAGGTCAGGCAGTACAACTCCTGCATCATCTGGCAAGGGACGTAGCTCTGTAGGTAGTAGTCAGGTAGCAAGAAAGCGTGATGCAGGAAGTAGAAGTCGTAGTGCCCAGTCTTCAGGGAGCAGGGCTAGCACTCCACGATCTCCTCTCACTGCCCAAAAGTACAAAAAAGGTGATGTGGTAGAGACAAACAATGGCATAAGGAAGAAATACAATGGGAAGCAATGGCGCCGATTGTGTAGCAGGGAAGGATGCAGTAAGGAGTCTCAGAGAAGAGGTTACTGTTCCCGTCATTTGTCTATGCGAGGTAAACTTCCTCGTTCATCCCTCTCATATCCTGGTAAGGACCCTGAGGATAATTCAAGAGATAGTGACCCAGATAGGCATTACCGGGAACGCTTGGACATGGATGAGGCAATCGCTGCTAATACACTTATATCCCTTGGGAACTCAAGTCGATCAGGGACTCCAGTGTTCTCCCCTACGCCCCTCTCACCGGGTCACCACGCCCACTCCCCATCACCATTGATGGTATATCAGCGTGGTGGAAGTGCAGTAGGGTTTACCCCCATCTCCCCTCACCCACACATTACCCCACAAGGTCACATGGGTCTCCTTGGTTCCCCGAATCAAAGATGGAGCACCCCTAAATCAGGACGATCCTCCACAGAGCTGATCTCCCCAGTAGGACCCAGGGGACAGCACAATCTAGGTACGACACCAACATTTCAGACACACCTCAACTTCAACACTCCAGGGCAGGCATACAAGAACAAAGCTGCAATGAAGGAGCCACTTAGAAGTGAGGGTGGAGATTCGGGTATTGAAATACACACTCCAGGTACAACTCCTGTACATGGCATGCAACGAGGTCAGTTGATATCGCCTCAGAAGATGGTGTCCCCGAACACCCACAAACTGCCACACCAAGGAGAAGGACACATAAGAAGCAGATCAATCAGCGGTGACAAGAACCAACCTAAACTGATACAGCGCCATCTGCAGCAGCAGCAACAACAGGTATTGTTTCTTTTAAAAACTATAATCCATATTCATTCATACATACATGTATATCTCTAATGCATAGAACAGTATAAGGTCAGTTCTCTTGTGTCATATCGGAAAATAGTGTTTGCACAGAAAATAAACACAAAAGGCTCACATCATTTCATAACTTTAATACCATCGATGGAAAGCGATGCATGAATGACTACGATTGATTGAACCTTTAAAGATTCACTTTAGTTTCTGAAATTATTGAATCTTTGGGGTTGGTTTCTTGAATAAAAGTTGCAAACATGCCCCAAGTGGGAACTTGTCCTCTCTTTGCTCAATTGAATATAGAGAGGAGAGGGGTCCATATAGGGCCTGTTTTGTATGGTAAGTTCAATGGCCGTATTTGTTTACAAACATACATTACTTTTGTAAGACTTGTGTTAGACTTGTGTAAATGCAATATTGACTCAATAATTCTGCTATTCTGAGATAATTTGGACAACTCACTTTTGATAAAGCACCACATATTTTAATCAAAAAATCGATCATCATTATTTTACACAGTCAACACGATTTATGCATCAATTGATAGAGCATCTAACAACCAGACATCCCAGACTGTTCTCTGCTACTCTGAAAAAATTGACATCTCTCTTAAATGATAAAGCACCACATATATTAATAAGAAAACTGATCATCATTATTTTACAGCCAACACATTCACCCTTGGTATACGCAGCTAACGAAAATTGACCGGTACGGGTCAAAAGCTGGACCGGTACGGGTTAACGGTTTTATTTGAATTTAAAACAGCCATAACTTGCTCAATATTGACTTCCTCGTGTCCAATTTGAAATATATGATGCCTCCCGATGCTTTTAAATACCCAAATTTTTTACAGATTTTTAAACGGACCAAAACTCTCTAAATGCGCATTTATGCTCTTTTCTCTCGAGAACGACTGTCTCATTTTCACGATAACTTTTATTTAGTACTTCTAACATATAAGATCTATTTTTCCCCATCAAGGTATGATGTAAATGACATGCTATTTACATCTTGTGAGTTTCAATGACGCGCGTTTGATTTTATAAAAAATGCCAAACTTTGTGACAAAGAATTTCATCAGCTATTGCCCCGAACTGGTCCATCTTCTCGCTGCAAGCAGGATGAAATTCTTTGTCACAAAGTTTGGCATTTTTTATAAAATCAAACGCGCGTCATTGAAACTCACAAGATGTAAATAGCATGTCATTAACATCATACCTTGATGGGGAAAAATAGATCTTATATGTTAGAAGTACTAAATAAAAGTTATCGTGAAAATGAGACAGTCGTTCTCGAGAGAAAAGAGCATAAATGCGCATTTAGAGAGTTTTGGTCCGTTTAAAAATCTGTTAAAAATTGGGGTACTTAAAAGCATCGGGAGGCATCATATATTTCAAATTAGACACGAGGAAGTCAATATTGAGCAAGTTATGGCTATTTTAAATTCAAATAAAACCGTTAACCCGTACCGGTCCAGCTTTTGACCTGTACCGGTCAATTTTCGTTAGCTGCGTATACCAAAGGTGACATTTATGCATGGATACATGCTAATAGCCGAACATCCCAGAATGTTCTATTTGTTGCTAGGAACAGATAAAACACTGAATACAATGTCAAGGTCTTTTCCTGTAATTCTATATACATGTATTGACTTTATGTCATGTTTGTCATGCTATATTTCGCCTTGAATGAAATGGGCAATCTGAGGTTAAAGTGACAAAAGAGCATGTTGGTTAAATTGGTTCAGACCTATAAGAGGCTTAATCATCCCATGATTCTTCCATTCAATTTGAATATATTTGTCACCAGCAGGTGTTGGTTGGACAAGTTCATCATGGACCCGAGACTGTTGCGTCTCTAATGGCGAAACAGCAGCAGCAACAGCAACAACAACAACAACAACTTGAGCAACAACAGAGGATGGCAGCACAAGCCGGCAAACCTGTCATCGGGATCTACCAAATTGAGAGCGCAAAGCCGTCATCAGGAGATGACCAGCAGGGCTCATCTAATCACCCTCCACCCACAGCATTGTTGCCATTGATGCCTGTAGTTGTACAAGAGGAAAAGAAAGAAGAGGCGAAACCTGACAACAGTAAAGGTGAGTAGATAATCGAAATCACTGATTTAATATGTAATCCTGTTAAGGACTGCAGGTTAACCTATTTTGTCCTAAATAAATATGATTCAGAATTAACTGTAACTAGCTGATAACAAGCAGCAATAATATCTGAGCATCTAGTGTTTGCAAGACATAAAGATCTATCAAGTGTCAGTATGATGTTTCTGTGTTAATTTGCAGTGGTTCTGACAGCCAGTGAGTTAGTCCAGTGTCAGGTCTACCCATGGCACTCTGTTGTCCCTTTCCTGACTACCCCTCCTCGCCCCAAGGGCCCAGATCTTCCACCCCAGGGGCAGCCACAACAATCCACTCAACAGGGGCCCCCTACACAACTCGGTGAGTACAGATTAATAATAGAAATATTACTTCAATTATTCTCAACACAGTGCCAATAAATCTTAATCCTTAATTAGGTCAGTACAGCATACATACAGTGATCTCCCCAGCATTAAAGCAAGTGGGTACTGCATCCATGTGAGATTTTAATATTAGCCATGCACCCACCTGAAAATTCATTCTCACCCACTTGAAAAATAATGAAAAATACGCATATCTTGAAAATTTTGTCTATACTGTTAAAATAAGAATTTTTTACCCACTTAAGATTAAATCCTGGGGAGAACACAGTGACATCAATGGCAATGCTAAGAAGCATGGGTATGACATGGAATGTTCACTGCTACACATTGCCTTAACTGAACCAATCAATAAACTTCAAGCCTCGCTTCAATCTGTGGTAGACAACAATGAAAAATACATGTGATGAGCACTTGAAATAATTCTCCATTTGGATTTATATTGGAAGCATTTGTTCACCTTGTGTTAGCATTTGAATAATTCCCATCCTGGTTTAACATGCTGAGTTAACTATTCCATTTCATTGAATTCATTCTTCGCTCTACTTAAAAGTTATAACTTCTCTACTGTATTATTTCTTGAACGTTTTGCTCCAACTATTTTATATTAATAAATTTTCTATATTTTTCACTGCAGTAGCCTCTTTAATACTTGAGTACTTCATACACCTTAACATTTTAACACACTAGCAATTCATACACTATCACCCATGTTAACACTTAAATGATCCATTCATGTTGTGTTAGCACTTGAATTATTCATTCACCTTTTGTTAACACTTTTTAGATAACACATTTACTTAAGTAATTCATTCACTCTCACTGTCAACACTTCAATGATCCATTTATCCTGTGTTAACATTTGAATGATCCATTCACCCTGTGTTAACACTTGAATGCTCCATTCATCCTGTGTAAACACTTGAATGCTCCATTCATCCTGTATAAACACTTGAATGATCCATTCACCCTGTGTTAACACTTGAATGCTCCATTCATCCTGTATAAACACTTGAATGATCCATTCACCCTGTGTTAACACTTGAATGCTCCATTCATCCTGTGTTAACACTTGAATGATCCATTCACCCTGTGTTAACACTTAAATGCTCCATTCATCCTGTATAAACACTTGAATGATCCATTCACCCTGTGTTAACACTTGAATGCTCCATTCATCCTGTGTTAACACTTGAATGATCCATTCACCCTGTGTTAACACTTGAATGCTCCATTCATCCTGTATAAACACTTAAATGATCCATTCACCCTGTGTTAACACTTGAATGATCCATTCACCATGTGTTAACACTTGAATGATCCATTCATCCTGTGCTAACACTTGAATGATCCATTCATCCTGTTCAAACACTTGAATGATCCATTTATCCTGTGTTAACACTTGAATGCTCCATTCATCCTGTGTTAACACTTGAATGATCCATTCATCCTGTGTTAACACTTAAATGATCCATTCGCCCATTCATCCTGTATAAACACTTGAATGATCCATTCACCCTGTGTTAACACTTGAATGCTCCATTCATCCTGTGTTAACACTTGAATGATCCATTCACCCTGTGTTAACACTTGAATGCTCCATTCATCCTGTATAAACACTTGAATGATCCATTCACCCTGTGTTAACACTTGAATGATCCATTCACCCTGTGTTAACACTTGAATGATCCATTCATCCTGTGCTAACACTTGAATGATCCATTCATCCTGTGTAAACACTTGAATGATCCATTCATCCTGTGTTAACACTTGAATGCTCCATTCATCCTGTGTTAACACTTGAATGCTCCATTCATCCTATGCTAACACTTGAATGGTTCATTTACTTAAATAATTCACTCACCTTTTCCTAGTGTTAATAGTTGAATGATCATTTCATTCTGTACTACCACTTGAACACAGTGTTAACACTTAAATTTTAACACTGAATGATCCACTCTCCCTGTGTTAACACTTAAATGGTTCATTTACTTCAATAATTCACTCGCCTTCTCTTATTAATAGTTGAAGGATCATTTCATTCTGTATTAACACTTGAACATAATGTTAAAACTTGAATGTTAACACTGAATGATCCACTCGCCCTGTGTTAACACTTAAATGATTCATTTGCCCTGATTTAACACTTGAATAATTCAAGAGCCCTGTGTTTCAGCAAAAGTTAACTTTGCTGATAAGGTTCAAAACATAGAAGAAGATGATGATGACGATGATGTCTTTATAAGTGTAGATGATGAGACCCCGGGCGATGTAGTTTCTGCAAAGAGGCGCTCTCAATCTCTTGGTGCTCTACCCAAAGATGAACCTAAAAGCCCCCGAAAGGTAACAGTATTCACTGTTCAGTGTACAGTGTTCAGCAATTTATCATTTGATGAATTAATTTGTGTTGACCTTTATCGCAAAGCCATCATCTGAAGGACTACGTTATTTTAAAGCATAATAAACTGGATTGTTGTTTCCTTTCTACGCTTAAATAATTAATGTAATTTTTTTTAGAGTACATTTCTTGCCAATTTAGTACAAAGTTATTTTCATCCTATTTTTTTGTACTTAATTCCAGTTGCTTACTAGTAATTAAACTACACCACTCAGAATGTAAGCTGTCTGATGGACACAGTTCATTCTTCAGTGTTCTTTGAAAATCAGTTATTCTCAGTGGCTAATAAGATGTTCAATGAATGTATTTAATATTTTTTATGATCAGGGGTAGAGCTAAGGTTCTGAGAGCAGCTGGTCAAAATGGCATTACAGACCGGTTGCCATGTTATTTCCCTAAAAATCAGGTGGTCTCTATCAAAAGTAACCTGTCAAATGACAATTGGACCAGCCCCTTAGCTCAAGCCCTGTTTTTTATCACCTGAGTCACAAATAAATTTTCATGCATGTTATTTTCAATTCAGATAAAAGACAAGGACCACATAAGACGTCCTATGAACGCATTCATGATCTTCAGTAAGCGCCATAGAGCCAAGGTCCATGAACGGAACCCCAATCAGGATAACCGAACTGTCAGCAAGATATTGGGAGAATGGTGGTATGCTCTGGGGGCTAAGGAAAAACAGGAGTACCATGACTTGGCATTCCAGGTAAACATCTTTTGATATCTTTCATTCACTCCAAGGGGTGTATTGCATTATAAATATTCTGCTATTCATTATTATACAACTCACATGCAACTTTGATTTTGAGTGGGCCAAAAAGCTGATATTTTATTTTTCTGTTGACATTTACAAATTTGGCAATTAAACCAACATGCCAGTCACCTTTTATTGATTATTTCACCTATAATTTCTAGTTAAAAGAGGCTCACTTCAAAGCTCACCCAGAGTGGAAGTGGTGTTCTAAAGACCGCAAGAAATCTGCAGGAAGTACCAGTAGCGCCCCAAGAAGACGTCTCAGCTCGTCTGATGAACTGGCAGCAGCTGCTATCGAAGGTATTGAGAAAAAAATAAACGTAAAATGCTCCAGATTGAAAATACTTAAAGGATGTGAGACCATAATAATATATTATTCAAGAAATTGTATTATATACAGGGCGTTCAGTAAGTAAAGCTAATTTTGCTCTCAAACTTTTATTTTTTGTCATTTATCTTTCAAATTTTCAGTGAAGAAGCATTTGACATGTTTCTAACTACCCTGAAAAATTAAATAAGATATGATGAATAATAGCAAAACAATGGTTGTCATAGTAACATGAATACAGGTTCTGCGGAGCAATTTCTTACTTTAATAAAAAATGTTATAATGCAATGAAATTGATTAAGATTAATGCTGCATATGTCTTTGTTTGCTATGGCTGAAAGTCACGACAAACATAACAACAACATACACAAATATGATACCATGGCAACAGCAGTCTATGACATCACAGACAGATGATACAACAGATGGAATGATCCAGAATGATCCATCAGACACTGCTCCATGACATCATCAAAATCATGGCTGCCAGGATTGCCAATGGAAGCAAAATTAACAATGACCCCTGTTACACAGGCCAGTTGAAATGCTTCGTTACGAAGCAATTTGACAAAAAGCTTCGTAACGAAGCAATTTTGGGCCAGTGTAACACCTCCGCCTTCGTTAGAAAAGCTTAGTTGATAACGAAGCAATTGAGTAGAAAATTCAACGAAGGTTAGGTCCCAACGAAGCTTTTTTGGCCTGTGTAACAGGTAGCTTCGTTAGAAATTGCTTAGTTGGCGGTTTGCGCATGCGCGTAACAAAGAGCACATTCATCATTTTGTATTAAATGAGAGGAATTGCGAGGAAAGAACATGTTTTTAAGTACGTATCATTATAATGCCACGTTTTGATTAAAATAATTACCTATTTGCGTCACTGATTGACGCTAACTCAAGCCCTAAACGCCACGTACAAATGTGATTTATCGTCTTTCGTAGCATTTCATTCGATTCCCTGCCTTTCCTCGTATTGATATGACAAAAAGTATTAAATCTAAAAAACTCAGGTTCACCGTATATATGTATACGGTAGCTTTGAAACGTTTATCTGATCTATTTGAGAATAAACCTAGAATATTTAAATGTCCCTCTTTCGGAAAACTCCGTCTCAAGTGTGGAAGGGTAAACTTTTGAAATCACATAAGATATGCTTACTAAATAGAAAGTTGTGGCATACATGTTTAATATTAATTTTTTCTTGCGCCTTGAATAATTATACCTTGAATGTAATTCTAAAGGTGTTAATACCATGATACTGATACAATTGCTTCCCGGTGAATCACATCAGGTGAATTTAGCCGATTTGATTGATTCGAAAATGTCTCTCTCACGCCCGGTGATCGTAGAATTGGGACGGAGGGGGGGGGGGGAGCAGGCAATTTCTGCTAGAAATTTCAACAAATCTGGAAGATTTATTTTTTAAAGAAGTAGTTTACTATTGAATTGCTAAATAAATAGGCTCACGGTATTGTAAAATATGTTAGGTATTCTAGGATTTTTTTTCAACCGATACTCTATTAGGGTATAAGATCTATTAAAAAAGGCGCAACGCACCAACGTGCAAAAGTCAATGTTGTTGCTATAAATGAAGCAACAATGGTGTACATGACCTGTAATAAATACTTGTAAGTGACATTATCGTCACAAAATTAATGTTATTGCTGACTTTGTAAAATAAGTTTCCATAGGTGAAATAAAAAATAATCGAAAATAATTTTGGGACGGAGGGGGGGAGCAATATGTATTAAGACATGATACATATTGCTCCCCCCCTCCGTCCCATAATTATTTTCGATTATTTTTTGAATTTAAACTTCATGTTTAAATATATTGAATTAATTACGTTTCAAAACTTCCGTATACAAATACGGTAAAACCACCTGCAGACAAGGAACGGTGGCCAAAATTGTTTCGTGTCGACAGATATTTGCCACAGAGAGGCTGCATGTTTTAGGCCAGCCCCAAACACTATTGATGTGTCGTAAAACGATGCTTACAACTGATATTCAAGTTTCTTCCTATTTGCGCCATTTTCGAATTCAACGGACGGCTGATGGATTAACATACTAATTTATGTCAAACTCACTCAAATATGCATGGAATATTGGCGAAACGGGTAATATTCATATTAAGATGAATTGGTCATGAAATAGTAGTTAAACCACCAGCCGAACACCAAGATATTTTAGTAATGGCTACACTATTTGAAATATACTGAGAAGTCCATTTGGAAATTGAACGTTTTTATACGATATTACATACTAGTCCTCTGTATAAACCCCAAATCCAATTCCTCCTAGTAATTAACATAGGCCTATTTTTATTCCATATGTTTTCCAAAGGAAGTGATTGAAAATAAAATTGAATATTTTTGAGTTTCATCAATTGTTTATATCAAAAGAATAAAGATATTAATCATAATAAGTGGGTGGGGCAGATGAGTAATGCGCACGCGCAACGAAGCATTTTAAGTGCAGTGTAACACCAAATAATTGCTTCGTTAGGGTTGGATAAAGCCAGTGTGGACACAATTTTGTCGCTAACCTTCGTTACAAAAATGCTTCGTTAGACTCAACCAAGCAGTGTAACAGGTACCAATGAAATGAAACAACAATTGAGAAGTAGCATCAGATACAATGTGTTGCTAGGGAAATCCAAGCAGGATACCATTAGGGATATCCAAAAAGCATATGGGGACAGTGTGCCTAAGTACACAATCTACAAATGGTATCAGAAATTCCAAAAGGGGAGAAATACAACAAGTGATGAGCCAAGGTCAGGGAGGCCGAAACTTCTAACCAAAGAGGCTAACATGAATCATTTGAGGCAATTGTTAGATGAAGACCGCAGTATAACTGTAAGGGAACTCTCAGAACTAACCAATATCAGCCTAGGATGGGTACATTATCTGATTCACAATTCTCTAAATATGTCCTTGGTGTCTGCGAAATGGGTACCAAATAATCTGACCGACGAGCAGCGTAGAAATCGTCTGGAAGATTCAGTTGCATTCTTGCGCCGTTAACTTAAACATCAAATGATCAAATTCACATTTCATTTTCTGGTGCTGCGGCGCTATCTTGTGAATGCGATTCGCAAGAAGAGGCCCCATAGGACTCTCAACTCCTACATATTCCATCAAGATAATGCGCCATCGCATAGGTCGCAAATGGTGCAGGATACTATCCAGAAAACGCTGGAGATGGAGGTTCGAGGCCAGTCAGCGTATTCTCCTGACAAGGCACCATGCGATTTTGGGGTATTTTCATGTTTGAAAAATGATCTGCGTGGTAAGATCCACGCAAATATCCATGAGCTTCAGAATGCTGTTCAACGTTCACTGACAAAGAACTTTCCAGATGGTTTCCACAGGATATATCAGAAGTGGATAGAACGACATCAGCTGTGTGTGAAAGCTAAGGGGAACTACTTTGAACATGAAATAGAATGCTAACTTGAAAGTAGAAATGTGGAGTAGCCACAGAACTAGGGTTGAAATATAGACAGGACAGAAACTAACGTTAACAAAATCTACTATGCTGTGAACTTATAAAATTGCTCCGCAGAACCCGTATTCGCGTTACTATGACAACGACCATTTTGCTGTTATTCATTACATCTTGATCATTTTTTCAGGATAGTTAGAAAAGTGTCTGATGCTTCTCCACTGAAAATTTGAACGATGATAGACAAGAAATAAAAGTTTGAGAGCAAAATTAGCTTTACTTACTGAACACCCTGTACATGTTTTGTGTTTTGTTTACTACCAATCAAGGTTATTAATTACTACGTGCCTTTGGGAATACATGTACATTTATACAGTATTTATGGTCATTTACACATCTGATCATTGAAAATAAGCACTCACACAAGTACACAAACTTTGTACATCACCTCGATAATGAGAAAAAATGTTTGTTATGCTCCTGTATATTTGTTTATTTTTTTTAATGCACTTTGAAAAGTGATGTATTGTCATCATTTTGTGAGCGGGTGCCACATAAATTTTGTCATCAAAATTCTAGGAAAACAGCATATCTGTTCAAATCAAAGTTAGGCACGGGACAGTTTTGGGCATGCTGAGTAAATTACATGGCTGCCATTTTGGTCTTCAAAAGTGCAATATTTATCTCTGTGTGTCTTAATTTACAGGTAACCTGAACCAGTTGCCATCAGTCACCGACACAATTGATGATGATGATGTGTTTGAGGCTGCCAAGAAAATTCCCAATATTCCTGTTGCATCAAGCTCTGGTCTTGTGGCTCCCCCTGGTGTAGGTGATAACACACAAGCCTTGGCAGAACTCAAGCAGGTTAAGGCATTTTGTGTTCGTATATCATTCCTCATAGTAATAATATTTTTATAAGTTTTGAGGTCAGTAAGCATACTTTTTAAGGGATTGAAGTCCCTCTTCCTGAGCATAATTGAACTATCAATAAAACAAAACATGCTGGTATGGGATACAATACAGTTTTTTTTAAAGTTTCATATTGGATTGTATTTCGCAATGAAAGGTTGTATTGATGGAATAAACTGGGTCCTCTGTTTTCCTTATGATACATCCCATATTCAAAATCCCCATAGTAAACCCTTGTATATTTAATGTTGTAGATGTGCTCAAGTCGTGCCCCTTACCAGCCTGCAGGTAAAGCTTTAGTCACAGTAGGAGAAGCCAGCCAAGCAGGCCAGGATCAAGCAAGGGCAAAAGCTGCTAAGACTGCTACTGGAGAAGAGAGTGACGATGAGGATAGAATGATCATTGATGAGAAACAAGGTAACGAATGAAACTCTACATAACAATCATCCTCTTAAGCAGGTATCCAGAATCCGCGCCTCCTTCTTCCCCCTGCTATAACCAATTTGGAAGCGCCCAATTAAACTGAATCACGTGATCTAATTATGCACAATGACTTATACATGACTTCTGTAGCAGTGTTGTGACAGCCAATCAGATTGCGAGTTCTTAATCGGGGAAATGCTAACTGCTTATCGCAGGGGGTAAAAAGAAAGAATATATTCTGGATTTTGAAGCCCTGTGATAGGAGGATGCATAACAATCATGTTGTATTCTTATTGGTCCTGATACATATTATATTAGACTGATAAAGACCAATAGATACATTGGTTGGAAATTATTTTGTACTATTCAATAAATCATGGATCGTATCAGAAATTTTTGACCATATATTTCCTTGCTTTCTCACTAAAAATGGTTTGAAATCAAAGCATTCTTACAAGTTTTTGGCATTTTACTATATCAGCTATTTAATTTAGAAACTTCAAATTTTACAATTCAGTTTGGCAGATTTCTGCATTGTTCTGTTAAGACAACATTCATAAGTATCAAAATTTTGAACTTCATTTTGCCATCAATTTACACAAAGCCATGATTTGACAACTCCATGCTTTTGTTAATTTTAGGAAAAGAACAATTTACTGTGGATTTATCTTTAATTAGAAATAGACTTCAAATCACCTCCCTAAAATAAAGCAGACAACACACCTACTCGACCTTCTCTGACTCACCCTACAGTTTACAATATATGTTGCACCATTATCCTTTTAAAAATTTGGTGAACATGCACCCAATACACAAGTACACATTTTTATTAAATATAATTTGTGTAGATCGGAAAGAAGTTCTTAGTCTGGTGCAATTTTAAACATGGACCAAATAGTTGTTGACTGAATATAAATTGTTGGTCTGGAGCAATTTTAGGCAAAAATTCTGTGACAGATTTACATGTCACTCTTTGTCTTAAAGGAGAATTTATTTATAATCGAAATATATGTTATTGGTAATTAATGCTTGTTAATTGCAGTGGATGATGAGGTGGCACAGGCTGACCAAACTGATGGTATAGACCTCAACTGCAAAGAACATGTCTCTGACAGTGAGACAGACAGCCAATCAGAGGACGAGGTAATCGAGAACAAAGCGTTTCCACAGCAACGGTTTTCTCCAGTCATGAAACGGATCCAACATCATGACATCACATACAAACCAAAACCTATCAAAGTCACGCCAGACTCCCCGCGTGAACTTGGCACACACGGATCACCAGGTCTTGAAGATGGACTCCCAAGGCCCTCTAGCAATGGCTCAACATTCCAACCGAAAGGAGCGGTATTCAAGGCCCACTCCCCTAAGGGTAACCGTATTGATTTCCTCCAGAGGGTTGACCCAAATGCCAACAGGCCTGATAGCGCGAAAAGTGACAGTGCAATCATGGCGATGAAAGCTTATGATTTACCAGGCACACAGCCGACTAACACTCTGCAAGTGATAAGCTCCACCACGACGCCAGTGGGTCAGAAGCTTATCATGAAGACGAGTCAAGTGAGATCTATCCACAATGTCAGCATCAAGCATGACAAGCACAACTCAATGATAATGACATCAACGTCACAGATGATGCTAGGAGCCAATCAGGCTCCTGCGATTAAGACCCCACCCAAGACCATACATGACATCATGGCAGCCAATGCCCAACAGGTAGGATATTAAACCTTTATACTTTCTCTGGAATCTTAAAGATATTTATCTTGAATATAACAGTCAAGAATTTAAGTAATGTTTCATCATGAATCTGATTTCAAAGAGTTTAATAGAGGTTTTACCATGAAGAAATTAGGGTGAAATAATTAGACCTGGATTGGGCAATGGTACATCTATAAAATTTTGTCCATAACTTTTGAATCGCCCCTTGTATTTAAATTTCAGCAACAGCAACATCAACAACAACAGCAGCAACAAAATAAACAGCAGATTGCCCCATCACAAAATCCAGTTGTCATGGTAACCCGTAGCAACAAAACATCAGTGCCATCTTTTAAAAGTCAAACAATGTCTTCAGCACCCGTAGTGATGCTGCAGTCGGGGCAGGGTAAGCCAGCAGGTACCCCTCAGGGTGGTTCAGATGCTGTCCCTGGACAACTGAAGAACGTGAATGCTTTGTTAGTGCCGACTCAGCCTGTCACCATCTTGAACTCTGGGGGAATCACTCCTGCTAAGAGTCCAGCAGCGTCAGTGAGTAGCATGGTAACTGCTTCGAACCCACAGTTCATAACCACCACCCTTCGCAACATTGTTCCCCCTACTAGCACCCCCAGTACTCCCACAGGGACCCAACCAATAGCTCCTGCCTTACAAGTGACAAATTTTATCCTGAAGCCCACCTCTGCTGGTCAGGGCCAAGCTGACAAAGGAGCGGGGATGTTACAACCTGGGCAGCCCACCCAACTACAATATATCTTACCCTCCCTCACAGTCCAGCCTGCCCTGGGGGGCAAAATGCCAAACATCCAGTTTGCTATCCAAGGTGGTTACCCTGTAACCACTATGGCAGGTCAACAGGTACAGCAGGTCCAACAAGGAGGAACAATCCAAGTCAGTGCCATGCCTTTAGCTAGCCCAGGAATCAAACTCACTCCTGTGAAAACTCGAGACACCCCACAAAGTCAAGCTACAGGGCAAAATGTACAACCGAACATTGCCTCCCAAACACTGCAAGTTCTCAGCAATCAGAATATTGCTCAACATCAGAAACAGCAAAATGCAGTACAACACACATTACAACAACAACATGCAGTGCAACACCATCAGGTGGTACAACAACAACAGGTGACACAACAACCACACACAGGACTGCAACGTGCAGTACCGCAGCAAACCTTACAACAAGTAATTCCACAAGAAACACATCAGCAGCAAGTGTTTGCTGTGAGCCAACAACAGGGTGTCATGACAACAGCAGTTTCCCAGCAACCTGTGACATCACAACAGAGAATTATCTATCCATCATCCAAGTAAGAACAAATAGAGTAAAGGCAGTTTTTATGTCCCATATTGTTATGGCCTCCATTTTTTGGGACGGTGTCTGGCAGTTGGTGGTTGACAGTTAGCGTCTGTATAGACAAGTAACCAATTCTTACAACTTCCGATAACTTAACAAATACTGTTTAGGCTGACTTCAATTTTTTTCTAAATCATCTAAAAGTTCAAATCTGGCAGGGATCACAGGGTCAAAATAGGTCATAAAAGTCATTTTTCAACTTGCTTTTGCTTCATATTGACCAATTTTTTTTAATCATCTACAAGTTCTCAGAAGTTCAAATCTAACTTAAGATTTCAGATCTGAGTAAGTAGGTGGTGACGTTATGTCATCTTAATGCCTTGTGTGATCTATGCCATAATCATCAATATGTCTTATGCTCATGTCATTCAGGTTACATATTATGTAACCTAAATTAGACCTCTGGTTGACTGACAAAATTAAACTCATTCATTAAACTACATTTGGAGCAGGTTAGGTGGAAGTTAATACTACAGTATAGTAATAATTTAAAAAGTTGCACATTTTAATGTTTTACATGTACATTGTACTTAGAATGTCATTTGTTTTTGGGTATTTTTTTATTATTCAAAATTATCCCATTTCCCATCTGTAAAAATGTGACATTTTTGTTTTGAAATATATTCCGTTTCATTAATTATTGGGCACCCTGTATGCCCAATGCCTATTGAATGATGAAACTGCCTTTAGGTATCCGCAGCAGCAGTCAGTTGGAAACCCTGTAGCAACAAGTGTGGCAAGCAAGCTGTCTAACAGACCAGCACTTGGAGGTGATGGCAATGCAGCATCAACCAACACTCTCCAAGCATATCTAACTTCAGGTACTTAAAAACATTGAGTGTTCTATTATAAGTTGTTTCATTTCAATTATAATGACCATTTTGGTCATATCAGAAGTTATCTCTTGGTCTACACCAAATAAATGTGATTTTTAAGAAATGTTTTTTTAAGATCCTTGTCTCATGAGATTATATCTTACATATATTGGCTTACTAATATGATTGAAGTAAATATTGCAAATCTACATCCATTTGCAAATGAATTATCATATAATCCTGCACTTATCCATAGATGACTCTTTGATTACTTACAATACTCTTCACATGTATTATATCAATTTGAATTCGTTTCTAGGCTCTAACAAAGTTGTTCTTCAAACTACCAATTCGCCCATGCCGAGTACACAGCCTCAGCAGCAACACCAGCAGCAGCAACAACAGCAGCGTTATCAAATACTCCAACAGCAGCAACAGCAGCATATGTTACAACAGCAGCAAAAGCAGAGTCAACACCAGCAACAAAATCAAGAGAGATTACACCAGGAGATGCAGCAAAAAATACTAAAACTTGAGCAGCAATTACAACAATCTCAAAAACAGCAGCAAGAACAGCAACAGCAATATTTAGAAAAACAACAACAACAACAACAACAAAGACATTCACAGTCAATACATGAGGATAATTCTAAAGTTGAACGGCAGCTCATGCGCCAACCAGCCATATCCTCCCAGGCCCATGTAGCGCCCCAAGGCCCTGTGACCCCCCAGGCCCCAATAGGACCCATTTCCCAGGCATCTACACTCTCTAATACTCACCCACAATACAACAATGACAACAAAGCCAATGGTAACCATGACACCAAAGACACTCAGGAGCTTGTAAGTGGCAAGCCCCAGAGGTCTTGCAAGGGAAAAAGATACAAAGAGATAGTTGCTGAAAGTGGACTAAAATCATTGAAAAAGGAACGCAAGGTATTAGAAATCACCATCATTAATTTTATCATTAGTTGGATTAAAATAAATCTGTATACTTACACAGTATTATGCAGTGAAACCTGTATATCCGAACACCTCTCTAATCTGAACATCTCAATGTGAACACTTTTTCTTGGTCTAAAAATTGTTGACTCTTATTGGCTTACATGTTTATAAAACCTTGAGGCGTTGGATTAGCCTGTGTTTACTGCATTAATTTTTCTAACTTACCACTCCCAATGCTCCATTTATAATGGCTTTATGATTTGACATCACTAAACCTACTAACTATGAACCCTTGAAATGCTTCTGCCCATATCCCAGCTGATTAACGGGCATAGTATATTGGATTTCATCAATCAATAGATAATTTACCAACATTATGACTCGTGTATGTGTAACCTAAACCTCAAAAAGAACAAGTAAGGAATTATGACTCTAGAAATTCTTTTTCATTGAAACATTGATTTATAGATTTGAAGAATAATATTTTAGCTTTGCAAGGAGAGTAAGAGATGTTAAGCTGTTTTCATAAAATATTCTAATCAAGATAAAAAAAAGCTAAAAACTGCTTAATTAAAGATCTAATGATAGGCCATAGTTTCATTGCTTAGGACCAATCATTTTAAAGTTTACTACGTAACCAATCAGAGCATTTTAGCGTGCTCCCACTGATCATGATTTCCAAATATGGAGAACTATTTTTGAAAGATGACATATTCTGATTGGTTCAACAAATCCTGAAATTTTATCAGATATGTATCTTTTTTCATGCAATCAGTCATCCTTACGAATGTTATATTTTATTGCTTTATTACAGGTGTACAAAGGTGGCTCAAATACAGGTGATAGCCCAGATGAAAGGTCCCCAGCGAGTGCTGCCGTAGAGAATAACAAAAGAGCAGATAACTCACAACTTCAGATGGCAAAGGTACTTTTATTTTTGGATTTTATTTATTTGTTCTACAGTTTTTAAATCCATGTACTTTAAATAAAAAAGAGTTATTTGAACAGTCACACATGAGTTCAGTTGAATGAGTTTAGTTACATCTGACACAAGATGCTCTATAAAGCAAAAGAGAGGTCCTGCATTGTTTGAGATGAACTTTGCAGTTTTACAGTATGGAACCAGCTTTTCCATCATAGGTAGCAATTTCGATGATGTATCTGTTTTGTTTTAATGGCCTACAATGTTGAAAGGAGCCCATGCCCTACCACATCATTTGTATCATAGTTGAACAATAAACTAAGTCAACTATCTGATACAATATTATTGATTACAGGAGCGTAAAAGAAGTATTCCACCCCCTCTGAATGTACCTCCCCCTGGTAGCTCTGACATCCCACCTCCCTCCCCCAACACTGCCAGCCCACGAAGAGCCTTTCTTAAACGCAATGTTAATGATGGAATGGAAAAGTAAGTACATTACAGTGCATATCTTAACTTTGATTTCATAGCATAATTCTTCATAAAAGTTTACTACAATTAATACTAAATTGGTTATTTGAGGAAATATTTCTCATTCAACATGAAGGAGAAGAAATGTGCTTGATTTCTTGCTGTTAAAGTGAAATGTTCACGATTCAAGAGTAAATCGGAAAATATTAAGGTTTATACATTATGTTTGTGAATGATGTAATGATTTTGGTGATTCAATCAAAAAATATTTGTAATTTAATATCTAACAAATTCAATTTTTTGTGATTTAAGGGTACTTGAAGAAGTTGACTTTGAGCGAAGATTTGAAAGTTTGCCTCAGTTCAAGCCAGACAACTCTGAAACTGGCACACCTCTGCCTAAGAGTCCTAGAGGGATCGTCAACTCGTACCGGAGGAAAAAGAAAATGTCAATAGGTTTGTCCATTCATTTATAAATCTGTCAAAAATAGGAATAGATAGGATTCATCATAAAAATACATGAAAGGGTCATTAAACCATAAAACTGTTTGAGTAAGAAATGAATATGTTAAAATTGTGGTACCAAGATTATTAGTTCAGGCAAGTTCATGAAAAAAACAATAAACAATTTATCTTTATTTTTTATGTTTTACTCATCAAGATTACTAATGACCTTGTTCCCTGTTATAGATCTGAGTGGGACCCCAGGTGTTGACAGCATGGATGAATCTACCCCCAGTGCTACCCCAGGCATTACCCCTGTCATGGGAGCACCCATCTCAGCAGGATTCCGGGGACAACCAGCTGGCAACAATGAGTCCCCAACCCCTAAGAGCATGAAGCTTGAAGGGCAAAGATTCTTCGGGAGTAACTTCCACCTTGATGCTCTGAATGAAGCTGCAGCAATTGGTTTGTAAATCTAGCTATATTCCAGTCAATAATTCCAAGTTCTCATCAGATTTTAATCTTTCAAACTCTTAAGAATGCATGAATTTAAAGATTACTTAATTTGACTCCGGTGTAAAGAATGCATGAATTTAAAGATTACTTAATTTGACTCAGGTGATGGCTCAGAAGAAGACTTGGGCTCTCCCCGGACCCCAAAGACACCAGCCTCTCCTGGGGCTTTTTCCTCTCTTCGGAGAATTCTGGAACAGAGACGTACACTTGTCCTACAATTGTTCGAGACAGATGGATTTTTTCCTTCAGGTGAGTAGTCTTTACATGAACAAATAATCAATGGGTTATATCATTGTGTACCACAGCCCAAATCAGAGGCAACCAACATTTTCAGAACGACCTTGGTTAGGCTAAAACCTCCTGTTCAAGAATCTCTATTGCAACCAAACAAAATTTTAAATACATATTCCCACTACCCAGTAACATAATTTTGCTGGTTGAGAATCTGTCAAAGAATTTTGCTAGATAATTAGGATTTCACAATATCCCCATGCTAATAGCACCCTCTGACTCATCTCCAACATATTCATATTATATGAATCAACTCATAATTATATGGATTGCAGTCATTTGACATTATTTTTAGTCAACTATGAGGTATGTGCAATTTGCTTAAAGGAAACCATACAATCATTTTATGCATATATGGAATTGTTGTTTCCAGCCTAGGGAACCATACAATCATTTTATGCATATATGGAATTGTTGTTTCCAGCCTTGGGAACCATACAATCATTTTATGCATATATGGAATTGTTGTCTCCAGCCTAGGGAACCATACAATCATTTCATGCATATATGGAATTGTTGTTTCCAGCCTAGGGAACCATACAATCATTTTATGCATATATGGAATTGTTGTTTCCAGCCTAGGGAACCATACAATTATTTTATGCATATATGGAATTGTTGTTTCCAGCCTAGGGAACCATACAATCATTTTATGCATATATGGAATTGTTGTCTTCAGCCTAGGGAACCATACAATCATTTCATGCATATATGGAATTGTTGTTTCCAGCCTAGGGAACCATACAATCATTTCATGCGTATATGGAATTGTTGTTTCCAACCTAGGGAACCATATAATCATTTTATGCTTATATGCCATTGTTGTTTTTAGCCACCTCAACAGCAGCGTTCCAGGAGAAATACCACGAGATCTTTCCCACTAAGAACCTGCTACAGTTGAAAATTCGAGAGGTGAGAAAGTAAAAAGGTTAAATCTTTCAAAATAGTTGGGGTGGGTTCAATATTCATATATATTGTATTAGTTAATGTAACCTGAATATAAAAATGAGTAGAAATATTTGAAAATGTTTTTAATTGTATGTTTCATTGAATTTGATTAAAAAGATTGTTTTAAAAAACTGGAGATTCTTGGAATTTAGACCTACATGTTTAAATTACATTACAAATTGAATTACAATAGGTGTTAATTATTAGAGAATGAAGTTTTATTCTAAAACTTTCACAAATAATCCCTCTGGTGTATTTTATCAATGCAGGTACATTTTGTTGCATGATTTTACATTTATTTAACAGACTTGAAAAACTTTCATTACGTTTGTGGGAAATTGGGTCAAATTATTCCTTGGGTTCTTTAAAAGCCTTTCAGTCAGGTGGAGCTGAAGCCATTGCAAATGGGTATTCCGCAATTGCTCGACTGCTTCAGTCGAAATTCGAGTATACTTGTACTCATGAAGGATATTGTATCTAAAACGAAAATTGCGTATCGTCACTATCATGTAACTTCAATTTAATACAAATTCTTTGTAGTGAATTGATTCATTTTGCTTCAAATCTTTAAAGATTACTTTACCTTCAGGTGAGACAGAAAATGATGGCAGAGAGCTCCACCCCTGGGCCAGAAGAGGGGGAGGAAGACCAGGCATCTAGTCAACGTTCCCCTGCAGTCGTGGGGACTAGTAGTGCAGTTAATATGCCAAGTGGGAACAGTCATTCCTTGCTTGGCCCATCAAGTGGCAGTGGAGCCCTTAGGGGAACTGGCCACTTGGTGTCACCACTTGTCAGAGGCCAGGGTAACCAAGGTAACCCAACGTCCAGTGGCCGACAAACATTTACACCACGTGCCTCTTCGACATCTGAACTAGCAGCTGTTCACAGGAAATAACTGATATGGCAGCCCCGCACAGTCAACAATTCAACTGGCAGCAACGCACAGTGAACAGTTCAACTGGCAGCCACATATTTAAAATAATGAAATAATTATGAAAAAATAATGACGTGGCTGGCAAATATAGTAAATAAGTGAATTGGCAGCCATGTATAGGAAGTTACTGAATTGGCAGCCATAATGTATGGAATGACTGAATAATGGCAGCCATATGTATGAAATAACTGAATCTGTAAACTGTAAATAAGACATATCACAATTATGATTGTTGATCAATCGAGAAATTTTAGAAAGTTTCAGAGATGTAAGGAAGTCAAAGAAACTTTTTTGAAAGTTTCAGAAACGTAAGTGCGTCCAATTATGCCACACAATTTTGATACTTTATCGACTTTCCACTTGGAGCTATCATTGTGCATTTTAAGCATATTGTTATGCTATATATGGTCACATTTTCATGAACGCACAAGGAATCTCAACTCCTAAGCCAGTGGCAGTGTCCAACATGTCCAACATGCTGTGTGCAAATTAGATTTGAACAACATCATTGGAGAACCTCTCTAAACAAATTTTGTTCAAAATGAATTCATTATTCATGATAGATTTGACTAAGTTGAAACATTAGATGATGACAAATTATCATAGTATAATACAAATTTGTTCATCCTAGATTTAAATGATCACTTTTAAAGATAGAGAGTAGTAGTAGTAGTAATAGAACTATTTGACGAGACTAATAGTCAAATTTGACATTTTTGATTTGCTGACTGCAGTTGTATGTTGAAGACTACCTCTGATATGTTGAAGACTACCACTGGTATGTTAAATAAAAGACTACCTCTGTGACAAATGAGTTGAGAATGAATATGAAGTGTTTAGTGTTGCTCATGGGTTTGAAAAGTAATGAATATATATAATATGTTGTATCAACAATTTGCAAGGGATGTAGTGCATTAAATGTGCTCACAGATGTGAAAGACAATATATGAATTTATTGTGCATATTAATTGGAAGTGCTTATTATGCACATTGATTGAAATGCTGTTTGGTCTTTGGCAATGGATGTGTGTCCTTATGTCCCCGATATTTTGTATATTGAATTGTAAAGCAATGAGCAATGGAGTCGTTCCAGTAATTTGCAGCTTTGCTAATTTGGCTTGTTTCTAGTTAACTGTATAGCCATGTTATGCATATGTGCAGTACATCCACGAGACCAAAAGACCAAACATAACTCAGTAGAATTGCAGTGTTGACTGGTGACCTAATCCAAAAGTAAAGTCTTGGGTGGTGGGTTTAGAATCAATACTCCTTTACCAATGAATTTATCTACGTAACTCGGCATGAAATGAAGGTGAAATGAGCAAATAAAAGTAGTTTTTGGCCTGACACTGGTCCCTTGTTTCATGCAGTCGTCGCTTGATATTTAAAAGTCACCAGCTTTGTCCTGGTATCGGTGAATATTGTGGATTATGATGTTAGTTATTTGATTATGTGCAGCAATGCACAGATGTTTTAATATAACACCTTCCAAGAGACCTATATCTGGTTATGCAATTCTTCAGGTATTCCACCTTTGATTGAACTTTGATATAGGTTTGTGCCAATGTTATTATTGATTGATGCACGGCGACAAAAGTTATTCTTACATTTTGGGTTTGGTAATTTTTGGAATGGATCACTTTTAAAGATTCAATATCGTTTTTCTAGGATTGGGGCTTAAAAGGAAGATGTATCTGAAATGTAATGAATTACAAAAAGTTATCTTACCCTTGATAATTTTATTTAAAAAAAACAGGGAAAAGCATGACTTCATATGGTTCTCTTGGAAGGAAACGTTTTTACAGTGAGGCCCGTGGTCTTCTGTATGAATGATAATATTGCAGTATGGTGTGTGTACATAGGAAGAAGATGTATTTATGTACTGGAGAAGAGAAAAATATGATAAGTACTTTATTTTGATAATGTGATTAATATCTTAGAGAAAATAATCAGAATTTGGTATATCATGGACCCGAGTCCATTGGTATATCGATAATTGTATTGTGTATTAATATGCATCTGTTTTTCATGTGAAAGCCCAAGATTGATATTTATCTATAATAATAGATGGCAGGATTGCAATGTATTCAATATTTGTATGTTACCCGATTTCTCGTTCATAGTGTATGACAAGTTGTTTTGATGGTTAGAGGGATATGGTTTGAATTTATGGTTTGGTAGGCTCAGTCAAAAGTTAACAGAACCTTGTATTCTGGGCTTATCAGTTATTGCAGTTTGTAAAAACATTGTAATTATAAATTTTATTGTCTCAAGACCTTTTATTGTCCAATATTAATAGATGGTGTTTTAAATGCAAAATATTCTTCTCATATATAATTAGACTAAATTATGACTTGCAAATTGAAATACCTCAAAAACACTTCCATGGAACCATTAAAGATTTGATTTTTAAGACCTTATACTTACATTTACTATAAGCTAATTGAACAGCAGAACCAATCAATATTATGGTCTACTATTGTAAATTATTACATGGTATTACCACCTTTGTAATATTTTACAGAGGCTTCATGATGGTGTAAAGATAGAAACTGATGTTAACATATACTGAATAATAGTTAATGGGTTCCAGGTGATTAAAATGAAATGTAGTTCTATTTTTACTATTCTAAACTACAGATTTTGAAAGGTAAAGAATGTTGTATGTTTTTTTATGTATTCATCAATTAATATTTACCTCATCATTAAACTGTACAGTAAATGTCATTTTAAGTTTTTCATGTCATAAGATCAGCATATTTTTAGTCAGTCTTCTTGGTACTCGGCCTATTATTCTGTAATTTTTGAATTTAGTTTCAATTGGTGCATTTTACTGGAAAAGTCTCTCAGTTGAGATGATACCTGGTTCATTTTACTTTGTTTGAATACGAATTGTTTTGTCATTGCTGTTCATGAGACTCTATGTATTATCATTGGTTATCAGTTAACTTGTATTGCATTAGTTTGTGGATATTTCCTAATTACACCCTATATGAAGTGAGTGGAGGTCAACCATATGGATATGGTTAAGGACAAGAAAAGGTGACAAAAATCCAATAATAATAGCATCTCTGAACTGAGCGGATCTCATACACATAGTCATTTCTCATCACATCATGATTGATTGCAGGATATTTTTACTGTACTAGTATCTTTAAATGACTGTTCATGGAATCAGCATGGGATCTTGTGATTATTATCTAGTACTGTACTGTACAATACAAATACGACTTACAATAGTTATTTTTACTGGATTTTTGTCACCTTTTTGCATATCGCCTCACTTCATCTAGGGTGAATTCTATCATTAAAAATGCACATGGTGATGAAAAAGTATCCCCCCTCCCACTCGGGTGTCCTCTCTATTGAAGGGAATATGTGGGTAGGAAAAGGGCACATGGTCTTGATGTTAGACTAAGAAAAGTTTTTTTCATTATTTCATTAAATTTTGAATAACGGGCACCAGACCAGGCATTTCTATACAATTCAGAATATTGCCTACTACTTAGTCTTGCATCAAGCCCCTCTGATACTTCCTGAGGCTTTGTGCAAGACTTGTTAATTCCTCTCATTTTCACTGTATTTTACATTGTAACATCACCATGTCATTTTCTTGTGGTCACTATGGATTGCCATGACAACCTTGTAATAATAATTATACTAATTGGCTCGATGTAATTATGGCACTACATAGTGATTACATATACGTTATCCTGTACTTGATGTAAACTCATTAGATCATCGTGTTAAACATTCATCTTGAGATTTTCGCAGGATTCCGTGCTACCATATTTATCCTTGAAAACTTGCCAATTCTGTAGTTTGGTATTCTGGATGGTTTATCATTCATGTGTTAGTGAATATTAATTTGTACATGTAAATGCTGTTAATGTCTATTTGAATATAAAGTCTTTATCATTTACAATCATGTTAATGTTTTGTCTCGTATATTTTACTTGACCTTTTGATTTTATGTCACCTCCAGAAGTGACGACATATTGTTAAATTCTCCAACTTTTTTATGGACGGAAGTTGGCGTCTGTCACACGTGGTGACATTTCCTTGTTCTAGTTATTGCCCTGTAGTCTTCCCTGTGTATTGATAATGATTGTCTCCCAGGGACTAGACATCCTTGTACGTTTTGACGTCTACACGATTTGATTTGTGACAGAAACATCTGTCATTCTGTTTTCAAGAGCTCAGTTTAGACATGCAACACATGACAGAATGTGGCAGCAAATGGACAAATTGCGGAAATTATGTCATACAATATATTTTACCACCTGATACTTAGTGAAGTTAGTGTTACCCTCCTGTTGATTGGCAAAAGGATGGGAGATGAAAAGGCCAACAAATTAAAAAATCTGCTATAAATGACTGCTGAAAGACCCAATTAGTACCAATAGATGCACCATCTTATACTTCCAATTGGTTATCCTAACACTATTGGAATTGGAGCAACTGGAACCTTGTGAATCAAGATGTAGATGTGCTAAGTTGGAGACCTATAATCCCAAGCGGTCCTTATTTCTGCTACATGGGTTCATAATTGATGAGTCTATTAAGTCTGGTGGTTAATTGGTGATTTACAGTACAAGGCCAGATTTTCATAAGTGAATTCAGACAAAACCTTATCCTCAGCAGGGACTATATGACGACATTTAAGCTATAGATTTAGAATATGACATCTGTTTTGTCGAAAGTAACATAAGAAAAGCATTAAACTGACACAAATCTCATACATCTACAAGTTTAACCTTATTAACATCGACAGGGTTTGCCGCCTAGTAAATGGTCCAAAAGTGAATTTTGCGAGACAAAATTGGCGGCCATTTTGAAAATAGCCGAGTTTTTGAACCAGGAGTCCTAGGAGTGTTTTAAAATGGGAATCCTATCGACAGAGGTTTTTAAATGTGACACTATCTGACTATTGTTGAGCTATGATTATTTGTCAATACAAAAATGATGTACCTTTTAATGGCTGAGGACAAGGAAAGCTTCAAAGTTCGTGCCTGAATGAAAAATAAGTATCGCAATTTGTCCTAAGGTTCTAACACGTACCATTTGAAAGGTATACGTATTCTCATAGTGACAAGTTTGTCACGAACACGTCGTCTGCTTCCACAGTAGAGTTCCACCTGCGTCTATGGTACTAAACTAATATTGTCTCCAGTTCAGATTGTTATATTTTGTAATGATTCCTACTTTATATATTCACACGTTGCGTGACTGATAAGCTCGGGTAAGGTCACCATGCCAAATGTATGAAAATACCGACAGTTATACAAATGCAATAATAACTGCCGCTATTATTAAAAAATGAAGGAACAGAGCTTGTAGAGGATGTCTGGATCTTTGGGTCTGGGGGATGGTAAATACCTCTACTTGCATGTATCTTCTTTATTCAAACTGTCTTCTAACTTACTTGACAATATGCGAATGTTGACATTTTCAGTTTAGTTTTTACTTAATGATGATTTCCGGCACACCAGTGATTATGATTCTCCATATCATAACTGAGTTCTTCAATGAAAATGGGCATCAATTATACGTTTAGGGTTTTAGATACAATTGGATATAAATTGTAAAACACACGATGAATGTGTAAGTCGAAAAATCAAGCAAGGGTTAGTGTTGATAACGCGTATCAGCGCACAGATTATGGCGACTTTCACCACTCACACGTGGTTAGAAAGAAGCAACGTTTTTAAAGCTAGTACAGAATTAGATTATCTGAATAAAATGCGCTCGTTGGATGAATTTGAAGTAAAAGATATGAACCACATTAATTATCACATAAGAAAATGCACTCTAGAAAAGGACAGCCTCTCTCCTAACACATTTTTACTCTTAAACGATTCCAAAATTGCCTTCACATGAAAAAATTTAGAACAATTATAGGTCAAAACTCAATAAAATATTCAGGTGCTCAGCTTTGGAATAATCTGCCAACTTCTTTGAAAACATTACCTTCCATTAACTGTTTTAAAAAGAATTTTAAAATTCATATGACATCAACCTATTCTGAACTGAATTACTGACAAACATATATGTAGATTTTATATATTGTTATCAATTTTATTCTCATTTAACTGAGTAAATATTTTTAAATTGTTCTTTTTTCTCATTTCCATTTGACTCAGGTTAATATTTAAATGTTTTCACGCTGATACACTTATTAAAAGTGTCTAGTGTTATTATGTATTTGATTTTAATTTTAGAGAATAAATATTTTTAATAAAAAAAAAAAAAAAAAAAAAAAAAAAAAACACCGTGGAGGGAGTTCAACTTGGAATTTTGACAATGAATTGTTTTGGTAATCAAAGAGAACTGGCTCCCAGGATCGAAACTCGATATTTTCCAATATGAAAATGTCGTTAATTTCTGAAATTATAACCGACTATGAATTCAAAATAAACGGTTCAAAATATTCGAACCAACATATCTCTCATTTCTTGTGAGCTTTGAAATTTGTCGCAATGAATTAAGACCACAATTCTCAATTCAAGTGTTGAAGTGGACATAATGGCGGCTGTTTGAATTAGAATTTTCTATCACGTCATTCCCATATATGGGACAGAATATCAATGTTGCACTCTGGGAGCCAATCCTCCTTGTATATAACAACATAGACGCATGCCCAGATATGACGTTTTGAAAGACATACCGAACATACCGAATTTTTATGTTCAGGTTTATGCATACATACAGGAAAATGCCTTACCCCAGAGAATCTGCGCTTTCACCAACGTGGTAGTACGTCAATAACATTCGAATTCATCGCTTCAACAAATAAAACTATTTGTTTTTATATGTCAATGTAATGAATCATACCATGTATCTATGAATTACATATTCTGAGACCACGATGATTTTATGTTAGTCCCAGATAAAATGAATTACGCCATTTACTCCGATTGCCAAGGTGCAAGGTCAGACCAATTACACAAGCTGCTGGAGATGTTTTTAACATCATTCCGCTGGGGACTAATTTGTTTCAACATGAATTAACACCTCTGTTAGAATTTTGTTCTTTATCGTTTTCACCTTGAATTTTTATTGAATATTCCTCTCAATAAAGGATTTGGCGAACTGAATTGAACACATGTTTCGCTTAAACCAGTTTTTAAAAAATTCCGAGTGAGAATTTTACACATCGTCATGATCTAACGATCATCTTTTGAACAGTTGTTAATTTGAAAATATATATGTACTTTTCTCTATATGTTTTAGAAAACACATCAGACACTTCTTTTGTTCTTGGTATCATATGAAATGAAACATCTATCCGAACCTCATTGGAACAAAACGACATAAACACAACGTGTTTAGGTCTCTCAATATTGTAATTGTACAAAGGAAAGTTTGGTTGATATCAAAAGGTACAGTATCTTGTTAATGAAATAAAAGGTTTATTTATTTATCTTTTATCTATTTTGGTTTTTTTATTTTAATTTTTTAAAAACACTTTTTGTGAAATCAACCACATTTCCTTTGAATAACTATAATATTGAGAGATCTAAGAACATGTTGTATATGCTATTTTGTTCCAACAAGGTTCGGAAAGATATTGTATTTCATTCTCAAGAATTGGTAAAAAGGAACAAAAAATAATTGCACTAAAAATCAAAAACAAAAATAGTTATGAAAAATTTATTCAAATAATTTTCGCATCAAATTGTTGTCAAATAGTGACCATTTCATTAATGATCATGTTGTTTACGGAATGTTTTCAATAATTGGTTTAAATGAAAAACAATGTTGAATTCAGTTCACCATATCGATACCAATCCTTTGTCAATTCTAGCTCACTAGTGTTAAAGCATGGATTGGACTCCACATTTTCCTTGTTGATCTATTGTGGTCTCCATTAACAGAAATAAGTCAAGTAATGCACACTACACTACAACATGGTTTTGAGCTCAACTGAACAAAAGGCAACATATAGTCTGTTCATCATTTATTGTAAAAGTACCAGAAAGTTCAAGTACCAGAAAGACATATAATATGTATAATAACATAAAACTATTGTACAGCACATTTATACAAGATCTTATGGAAACTTACATTTATAATCAGAAGAAAGACATAATGTACCAAATTATAGATAGTTCATGTATACCATCTTGCATTTCCAAGGTATGATGTTTTCATATTGAAAGATTGAGAATCAAACTGGGAAACGAGTATGCATATATACAGGGTGTCTCAAAAAAGGAAACCGAGATTTAAATAGAAAGGTTTCACAGCTACCATCTAATAGGTTATGATGTCTTCTTTCTTATGATACCAAAGTTGTTCTAGGAGATTTAAGTGACCACGTCAGAAATGGATTTGTGCCATGGGATCTAGGGCAATGAGAGGATTGAAAGGAATGGGATCATGTTGAGGGACACTGGTGTTAAAGAATTTTGAATGGACATTGGGATTCAAAAGGGGTGCTAAACATGATATGTGTAACTTTAATGAGTAAAATTAAATGAGTAAAAGAGTAATATCCTGATAATGTTGTTACTTATCACTATGTAATGATGGTGAAATTGACTTGGCTGAAAGTGGCACAAACCCATTTCTGACATGGTCACGTTAAATCCCCGATTGCTCAATCATCTGTGGAGGAAAATAATCAGGACATAATGACGCAAATGATGGTATCTGCGAATTTTCCCTAACCTTATTTATGTTTGAAAAATTAGCAATTTAATTTCGGTTTCCTTTTTGAGACACTCTGGTTAGGGCTAAAAAGAACCTTTTTAATGTTTCATTAAATAATTTTTGTATTAAAAAGTTTCAAATGTATCATGACATTTGTTCTTTGTTGATTTCAACATATTTAGAATAAAATGAAAAAAAAGAAATCCAATACAAAAGCTACATAAAATGAACATAAATACACAATGCAGAGTAGTACAGGGTTAGTAACAAAGCCAATATCATATTCAAGGTATAATTTAAACCGACATCACTTCATCCCTAAATAAGCGTCAGTAAGGGGTTTGTCATATTGTATAACGCAACAGATGACCGATCTTCGATTTTCAGTTACTTCAAAACAATCACTGCAGAAATAAATGTATTATAAATTAGTTAGTTATAATAACGTTATAATGGGTGACAAAATATGCAATCCATGAACGAAAATGAATTTGTTTACACATGTAAAATCAAGAAAATATTCACAAAGTTTTTCAAAAAGAGAATTGCATTATATGTGTCACCCTGTATTAAGGTGTTATTTACATACGTGTGTATTTATTAGTAGGTATTTCAGATACACTGCTTTACTTTGAATAACGCCACAAAAATTAATATTATAGCAACTGTAACTTAAAACTTGAAAGTTGAAAAATTGCTCCATCAATGATTATTATGTATTGGGGCTATTACAGGATTATAGTTAAATGCGATACTTTTAGTTCAAATAATTCTAATATACAAACATTGCCAATAAATAAGTTCACTCTAAAATAGATCATGAAATCCGACGTAACTTAATTGATGATAAACCAGTCAATGATTTTATAGTCTGGGATACATTTACATGTGGCACTTTAAACGCCATCTTAGTATTACAATGCTCTAATGGACACTTCAAAAACAAAAAGAAAACTGCAGAGCTAATCTGTTTTATATTCTTTTTCCAAATATAAAGTGGTTTTTAGACTATCTAAACATGGTTATCCAATCAACCTCCTTGTTTATGTCATGCGTTTATGATGTGATCAGAAAGAGATGTGAAAACGTGTTAAGAATAGCAAAAGCATAATTTCAAGTATATTCTCCAGTATTTTCTCTTCCCTCAATAATTTCACAATAAGGTATTTCATTAATTTTTGTTAGCGAGGGCGAGGAGTTTATGCTGCATGACTTGTATTAGATATGAAGTTTCACAATGTTCTTGGTATTTTCTCAATACTTGATGTAGCGTGTACATTAAAATACTAAGATGACGAAGTGTTCATTGTTTACGGGTCTCATCACTTTCTTTTGACTCATAACAGGTGTATTCAATCAACATGCATGTTGTATGATGTAAGGCACCAGTTTGTGACCCCTCTCTCTCTGCTGATGACGCATTGTCCTAAATGATGCGCCATTTGCATTTTCATATCGCTGCCCCCATTGCTAAGTAGGCTAGAAGGATGTCAGGTGTGCAACTACATGTAGCAGGATGGGTGTTGGGCAGGCGGGCTGCAATCTATGATGATACTACTGTATTATAGAATATCCTCGAACCTGAAGACCTTGTTCTTGGGCGTGGCTTAAGTGCCGCCTCAAGGCTTACAAAACTTCAGTTACAGTAGTAAGGTTTGGTACAGGTACATAACACGCCTATTTATGGGTGTCACTTCACACTGGTCCTGATTCACGTGATAGTTCCTTATGTTGTGAAATTGTGGACTTTCTAGGAGGGGAATTCGAATGACGAACTCCCCGTTGACCCGGGGACTGGTCAACGTGCATTAGCTGAGTTTGAAGGGCCACTCTTCGGGCTATAATGTTGGGCAACGAATCCAACTGAGTCTGGAAGTATAATGCATATAATGCATACAAAATTAGCGTTAAGTAACCCGCACTGACATTTTATATTCTAGAAATTTCAGAATTGCACAATTACCACAACACTTTTTAACCCTATATAGGAGATTTGGATACTGTTTAATTGTTTCCTCAATTCACCCACTTAGACCTGTTTTTGTCCAAAAATTACCTGCATTTGTCTCAGCTTCATCTCTATTTCATTAATCCTTAAATCACCTTCTGTCTGTTTGGCGTACATATCCGTAACCAGATCATACATGTTGGTCTGGGTCTGAAACATAATAGAATTTATTCGATGGGTGTGTCTAATTTTCCCAGTCCCAATTAGGTTAAGAATTTATCTTTCATCAAGTACACGCTCGCGTCTCATCATTTTTATTCCAAACACAGAATGAATGTTATATTATTATACAGAGGGAGGAATCGGGGGATCACATATCCGACTTACATCTGATTGAAGAGACTAGGCAAACGGACATTTGAATCCGCCAAATGCAAACACTATTCCCGAGGTACAAAAGAAAAACTTGTTGGTATTCTGTGTTTGGAAGATGTTTCGTTCACTCGACTCCCGTTGGTCGAACGAATGCAGTGGAGACCGAGCGTGCGAAGATGAGACGAGGCACATACAAATGGTGTTAGGTAGTCAGGTAATTAGAGAGCTTATTACTTAAATATAATGGTGGCAAACATAGCAACATTTGAAAATGTTTTAACTACATGTACGAGTATGTAAGCAAGGAAAACTGTCCACACGTTATACATTTGGAGTGTATGCATGCACTAAGAAAACAAACAATTAGATAGAAAAGATGTTGAAGCCCACACACAGAGAAGAAACTCTGAAAAAAACACAAAGAGAAAATTATATTAGATAGATCTAGAAGGTTATAATCAAGGTATAAGCATATATAGTAATTATTGGGAGAAGGATGATTGTGTTGAGAAAACCAAAACGTCTACACAAGAGCAGCCAAAAACACTAGTTATATTCGTCTACACAAATACATACTTCTTATAGCATTCATGCATATATACATATATGTACTAAACTACCAAGGCACCATCATGCACCTGCCACTAAGCATGCATGGATTGCCATAGATATATTGTAAACAAGGAACAAAAATAGTGATACTCTAACTAGCAGGGTTTCATCTCAAAAAAGTTACATCTGGATAATGAATTTTACAACTATCATTGACAAAAGAGCATTGCATACAGAATCAGAATAACATCGGGAATATGGCTGGTCTCTTCTTTTATGGTCTTGAGGTTGAATGATTAAACCTTGTACATCAAGATACATGGTGAAAATTGATGATGTTATGACCGATTTTGGAATGGTATTTCAACTGATTGGCGATATTACACATTATTATATCACTATCTAGCTAGCGACAGTATGATTGGTCAAAACCGGGTCACATGTCGTGGGATATCTGGCGATATTCAATGGCAATGCTAATCAGATAAGACAACCGTGAGATATCTAGCGATATCCCACGTTCCCCGGAATTTTCAAAGAATTTGTTTTCGTTCAGTGTACATAATTTAGTTCAGTGTAAGTCAAAATGGCAGACGAACCGAGTAGATTCGTAAAAATATCTGAAGACTTAATGACTTAATAATATTAGGGATGTTTAGCTAGACAGTGATATAATAAAACAAATATTTCACTCTATTTTCGGTAAATACCTGTAGCACTTTCACAAGGTGATATTCCACTTGCCCTTCGGGCTTCGTGGAATATCACTTAGTGAAAGATGTACAGGTATTCACCTCAATAGAGTGAAATATTTGTTCAACATCAGGAGTATAACATTATATCAATGCATTCTCTAGCAATTGCACAAGGGAAATCAGCGGTCAGATATCAACAGAGAAGGTATTGTTAATATGCTTTCTAAATTGATTGACTTCATTTCTTTTGGATTATATTTGCATATTCCACTAAATGTTACTAATGTTGCCAATATATAAACAAAACAATGACAACGCCAAAAACACTAACTATGAGATATAATTTCCTAAATATATTCAGAGAGAAAATATTTACATTGATCACTGGGATTGCTTTGTTTTTCTATACATGTGGATATTGGCATAATGTGTTGTTATTTAAAATTTGACATCATTAATATTAGAATTGATAAAAAGGATGACATTTCAGATCACAAATTTTGTTGTTTTAGTATAACTTCATTGTTCGTGAAAGCTCATATGCGATGGTTCATGCCTCATACCAACACATAATACTTTGGATATACAAACCACTACAGTTTCTCCCACGACCACTTTTACATAACTGAGCCCCTCATCTATGTTCCCGGTTCCCAAGTTATGTTAAGTGTTATAACAAATATTAGGTTTTTGTTAGTTAGCTAGCTGAATTGAAAGTCAAACCTGTCTGTAGATCACGTGAGGTTTGGTACAATATAAACTTGGAGCGGGACCCAGGCCATTGTGTAAAAACCGCTAGAAAATGTAAAGTAAGATAGGCACACGTTAGTTTCTGTTCTGGAATAAATCTAGGGGCGTAGCGAGTATCTAAAATAGGCGAGGCAAATGTAAATGGGCGAGGCAAAATTTGAATCAAAGATTTTTATACTTCTATGGAACAAAAATGTTCACAGTTTCAATGGAGAAAACGTGTAAAAATGTTGAGGCATTTGCCTCGCCTGGTTCATAGCTAGCTACGTCCATGATATCGATGAAACCTAAGTCCACCTGAAGTGAATGTGAGATGACTTGACTGTCCCATTGAATTATTGAAAGAAAAGAAAGTGATAAAACATGACTAAGCATTGACATTCTTTCAATCGCCCCTTCGAATCTATAACGTTAGAGTCTAATTTTACAGTGGTAGATGATGGCACAAACAAATAAACCCAGAGATGATTCTAAACCATACCATAAGATGACAAAAGCATGCTCTAGCTGCTAATATAGTGTCTTCAACAGTGCAAAAATACTATAGTACAATGAATATCAGAGAACTACACTACCAGGCCCTAGTTCAAAAGCAGCAAAATGGACATTCACTATGGGTAAGTAAACTTACATATGTAAGTCAAATGCAACTAGCCAGCTTTAAAATATGAAAGGGATTTCCGAACGTCCTCATTTTGAACGATGCACAAAATGCAAATTTCACTGCAACATTTCACCAATGGGATTTTGAGGACATTAGATTTCTACTAAGTGTATACTAAGCTATCTGAATAGGCTGATGTTTATATTTAAATACGCTAAATGATTATTTTCAAATTGTTATTTTATTTAACACCAGACACTAAATTATGAGGCCAATGGAGCACATAATAAAAAGTATAGAGAGGAATCACTAATAGGTGAACTCTTGCAATTTGCATATACTTTTAATGCAGTTAATATGTAATTATTTCTATGAATGATCCCAAACATCAGACGCAGTGTTAATTAAAGGGCATTTTATAAAAAAAAATTTCACAAATGAAATATATATCATGTTAAGGTATCAGGATTCTATCTAGACATAGCGATGGCCCGCTCCATTATACATTTGCACCAAACCCTAAATATGTAATGCGTTCAAAATTTGTATTTATACCACATACTACAACTATATTTTGTCAGATTTTCTAGTATAAATAGCTGTCGACCTAAAATTCAAAAGTATTACTATGTGAGTGTATCAAGATTGAACCATGCAGATCCATGCAGAAATGGGCAATTATAAATGAGCCATATCTCCATCATGTTTTCGGATATATATGATAGTCAATGAAATACTTTAAAATGGCTCTTTGATTGTATTATTTGTCTATTTTGTGTCAATAACAATTGTTTTACTGGTACGTATTCGTCTGTGAGTAAAACGAATGTTAATACATTATGCAGTCGTAATGTTATTTAAAACATGTTAGAAAATGTTTAGAAAATCGTTATTCATTAAATAGAAAAAGTTGACCACTTCTCTGAATAATCTATAACATCTTACACATTGGGACTTTGTGGATCGTAATGAACAATTATTAAAATGCACCTTAAGAGAAATCCAAAGAATGACAAAAACATCTACACACTTAATTGCGAGGATGCAAATATATAACTAAAGTAAGAGTCAAGAGCAGCAAGAAATTTGGGGGTGAGAGATCTGAGACAGTCAAAGCCATTTGTGTTGTGCGTATTCACGTCTATAAATGGGTTCACGTCTACATTTGGGAAATTATAGGAAATATAATCTTCTGTGATTAATTGAATATTAACCACATAGGACGCACGATCACAGTCTTCACATACACTTCAGTAAAATTGAGCAATCTTTCTTAAAAATAGTTTCACTGGAAATGCACTCAAGGTTGCTCAATTTTATATGAACACAATTCTATCTAAATATATGCAAACTTCTAATAATTATGGTATATTCATGTATTATAGAAACATCATATTAATGTTTTTGTATCGTGTGCTGAAAGTTGCATGGAGCTTATTTTGAAGGAGTCACTGTACAAATAATTTTCCTATACGGATATTATTTCACAATAAACGACACTTCATTTTGCTCATAATATATACACAATAGCGTCTTCTCGATTTATATACCATGAAATTGTACACATGTGCTCTTGTATATGCTATATGTGCATAAATAAATGTATACTATTTCTAATATGAATGTGACATGACAGAGACGTGGGTAATTAATATACACCGATAACTCCTTTGACTATTACATCAAAGCAAGACATGTCAGTACTAGGAAGTGCTTTGGGCCAACATACGTCGTTATGCAGTCTAATTAACATGTTAATAACATAACTTCGTCATCATCATTCCTTTCAATATACGGAAAAGGTTAATATAAAGGTCAGAATACCAATTATTGTTAATCCAAAATAAAACAATACAATAAGTTTGTTGATCTTGTAAATCATACTTTTTTCATGATAGTGTTACATTTTTTGTTTGATGATACCATTTTAATCATCTCCGCCTAAAGATATTTCAGGAATGGTATAAGAGAGTATGCATTACCTTTGCCATATCGACCAATGTGTTGGCATTGTCATTCAGCTTTCTCTGGTCCATTTTTACTTTCCGCAGACTACAAAACAAATAGAAAAATAAAAATATTTCCAAAGAAAATATAGAGAATTTAAAACATTGCATGTAAGTAAAATGGCCAAAGATAAATACGTTATTAACTTCAACCAGTCATAAAAAGAAACGGCCTATTTATGACCAAAACTCATTTTAGTTTAAGAAAACATTACTTATTCAGAATTCACCTCCTTCTTGGAAGAAGTGAGGATATCTCTTGATAACAGTTCAACTTATGCAGTTGGAAAATTTATAGATTCACCCAAAGCCTTTGATAAGTTAATCATAAAATTATTCTAAAACTATTTTTCGGATATTAATATTGCAGAAATTGGTTTGAAAGTTATTTCTCTGATACACGCGTGTGATAAGAAAATCATCGGTTCTTTTAATAATACTATATCTGAAGAAAATACTTGTGTGTGAAAAACAAACTTGTTAAGCACCTCAAGGATCTATTTTAGGTATTCTCTACATTAATGATGTGCGCAATGTCTCAAATATTCTTAGATTTACGTTTCTGAGGATGATACTGATACAAATATATTTTGTTCAAACAGAAATCTCTCTGATCTATTTAGAAATGTAAACTTGGAAATGGAAAAGACATTAGAATGGTTCAAATTAAATTAAAATTAAGATTTTAAATTTAGAGAATAAATTTTGTAAAAAATGAAAGCAACTTGTCAGATAACTACACTCTCCAAACGTTTGGTTGACATCCACAGCCATCATGTTTTCATGTTTCACAGGTTTTCATGTTGATATACTAAACTAAATGAAATTGTGTTTCTCTTCAAGATTCGTGTCTTCTCCCGTTCCGGGCATTTTCTGCACTGTGAAAACATGATGCACTGCACCATCGATTATTTCAATGTTGCCTTAAGTTCAGTTGGATTTCAACCTTCAGCAGGCAAATATACTGTTACCAAACTGGCAAATAGTTATTAAAGTAATTGTAAATATGTAATCTTGATGATATCCCCTATATCCAGGGGTTTATTTGCAACTGGATAACGTTTAATGTACAGTTATTAACTTTTAAACATTGTGCTTATATATGTCATGGTCATCTGTTCTTAGTTTATTTATTGTTTATCAAATTATGTAAAAGGTTAGAAATTATAATCAATAATCAATATGCAATAATGAGAAGAGTAAACTAGAAACTGCATTAATGAATTCATTCTATCTGAAATCTATTTGACTCAAGTTGTCTCAAGAAACACATAATTCCATTAATTCAGAGACTCTTTATATTTAGGTGACGAATTATAAACCAAGCCAGTCGAGGTAAGTCTGTAACTGGTAAGTCTCTAAATAACAAGCATTGTTATGTTGCATACCTATGAATCGCACTGAGGAACTTTCTTTGATGAGTCCTAACTTTGCTGGAGTTGACCCGTTTCACCAGTTTGGTGTATTTGTAAATAAGCCAGGTCTCCCTTAAAACATTGGCAGCAGCATTCTTTAACTGAAATAGACAGATAAAGAATTCACCCCGTTTCCCAAGAAAGTGATAGAAACATCCAAAGTTCCGAGCTATTTTTAGAATAATGTGAGGATGACTCTAACACTTCAAATTACTTTTACATTTTGTTTCCCCTCTTTAAGATATTCTAATTTGATAAAAAATGATCGTAATTAATACTGTAAACAAAAAAGATCCGTTATATTTAACAAATAATTTTCATTATGTTACGATATATTTTAGATACCAATGCATCAGCGTTTGGCGTTTGATATCTGAAATACAAGTATCATTATTAAAAGTAAGGCCCAAAATAAATTGTCTGTTTCAGCACTACCTGAAGGGATATTCAGAACTTAATGATTTCCCTGATCAATAAAATTCTCAGCAGACAATTTAGATGCGTGGCCCTTCATGAAATGTTTGTCATAATTACTACCTAAAGAGTCAAATTGAATATTGTTCAAGACGTTATGACATCAGTTAATCTATTTACAAGTAAATGGAGATACATTTTGCCATAACTGTTTTAAAACAATAGAATGACAATATTATGTTGGTCCTCATAGTAGCACTTTAATGAAGAATGCTTTTAATCTAGAAATTTTGGAAACAACTACTACACTACATTATGTGTATAAGACGGTTAATATTGCAAAGCATGCAGGGAACAAGGTTTGTTTGGGATACCAGCGAAGTTGCCATCGGGGGGAATAAACATATAGCACCGATAATACTGGCATATATGTTGAAATAAATCGTAATTGGAATAGGCACTGTTCATTAACCATATTCATTTCTATAAAAAGCCTAGAATATTCCTCATTTAACCAGGTACAACCTTAAAACTATCTAAAACTTTACTTCAATTGATAATCAATAACAGATATGGTTCACATTTTTATTAAGGCCATCAATCTAGCTATAATCGCATCTTAATTTGCGAAGTCATATGAGAAAAATGGTGAGAAAAAGGATGTCCAACGCAAATCTGTATCTGAAGTGGCAATGGACAGTACCAATCATTCCATATTTAACAACAATTAAACACTATATGATTATCAAATCTACACTGAACACAATGTTAAAAGTGCTTTTTTTAAATAGACTGTTAATGTCACGGAATGCAAATATTGAGGTATAAAAGTGTTCAGAGCAAATAGTATTAGCTATTCCTAATGGGGAGGAACAAAATCCATTATATCGACCGTTTGTCTAACTAGGAGTGCCTTGTTAAAGTGTGTTAAAGGACATTGCATTCAGCGGACAAAAGCTTGGAAAACATTTCAACAATATATTCTAAGAGTATTTGATGCCAAGAAATCTTATTTGTGATAGACGCATCTAGATACACATCCCGTGGCATATTATATTTCATTTTGCTCCTTGAAATAGGGGACATATCAAAGTTCATTATCAAGTATCAAACCTTCACTGTAATCCTATTTTGATACTATGATATATTGTTGTTTTCCAAACGCAATCCGTGAAGGGGCTTGATATACACAAATGGCATTCCACTGCGCTACACTAGGTGTTGACATCAGTATATTATAGCCTTCTGTGAAACCAATCATAGAACTAATATCATGGTAGTAAACGGATAAATTCATTACTATAATTTATACATTTTTCTAACCCTGAAGGTGGGGTGACACACTATTGGTGTTACATGGTTCTCCGGGACCCGTTATTTTACAATAACCCAGATGTCAAAATAGGTTGCATGATAACTTCCATGATATCGATCAGATGGTTACAAGTAAGCATTATATAAAGTTGAGTCCTGGGTGGCTCTGACCTACCCTCTTCGACAGCTGTGTATCCAGCATAAAATTATTAACATGTTTCTCTGCCCGGGATAGTTCAATCTTCCGAGCGAGAACTGCCACCACCAATGCTGTACTCCCTACACCCTAAAACATAATTTGATTTGCTGATTAGACTGATCACTATAGTAACAACTCACCCGTTTAGCCAATCGTGTGTCCGTCATAAAATTATGCACATGTTTCTCAGCTTTAGTTAATTCAAGTTTTCTGGCTATAACAGCAACTACTAACGCTGTGCTCCCTGCTCCCTAAAACAGACAAACCACGCACATGCCAAACTAGGTATTGCTACAGTAACATAGGATAGGGTAGGGTGCAAATTATGGGCAAAGAACTGAATATTGCCGGTAAGGGTTGATTGACAGTTATATAGTATTATTTAGTAAGCGAAACGAAAAATGTGTTGGCGTAGAAAATCAAATTAAATTAAAATCATTCTAGATCACCTAACCCTGATTCCTCCGTTATAGGAATATACTCTTAAAATGGTAAAGAAAATTACTAGGTTTGCATTCTAAAACTAATACAGACGTTTCAAATGTTCTCTACAAGTAATATGGCTTACTCTCAAGTAACACTTTATATGTCATTTGATTACTTTATTGCTATTTTTACTGTTATTGAAAATTGTATGTTGGATGAACGTTCAAATAAAATCCTATCATATATACATTGAGAACTTGGGGAATCATATTTTCTAATAGATAAATTCTTGTAAAACTTCTGAGATGAGTTAAATGAAAAATGCAACCAATCAAGGCCAAATTAGTCCAAGCAGGCTTGTTGACATTTTAGAAATCAAGTTCCACACGAATCCTCTTAGCCTAAGTTTATTTCAAGACAAAACACACAAACCAAGGACTCTAATTGAATGAAGTATTTTATGTATTGATCTAGACATTAAGAAATCCGCAAAGGGGAAACAACACAACAGATAACAACACACAAGTGCAAAGATTTCTAAATGCACCCTGAACACACAAGTGCAAAGATTTCTAAATGCACCCTGAACACACAAGTGCAGATTTCTAAATGCACTCTGGTCTCCAGGATGTCTCTACAGTTTAATACTAAATAAGGTCTAAATAAACATAATGATTATGGAGTATCAAACAGAATGCAAATGAGGCAAAATAACATAGTTACGTAAAATGTATGTGTTTGAATAATTAATGCCATGGTACCTTCATTAGTAATTTGATTTAATTATTGTATTATAACTGCAACACAACGTGGCTACATCTAATTTATCACTTTATTGAGTACATTCTGTATATGTTACTTACCATGACACCAGTACATACTGCTACACCCCTACCACAGTACGTGTTAGGGACGATGTCTCCGTACCCAATGCTAAGGAACGTGATGGCAATCATCCACATGGAATTAAGCAAGTTACGATGGTCAACATCGTGATTGCTGGAAAAATAAAATGCATCATATGATTCTGAATATTATCATTTAAGGGGATCGAGAACTACAGCCGAACAATATGGCAATGTCACGTGCTTCCCGTGGGGTTTCTCAATGACCAACTAAGTCTAAAATCTAAAGAAATCGAATGATATACGTGATTCATGTTACAAAGACGTTCCACAGGGACTATGCCATATACTTCGTCGCAAAGTCCCATCGAGTTCCACGAGGTCCTTTCCAATGATATGTCTATCAAGACCACAGAGTACAAGACTAAACAGCCAGGCTGTCTCAGCCCAGACGACGTTCGTACACGTCGATGGTGCCAAGTTTGCAAGAATAAACACTGAACGAAAAACAATATTACGACAATACACATACCTTTCACAGGCACGTAAGATCCAGCTTGCGATAATCCACAATGATAGCATAAATACTAATAGCACTGTTCCTGGACATATAGTCATCAGTGTCTTCATTACAAAACGAGTGTTAAAATTAATCCTATTCAACGCCCCTATACTCCTTGATGAGGCGTCTGTAAAGAGTTTACTGTGTAACAACATCGTTCTTCCGATGAGGTACAGTCTTAAGAACATAGGGAGGGAGAGGAGAAGGTCAATGGAAGTCCAGAGGGGCTGTGGCTCCCCACCCCCATCTGCGTATATTGGGGTCCACAAGAAGAAGAAAGGCCCAGGTACAGGATGTATAGCACATATCGTCACTTCGAAACTTATCTGTGATATCCGTCTCCAAGACATCGCAATTCTCCAGTCTTCCACACAATTATCAATAGAGAACAACTGAAATCAGAAATGAAATAATTTACGATGTTGTTTTGGTATGTGATGTTAAATGAACATTAGAGAATGCTTTCCTACTAACATAACAGCGTTTGCTATCAAAATAGGTATCAAAATATGAATTCAGTTTTTGCTTGTATGCCATGATTTCAAAGGATTAATTAGATTTTCCAAATGTATTTCGTATTTCGGGGAGGGGGGGGGGTGTATGTGTAATCATGCATAAAACGTTACAAGTTATTTTGCTGATAACTCTTTATCTTTATTTCATTAAACATTTATTTATTCAGGCACGTTCCTTTATCAGCTAGGGATGTTCTTACACACAGACTGATCACTTTTTATAACAATATACGATGAACCGATTCATACAGGTTCATCTTAACCCCTAGAATCCCAAAAACGACGTATACTTATATACTGTTATATCAAGAGTGACAGCTCGGATAAGATATTGCTGCTACAAATATTCCCATTTGAATATCTCTGGAATTTTACATATAAATTAATGATTCTGACTTTGGTAAAGTCAATTCATCTTAGAAAGCAGAAATGGCAAAATCAGACAACATACTCATTCAGACTCATTCTTAGAGCGTAATAAAATAAGATAACTTATAATTAGGCTTTTGACATAATATTATTGATCAATGGCTTTTGGCGTGAGCGAAGTCGTTGCCAGTGGTCGCTGGGGACCATCGGATCTATTGCAGAATCATAGAAATTGATATTAACTGGATATATAAAATCGGAATTCATTTATAAGTAACATTACGAATGACAAGTAAAGTAAGATAAATGCAGTTATGTGTGATAAAACATTGCTCCTGTTCTATTTCCTCAAACATGGTCCCATTGTTTAGCACAAGCCACCAATTTCCAGATAAATATTACGAAAAGGAAATTAGAATTTATATCAAATTTGAAAAATGTCTTTTCCTGGTCGTGAAAAACACAATATAATGCTGAAGTAAAAGAGAAATTCAATTAGACGTATCTGAGACCATGTCGAGATGTCTTTTTCAATAATTTTCTTCAACGTTATCAAATTGTGCAGCCAGAAAAGAAAACATTCAAAACACAGTCCAATACCTTAATAAAATTCAAATTCACCCCCTCCGCTATAAAGTCATAAAGTATTAACTAAAACGCTATTTTCTTCATGCTGATGGAGGTATTTTGGTAAAATATAGACAAAGATGTAATTCCGCCTTTGGTACAGCGTGTTCAGTATGCACGAATACAGCTAAGACAGATGAATAGATGTCATAATCAGTCTATGAGACTTGCTGCCCGTGGGCGCCATGGTTCTTGACAGAAAGTTTATCATCAAGCAGCTATTCAGGTTTTACATGGTTTCTGCACAAAATCCATGCAAACGCTGAATGCTTACGTATTCACTAGTTAAATAAACAAGGAATTACGATGCAAAATGTGACCACCTGTCATTTGCTACGTACAGACTCCGAACGCAGAACACTGTCCACAAAAAGTTGAAGAATTGAGACTTTCCTACCCAAACCTATTGAGAGGGGTGTTCGATCAATTTGGTTCAATGTTGAGTGAACAGTGGTTGTTTCGGAATGAATTATTTTTTCTTTGCACTTTTAGTTGGCCTTCGTCCTTTAGTAATTCATCTTGTATGTTCGTTCTTTTACCGAGACAATATGAAAATGAAATCAGATCGCATAACAAGGGAAATGATTTTACAACCCAAGAGGCTACTAATCCCACACATTTTGTGAGATTTATATCTATTTTGCCTGAATACTCAATCGCACTTTCCTTAATTAGAATTTTCTAATGAAAATAGCATAAAATCGTTTATTATCAATTGATATCACATTTATTGCCACTTATTTCGATGACAGTTCTTCTGTTATTGCATTTAAAAAGTCGACATACACATGAGAAAATATAAAAATATTGCCAGAGATCAGGCATCAAGATGGCTCAAAGTAAATCGACCGAAGGGGACTAGTAAAACGACGATAGATAGCCTGATATCCCATCGAGCGTGAACATCGAATAAACCTCCCATCTGAATCATTTATTTTCTGGGATTTTCGGAGTGTAAACGAGAGTGGCCTTCGATGGTAGTTGGATATCGATCAAAACTCCAATCTCCGATCGATATTGATGTTTGGGATTATTCGACTTGGATGGAATATGACAGGAAAATGTACAGATGATGGTTCGGATCTTAAATCATATTAAAGGGGCGTTTGCCCTTTAGTGTATACTGGGTGGACCAAAAAAACACAAGTTTAAAAATGAATGTCATATGATATATGTTAAACCATGTCATGTATTTTATATCATTTTAAAGATAGATTATTTACTAACAATATGACACCATCCGATTTAAAACCCTTTGTTTACTTGTTGGGTTAGTGGCTAAAATTGACACCAGGGGTTTCACGAGCGACCAAAAACTTATTCACTGTGGATTTCCAATTGAGGGAAATTTGAATTTTAGCACCTTAAACAGGGGTACATTTATACAAATTTAGTGCAAAAGTCACCCTTAATACTTACATCTTTTTAACTATCAATTGTGTATTACATTGTGTTATATACATTTATGATGATTCAGTCAAGCATATTGAGTGCAACTGTGACTTCAATAATATTGATGAAACTTTTGGAATTTTCATTTTTCAAACTCCACACGAAAACAGTTTTTCAGTCGGATGGTGTCATATTGTTAGGAAATGATTTATCTTTAAAAAGATATATAACACATGACATAGTTAACATATTCATCTTTAAATTTGTATATTGTTTTTTTGGCCCAGCCTGTATAACCAAACAGTAAAATTGATTAGTTTGGGCCCATTTTCAATTACGGTCACTCAATTTATTTGATTGAATTAAAGGCGAATCTGAGATAGACAGCTGTATTAATATCCGAAGCAATTCGTTCTGTGCGATTGCACTGAACGAACTGATAGAAGATGCAGCCATATATGGTTGTGTCAGATTTGATAGTCTTGTCTCTATTTTGGGGGTGAGGTAAAAGAGGCGTGGGGTTCTCACTCGGGTAAATATGGGGTCACAATGGCCTGACTAGGTGAGACTTGGCATTTGATAGTCTAGCTCCTACGGGTTTTAATTCCTTATTTTTGAATGTTTGATATATTACTTTTGAAATATAGAACGTAAACGTCAAAATAAACTTATTATCTACAATGTAAAAGTCAAAATAAAGAAGAAAGAAGACCCACTGGGCGCCAGACTAGGTATTTGAGGCCATGATCACAGTAAGAATCCGCAAGAAAATTATCTATATTTTTGGATTATAATTCCGGTTTAAATATGCAATGCAATTTAAGATAGAATGTTACCTCAGATATTATTAACAGAGAGTACAAGCCTAATATATCAAAGTTCATTTTTATATACCCACCGAGGCATAAATATTCAAGATTAGAGTGTCTCGATTCAGGTTAGAACGGTGCTTTTACAAGTCTTGGGTAGATATAGTCGATATACTTCCAAGAGGCCATAGCCACAGATGGCGTTTGTGCTTTACCGATGACTATGGAGATGCTGATTGCTTTGGGTTTATTATCGGTATGTAAACTATTGGGTTAACAAGATTGCTCGTTAAGCAACAATATCTTATCAGCAAAGTAAAGATACCTCCACCTCCAATCCATCACTTGGAACGACAAATCTGAAATTTCTATAATTCATTTCCTGGCTCTCGTTGTCAATGTATTTAGCGAACGAATGACTTTACGAATGACTTTAAGTCAATAGCTGAAGTTGATTAAAGGAATATTCATTGCCAAACCATCTCTCTCCTCATATGGTAGCTATAACCATATATATGCTTGCCATGTTTAGCAAAACACGCAAAAATGTTTTGATAAGGTCAAATTTGATCACTTAGAAATGTGATGCTCAATTCCAGTAAGCTGCCATCTTTTAAAATTTTACACAGGAAGTAATGTCATCGACTCTCAACTTTGCATATACCATTAAGTGAGGAGCTATTAAGAATTACAAAACCAGCTAAATATTCTTTTTCAACTTTGTATCTTATTTAATCCTTCTGAAAATCTCTTCTTTTATTCTGACAAGCTGACAAGCCCTGAAAATATTTTTGCACAGAAAGTAATGATCACTTGTCTAGAAGTGATTTTGTGCTACTTTCTTATACTGTTATGGGCAAGGTTATAGAAGTTGAGAGTTGATGACATCACTTCCTGCAAGAAATCTTAAAAGATGGCAGCTCACTGAAAATAAGCACTAGATTTTTAAATGATCAATATTGACCATATTAAAACATTTTCCCATGTTTTGCTAAATATGGAAACTATATATATGATTATAGCTACCATATCAAGAGAGAAAGGGTCTGGCAAGGAATATTCCTTTAATACTCCATAACGACCGTCATTTGGACCTGAAGATAGCCTCTAAGTATGTTTATGAAGGTGGGGTGTGGTATTGTGTATACGTATCGCAGGCAATTGCGCATCCAACAATCTCAAAGAACTATCTCGTTATATACGATTTCCTAAACTAGTACTATGTTTCTTTCGTATCTTATCATTTCAGGCACCCTAGTGCCACTGGAATCATCTACACATTCATCGAATACTGGGAAAAGTCAATCTGCAATTAAACAGATCCAGTTTGTTAGAATCTTGAAATAATCAATGTCAAATTACTTGCTCTCTTGATTAACAAAGAAGCGGAGTAATGAAAGTCACTAAGAAGAAGGTTAAAGATGAATGTATATTCGTATTTCAGTTCATCAGTTCGATGTCGCCATGGAAAACATCTCAAAAGTGACATTTACTAATGCACTCTGTTCAACATTACAAACGCAGAGAACATTGGTTAAGGAATCGATTTCCGGCTATACTAATGAAAACACTGATGATTGAATTTAGGTTGTTATTGGTAAAGAGATCTTACAGAAGAGCGAACGAAGACTTTGAGTAAGTGCCAAAGGACATAAATTAAACACTTAAGTAACACCAAAG